TCAACCAGCCCTGGGTTACTCAATAGTTAGCTAAGCAGGGTTTTAGACCTATCTGTTTCTCCTTCTCTACACTCCAAGCAGAAGAGTATCTGCTTCAAGCTCCCTGTTTTGTGTCTAGCTTTACTTTTTTTTTTAACATGTCCACTTGACTGAGTTCTGTGTCTTACTACAGAATGGAAAGGGTGCTCATCATGGCAGTTTGCAAGAGTGACACATACCTGAGTGTCTATCAGTAGAGGAATGCTGAAATAAATTACAACCTATCCATTCTGGAAACATTAAACAGTTGTTTAAAATGTGGTAGGCTGAGCATGGTGGTGCATATCTGTAATCTCAGCTACTCAGGAAGCTGAGGCAGGAGGATCAAGAATTCAGAGTGACTCAAGTGGTAGAGCGCCTGCAGAGCAAGCATGAGGTCCTGAGTTTAAGCCCCAGTACTGCCAAAAAGGATTAAAAAAAGTTCAAGATCAGCCTAGTGAGACCCCACCCTAACCCCCCCAAAAAAGGACTGGTAGAGTGGCTCAAGTGGTAAGAGCACCTACCTAGCAATTGTGAGGCCCTGAGTTCAAACCCAATGCTGCATTAAAAAAAAAAAAATGCAAAAAAAAAAAAAAGAGAGAGCGAGAGAGAGAGAATGTGGCATATCTGGAATATCACTGAATTTCCGGGACAGGACATATACCATTCTAAAGGAAATATGCCAGACCTTATGCCACATGCCTGTAATTCCAGCACTTGGTAGGCTGAGGAAGGAGGATCAAGAATTCAAAGCCAGCAAAATAGCAACACCCTACTCCCCCGCAAAGCAACGTGATATATGTGGTGTGATTACAACTCTGTAAAAAACAAAAGTACATTAAAAAAATTTATAAGCATGCATAGCTGGGCATGGTGGTACATGCCTATAATCCTGGCACTGGGGAGGCAAACAGAAGGATCTAGAGTTTGAGGCTAGCCTGCTTAGCAAACATGAGGCCCCGAGTTCAAACCCCAGAACTGTAAAACAAACAAAAAAAATCCAAACCTAAAAACACGTGTATGTACATAGGAAAAGTCTAGAAGGCTACCTATTCCCTGAGAGTCAGGATTTTTTTTTTGTTTTTGCAGTACTGGGGCTTGAACTCACAGGGCCTTCATTTTGAGCCACTCCACTAGCCCTTTTTGTGATGTGAATTTTCAAGATAAAGTCTTGAAAACTATTTGCCTGGGCTGGCTTCAAACTGTGATCCTCCCCATCTCTGCCTCCTGAGCAGCTAGGATTACAGGCATGAGCCACTGGCACCCAGCGAGGTATTTTTTTTTAAATGAAAAAACAGACAACAAACAAGGTAAGTTCAGGAAGCCTGGTACGAAAAGGGAGGAAATGGGGCTGGGGGTGTAGCTCAGTGGTAGAGCACAGGCTTAGCATGTGCAAGGCCCTGGGTTTGATACCCAGCACCCCACAACACACACACAAAAGGGAAGGGGGGTGGATTTCAACTTATCCACCATAATCTCCTGATCCTACCCAGTTCCTTCCTGTCAACTTGTCCAAACAAAGAAATACTAATGTTCCCTCTATATTCCCCTCTCAAGTTTGGAAAGACCGTAGTGCCATTTTCACTCTAGGTGGGAAACCAGGGCAGGGGACCACAACAAGATTAAAGGTGCCACCCAAATCCTAACCAACACCAATGAACTTCAGATCTATTCTGCTCACTCCCCTTCTTTGTGTTGACCCAGATCCTGGCTGGTTTCTTTGTGGTCCTCGTCCCCAGGTTGGGCTAAATCTGTTATCAAGAGGCATCAGATCCATTGCCACCTGAGGCTGCCAACCTACTTATTTGCTCCCAGCACAGGGCAGCTCTCCCACTTCTCATTTCTGTGGGAACCTGCCCAGGAATTCTGCCCCTTTCTCCTTTCTTCTCTTTCATGTGCCCCGATGCGGGGTGGAGACCTTGGGAGCAGTAGACTGTGATGGGAAGGACACAGGCTAGGGAGTAAGTCACAGTTGGTTCAAAATCCTGTCTCTGCCACGATTCCCTGTACCTTGGAAATTTCTCTTAATTACTGAAAATTTCTTATGTCCCCTGAACCTTTTTTTGCTTTGGCAAAATGAAAATAAAACCCACTTTTAGGGTTGTGATGAGGAAGTGCAATGAAAAATGCAGTGTCTGACAATGGTGAGAACAACCTGGTTCTCCCAGGCCAGCGTGCTGATTAGGTCAAAGACACTGGCTTTCCTGGTGGGGTGGGCAGAGCCCACAAGGCAAGGTTCCACTCTGCCTTACCTCCAAGGCTGATCTGCACCCTGGGCCTAGTAGCTAAGGACCCCAATTCTTCTAGGGACCTATGAAAATGTTTTTAATGATGTGCATTTTAATAATTTTAATTTCCTTTAAAATCAGAAGAAAAAAATCAATTTTTAGATCAAATAAATATTACTTACATTTGCCTGGACCCAGTGGGCAGAGGACCATATGATATGTCCTGAAATGCCACTCCACTTGTGTCACTCATTGGGTCAAGAATGTAAATACACATGCAGGAGCTGGTGGCTCACGCCTATAATCCTAGCTACTCAGGAGGCAGAGATCAAGAGGACTGTGGTTCAAAGACAGTCCAAGCAAATAGCTTGAGAGAGACCCTATCTTTAAAAAAAAAAAAAAACCATCACAAACATCACAAAAAAAAAAAAAAGGGATGGTGGAGTGGCTTAGAGTGTAGGCCCTGAGTTCAGACTCCAGTACTGAAAAAAGAAAAAGAAAAAAATAAAGAATGTAAATGCACAACAACAAAACACATGGGCAAACCTTCAGTCACTTCTCCAAAGACATCCAGACAACAAGAGCATGAGAAAATGATGGACATTACTAAGCACCGGGGAAACACAAGCCAAAACCACAGGAGAAATCACTTCATATCCATTAGGACACTGCCACCAGGAAACCCTAGAAAATAACAAGTGTTGCCAGGGAGGCAGAGAAATTGGAACCTTTGTACATAAAATTACCACCTAACACAGCTAGTCTACTTCTAGATATAGATCCAAAGGAAGTAAAAGCAGAGACATGTTGATGTGGTGGTGCATTCCTGTAATCTCAGCACTTGGGAGGCTGAGGCAGGAGAAGCGAGAGTTTAAGGCTCACCTGGGCTACATAGTGAGAGTCTGCATCCCCTCTTCTCCCTCCCGGACACCAATGAAGAAGATGTAGAAAAAGAAAGTGAAGACTCGGCAAATATTTGCACACCCATGTTCACAGCGACATTATTCACAACAGCTGAAAGGTGGAAGCAACCCAAGACAAATGGATAAACAAGACGTGGTCTGAGCACAATGGAATATTACTCAGACTTAAAAAGGAACGAAATTCTGACATATGCTACAACACAGCTGAATCTTGAAGGTGTTATGCTAAGTGAAATAAGCCAGAGGCAAAAGGACAAATATCATATTATTCTATTTATATAAGGTACATTGAGCAGTCAAATTCACAGAAATAGGAAGTCAAAGTTGCCAGGGGCTTGGGGAGGAGGGAATGGGGAGTTAATGTTTAATGAATGTGGAGTTTCAGTTCTGGGAAGAGTGGCAATGGCAGCACAAAGTGAATGTACTTAATACCACTGAACGCTACACCACAAACGGTTAAAATGGGCCAGGTGTGGTGGCTCACATCTGTAATCCCAGATTATAGGAGCTACTAAGGAGGCAGAGACAGGGAGGATCTCAGTTCAAGGCTGGCCCAGGCAAAAAGTGAGACCCTATCTGAAAAATAAAGTGAAGAAGGGCTAGGGGCATGATTCAAGTAGTAGAGTGCCTGTTTAGCAAGTGGGAGGCCCTGAATTCAAATCCCACTACCACTCAAAAAGGTTAAAATGATAAGACTTGTAATATGTGATATGTATATTTTATCACAAATTTTTTAAAAAGAAAACAAAGATATACATGGTTGTCCTTTGCCCAGGTGTTAACACTGAACCAGTGCCCAAGTATCACTTCTTTTTCCCTGCAAGCAGGTTTATTCTGGAAGTCCTGTGCCCTTTCCTCCCCACCTTCCTGAGTAAACCCAGTCTCTGTGGCTTCACAGTGGGGCCTACCCTCACCTAGCCAATGCTGCTGTTCTTCCCTCCTCCGCCTGTGTACACCTCCGCCTTCCATGGTAAGTGTCCCATCCCTTCCCACTCAGGAGACCTGTGTCTACCATTCTAGATGTCTGCTCTTTCCCTTTCTTATCTCTTCTGCCAGACAACCAACAGTCTGAATTGTGTGCATCACTAGTCACAGGAGACTTGCCCGGGGTTGTCACTCACCTGTTTCCACATCAATAAAGCAGGGAATGTTAGTTCTAATGACAAATGAGACTGTGCATATGAAAACAGAGGCATACAGACCAGCCAAAGCTTTGTTCCTCTCACCCTGCCTAGCACAAGCTGAAAACAATCACGTAAATATCTGATAGTTTGGCCCCACCTGCTTATGAAAGGTGAGAACCTTAGCATAATGAGGTAGCTGGGGCCTGCCTGGCCTACCTCTAGGGAAGAATGGGGTTTTGATGCTGGATCTGTATCATCAGGAGTGAAATTAGAGAGTAAAATCCTTTCCAGGATTACAGGCGTGTACTGCCAAGCCCTGTCATAGCACATACTTTCACATTTTTATTTCCCTGTTATCTTTGGAAGATTCCTTTTCCATATTTAATTGTCGGGGTTGTGGCACACTCCGCCACAGCTACGAATTATTAGAAAGGTGAATGTGAAGCCATCCTTTAGGCTTATTAAAAAAACTTTATAGGCCAGGGTTACAAAGCTTTAAGTGGTAGTGGCAGGAATTGGCTGGGTCCAGAGGCTTGAGAATAAAACCGTACTAAAGGACACGCTTCCCTTCAGGCTCCTGTCCTGTGTGAGGCAGGCAGGGAGGGGCAGGGTCTTCCATCTGAACTGAGGCCTCAAAGAATTCCAGGACAAGTCTGGAGGAAGTTGAAGAGTTCTGTCCCTTTGGATTAGGTAAGGTCTTCACCTACCTCCAGAAGAAAGTGTGATCGGGATGCTGGCCATTGTTGAGCACCTCGAGGGAAGGGCAGATCTGCAGGAAGAAGGACAAAGACAGGAATGAAGTGGGGGAGGGTTGCTCCTGGGGCTTGAGGTCCCCAGAAAGCCTTTGATCTCTGGTGTCCGGATTTCCTGAGTTCCTTCCCCACTTCCTCTTTTCCTTTTAAGCTCATCCTCAGGACTCCTTTCTGGGTCTCCCTGGGAGCCTCCTTAGGATCTAGACGCCAGCGTCTTCCCCAGTAGCAGATCTGAGCCCGAGTGTATTTGGGGTGTGTCACTTTTACAACCCTTTCACTGGACCACCACGTTTACTTAGATCTCTCAAAGTATGAGAAAGTTGGGCAAAGGTAACCAACACAGTTTCGCCAAAGGGCGGTCCAGGTGCCTGGGCTACCTGGGCTCCCTGTGCTCCCGGGGGGCCGGGAGTTGGGGCGGAGCCATCCACTAGGTGTCAGGAGAGGGCGGGGGAGGTCAGGACCCGTGCCCAGGCTCGGGTACGGGGTGGGGGCCGGGGACAGCAACGCAGACACAAGGTGCGGGCTCCCGGGGGCCTTCTGACCGGTCTCAGACACCCGGCTTGGCCCGCTTCCCTCAGTCCCTTCGTTGTCCAGGACGCACAGCCTACGGATCCCGCCCCCCGGAACCCCACTTGGCGCAGCTGTACAGGGGCGCCCGGGGACCCCCCCCGCGGCGCGGCTCGGCGGCCGTCGAGGTTGGCACGGCGGACGGGTCAGGCTGGGTGGCGGTCCCTGGGTCCCCACCCGGAGTCCTCTGCGTTACCGGTACACGGAGGCGCTGCGCTAGTGCGCTCCGGCCGCTGTCCCCGTCCCCGTCCCGGTCCCGGGGCGCCGAGCTGCGGCCGCTCTCGGTTTCAGTTCCTGCCGCGGCCGCGGTGGCTGCCGTGTGCGTGTGGGCCACCCGGCTCGCCCGGCCCGCCCCAGGTCCCCTCCTCCGCGTGTGCTCACCTTTCCAGTCGGACGGGCTGCGGGGCTGGGCCCGACGCCGCTCCGCGCGTCCTTTTGAACTCGACGGGGGCGGGAACGGCCGAGATTCGCCGAGGCCCGGAGCCGCCGCGCCGGAGCCCGACACAGAGCCAGGCCGAGGGTCACCGCGCTGGAGCCAGCAGCGCAGCGACGCGCGCAGTTAGCGGCCCAGGCCCGCAGCAGTGGGGGTTGGGGACAGGCGGCCTGGGTGGGACAGGAAAGAGGAGAGCAGCCGCCCTCTGCAGGTCCCCTCTCCCGCGGGAGGAAAGGCTGCCTTCCCTTCGCCAGTGGTTACTGTGCTCTCCATCCGGAGCCGCTTCCTCCCTCGCCCAGAGGCTCAGAGGAGACGGGACCTGCACCCCGGCTAACCCGGCCGTCCGATCTCCTCCCACCCCGAGTGGCTGAAACTTGACTTTCAGCAAAAGCGCATGGTTACCTGTACCTGGATTTGCACAAGTAGGTCTGGTGACCCAAAGCTTGGACTGCAAGCTCCCTTAGTGGGCACATCTGTCGGTTGTGAGGCACGAGGCGAGGTGGGGAGAGAAACAGGCACCACCTGGTCGGCCTGGACTTGATGCAAAGCCCCAGCTCCGCTGTTTGCTGGCTTGTGACTTTGGGCAAATTACTTAACACCTCTTAATTCTGTTTCTTCATCTCTAAACTAAGGGATTGAAAGTGATAATGCCTGTTAAATCATTTCATCACTATGGTTCTAGTACATGGTAAATACCTCAATTTAAATATTAATGAGTGCCATTCTTTAGCTGCCTCTTGACTCACTTCTTGGTGACAGGAAATGGTTCCAAATTAAACAGAGGAACTCAATGACTAAGAGGATGTCATTCTATATAACTCAGGCCCTGGAATTGGCTCTGCTGTGCAATCTTGGATGTGCTACTTCTGTTTCATTTCTCTTTCCTGGGCTTCTACGGTAGTGTTCCTGTGGGGATGGAATGAGTTGATACCTAGAAAACATTAGAATCTCACCTGCACATACTAAGTGCTCAGTAAATGCTAGTGACTGTTATCTTGACTGTCTACTTAGGGTTGGACCTCTTAGAGGGACTCTGCCTTCCATCTCAGTGATACGCATATCTGTGCTTCCTTCTTAATGCCTCTGAGCTCTGTGGGTTGGAAATCAGTATTTATATACATTGATAGACAGGTGTTATCAGATTTGGGGTGTTCATATGAGAAAGTGAAAAGAACCACAAAAGTAAGAGAACAAAAGCCACAGATAAGGCAGGAGTAATTGCCTCCATTTCTAAAATGTAGTTGATAAAACCAGAGGAGGAAAAAAAAAAAAAACCCAGGAAAAGTTGATGAAATTCACTTTGTTTATATTTCTAAAAGGCAAGTGCTCCCTTCTGCAGCACATATACTAAAATTGGAATGATACAGAGAAGATTACATGGCCCCTGTGCAAGGATGACATGAAAATTCGTGAAGCACTCCATTAAAAAAAAAAAAAAAGGCAAAACAATACCAGTGACACAGAAGCTCTTGAGTGGGAAACTGCCAATCTACCCAAGAAAGGCAAAGCATGTAGACAAAGAGTGTTAGTTAATAAAACTCAATCTAGCCAGTTCTCAGAGAAGGGTATATCCAAGAGAAAAAAGGAAATTCAAATCCTAAAGGCTAGATTCCAAAGAAAGACCACTGCTTGCATTTACTTTAGCTTGGGATCTTTCTTGTGTCTAGGTCTGTCTCCCCTAGCATATTCTAGTATTTTTTTGTTGTTGTTGTTCTGTTTTGTTTGGCGGTACTGGGGCTTGAACCAGGGCCTCATGCTTGCTAGGCAGGCGCTGTAGCCACTCCACCAACCCCATATTCCAGTGTGATGAAATGTTAGACCCACAGCCTCAGAGCTCCTGCCCCACTGACTCCCTGCTGATTTGCTGGCCACTTTCGCAATTTCATTTGATGGTTATCCATCGCCTCTCCTATGCATCTTTTTCTCTCTTTAAAATACAACCTTGGAGCATCTGCTGATACATGATTCCCTTCTCACTTAAGTATCTTAAAAAGTATAAATTTAGAGCTGGTGCTATGGCTCAAGTGGTAGAATGCTGTGAGAACCCGAATCAAATCCTGTACTGCCCCCCAAAAAAGTATAAACTTACAGAAAAATGGGATCCATATGCACATTCTTAAGCAGCCAGTTTGGCATGAAAGGAAAAATTCTGTACGTAGTCTGCATGTGTGTCTTTGGTGTATCCTATATCTTTGATATGTCTTGTTGCTACAATTCTTTGGGGGGGGGAGTGTTGGGGTTTTTGGTTTTTTGTTTTTAATTTTTTGAGGAGTCCAGTCTTCAAATGTCCAGTCCTCCTGCCTCAGCCTTGCAAGTGCTGGGATTACAGGCCTGCACCACCACACCCAGCTAGAGTTCTCTGTATTCCTACCCAGTCTGTCAATATTGTCCTTCATATGGGGGGAGGTGTGCAGGAACTAGATGATGCACCTGCAATTAGTTCTACATAGAGATGTGTACAGATAGGTGGTGGGTGAGTCTCCAGCATTCTCCAAGGATGAAACGCTAAGCTTCAGAAACTGCAGCAGCCAACCTTTTGTCAACAGATCTCCAGGGACCTCAGGGCAGTGACAACAGAGTCATCTGCACCTGCTTTTACTGGCTGTCAGCCCTGTCTTATGCTGCTGCTAGGATGGCAGTATAGCCTTTCCCCTGGAGAACTTTGCCATTTTGTAAATCAGGGAAAATAGTTTGGTTCCTAATGGAGACAGTCCGCAATTGGGCAGCCTTTCCTCTGCCTATTTGGGGCCTTTAGAAGGGTCACATGGATATGAAGTGCCATCTCACAATTTAGCAAAAATTCCACTTCAGTTGTGCCTCTGTTGTGACAGCTACTGCTTCTCTTCCCAGCAGACCATAAGTCCCTACAAGTCTTCTCTGGCACACTCTCCAAGGAGGATCTGTTTCCTGGGAGCTGAGGGTCAGCAAAGCCTTTGAAGAGGGTTTTGCCAGCTGAGTGTGAAGATTGTAGCGGGCCTTGCACAGAGAGCTGTCTGCCTTCCCAGCATCTTCTCTACCCTTCCAAGACCCCTAGAGCATTCCTCCCAACAACAATTCTGAATCCCAGAATCAATCCCAGAGGGCATGCTTTCTAGGAGAGCTGTTATAAGTAGGCAGTAAGGCTTTTATATTTTGAAAATCCCTTCTCTCTAGAGAGGCATGCACTCTCCTGCTCAGTACTGATGCACATAGTGGAGAGCTTGGGAAGGCTACTCTTTAAACCAGAGTAACAGGGTTAAATTTTAGAAAAAATGACTGCAAAAGATTTTGGTGCAGATAACCAAGATGTGGTTTCAACTTCTCCCTGAACTTGCCATTCATAGGTGTGGGCTTGCTCCTCCTGGGAGTGACCACTTCATACATCCAAAAGTTGACTAATGGGCAAGGAAAAAAGGGCCACCCATTATCCCTATCAGTGGAGCCTGAGGGAAAGAGACAGATGCATCTGGATTTCATTTTTACTCCATATCAGAGGGTTGGGAGCATTGATTAATGAAACATTTTCCTGATTGATGAAAAACGAACTCAGTTACTGTCATCTGTCCTTGCTAGATGGTTATGCAGTGTGTTATATAATGCTTAATAAAAACAAAGTAGAAAAACAACTCCCAAATATAAGCATATACTTTCATCTCCTACAAGTACCTCAAACTCCTGTGCCCAATGCTTATAGGAGACCCCTAGGGTTATTTTTATAACATCAAGGCAAAATTAATGCACAATAAACTACAATTTGACAAGCATTGACACATATGTACAATAAGCCCGCCTTATTCACAGGTTTATTACATGCTGTTTTGACCAAGAGGGGTCAAAAAAAAAATTCCCACGTGAACATTACACAGCTCAGTTGCCAGGGGAGCGCTCAGTTGGTCCAGTATTATCGTCAGTTGCATTTAAAGTCTATTCGTCCTGAGCATTTGGGGTTTTTTTCCTCAACTGCAGTCTCCTTGGAACCATATGCCCTCGGATACCAAGGGTCTACTGTATGCTTTATTAAACTATCCCCGTAATAATAATTGTGGTGGTACATAATTTCTATCATCCCTAAAACTTGCTCTGTGCTTTTTGTAAGCCACCCTCCTCACTCCTCCCTCAACCTTCTATCATTACAGACACCAGCATGTCATGTCCTGCCCTTCCCGCCCCCAAGTCGTGCCAGTTACAGTTCCCCGTTTCCCTAGCCATGGGATGATGCATCATGCAATCTGGGCTGGTCAGATTCTTTCTCCAGGGAATTTAGATCTAGGAAGGGCACAGTAGCAGGAGGTAGCTGAGGCTGTCTTCTAGGGGCAGCTTCCTGGAGCAACAGCGCACAGAGAGCCAGCTACAGACATCCCTGGGCTGGCTCTTGCAGTGTTAGCCCTCTGACATATCCCTTATTGCTTAATTTTGGCAGTGTGTTTCTTGCAACCAGAGGTCCCCAATAAATGCACTTCCTTCTGTTGTCACTGTTTTAGGAAATGACACCACCAGATTCCAGTCTCTGAAGCCTAACCTAGAATAATTCCTTAAAACCTCAGTGTTGGTCATGTGTCCCCTTCTAACCCATCATTAAATCCTCCCATTCTGCTCTCTGCTCAACATTCTCACCACCTCCTAAAGATCTTTCTTTCTTCCCTCATCGTATTTCTCTAGTACTTAGTACCAGTACTCAGTGCTTGACAGAGAAGGTGCTCAATCCATGCTTATGAATGACTGATGGTGACATCATCACCCCCATAAACAAGAACAAATGTGGGAGGGCATTTGCGTGTGTGTGTGTGTGTGTGTGTGTGTGTGTGTGTGTGTTTACCAAGGTGGCAGGACATCAGTTACTTTTAAATATTCATAGAAAGCGAAGAGTAGGACTTGAATCCAGAACTTCTGACCCAAACTTAATGCCATTTCCACTATACAATTATACTTTGTATCCCTTCCCTTTACTTGGAGTTTCATATCTACTTCTATGGGGCCCAGATCCTTATTCACACTGAGTACTAGATCATAACCACTGGATCCAGCTTTGACCTACAACCCCTTCCCCAGAGTATTGGTTTATGTAATAATGTATCTGGATTGAGGAGAGGCACCATAAAGGAATTGCAGCCAGGAGGTAGGGTAGGCTGGAGTCAGGGATATGACTGAAGTTTTCTGAACCTGGAGTAAAATTAATAACCTTATCAAAATGGAAAACAGATAGCTGCAGAAACAACCCATGTCAAACAGTGAGTCCACATCTAGTCAAAATCACACTTTATTGAACAATCTGATAATCTGTTCTTTTGGCTTTAAATCTTGCCAAATGAGTGATAAATCAAAGGCACAGATGTCCACTATCCTGTGTGTGTGGTGTGTCTGCATGTACAAGATACTTTTGCTCTTTAGTCATTACGGCCTCGCTTTAATATTTATTCTTAGTCTACTAATAATGTTTAAGCCTGATTAAAATACTCCCTGAGTCTAATGTTCTCCTCCCCCAAGCCTGCCACCCTCCCTCCCTCGGCCTCCATTAATGGCAGGCCTTTATAGACTTCCAGCATTCAGCCTGCCAGAGAACCTGGAAGTGAATGCTACATTATGCCCCTTGACCTTTCCCCTCGGGTTGAGGAGCTTCTTCAGGAAGATGTGTGGAGATGGGTGACTGGGAGGTCCTGGCAGTTTCTCTTCAGAGTTCTGTGTCTTGACTTGTAGATACCTGGAATGTAAACATGACTGCACCAGATGCTCCTACCCTCCACCAACCACTCAAGAAGGATACAAACTCAACTACTTTCTCCTGAATCCATTTTCATGGAATGCCACTGGCCTCTACTGTCGGTGGTGATATGAAACTGGTTGTTGAGATTGCTGTAAGGACTTGTGGCAGATTGCTCATTACATCATTTGCCTCTTTTTTAGGATTCACAGGAGAAACTTCTTTTCAATCTAAGTAACAGCAGCTGTTGTTTTCCTAAGGGACAGGCACCACGACCTGGTGAATTGGTCAGGTGTTTTTCTTCTTAGAGGTTGGAGAGTCTGGAACCAATTTTGTGGCTCATCCTTAGCAAGTTTATTTTCTAGAATGCATTTTTTTTTGTACTTGTCTAATTCATGGTTTCAGTGATGTCACCATTCTGTGACAAACTTACTGTGCTACATTGCATGAGTGTAAGCATAGTACATATATATGAGATGTATATGAAGTTTTTGCATGCTTTTTGTTTAACTGGGCTCTGCTTTGAAGTAAGTGCAGACATAATTAAATAAATACTTATAAATCTTAGGAGATAAGGTTAGTTTAAGGTCAAGTGCATTCTTGCTTCCCATAGCTCCCACCTGCTTGACCCTGGTCACAGCTGGATTCTCCTTACTCCTGGAGCCCACAATGAACATTCCAGTCTGTAGCCACACACCCCTCTTCATCAAATGCTCAATCTTACCACCCATCCTGTTCTTTGGATATCTGGTCTTACCTCTTCTTGAGGCTCAGGTGCTGAGACATTGTTTTCTCCTGGATCTGCAGAGATAGGAAGCTGAAGGTCTTGGCCCTACAAAGACAAGAGTTCTCCAGTGAGAGGTGGCTGGACCTCTCAGCTTCATAGGGTCTTCTGTGCCTTACACTTTTCAAAGGTTGTACACAATACAAAGGACAAACATGCATTGGTTCTCTGAGTCCAAAGCATCAGGCAAGGCTTCCCTCTCTGCTCTTTCACCTAGAAGAAACCAAGATCTAAAGGGTGAAATGATTTGCTGGCATAGGAAGGCAGATCTTTGGATTCTAGCATTGTTTCTGTGATCTGACACCTTGGGATTTGTGTGATATGTATCTGCAGATGGATCTGTGTGGGAGTGTGAGGTCTTCAAATCACTACCTGCTACTTTTTTGACTAAGCCTCCTTAGGAATGCACTGTGTTCTCACACGTAAGTGATCTGAAACCATGACAAGGAGTTAGGAGAGGTAAGAGGCATAATGGTTTCTTTGGGAAAAGTTCTAGGTTCTGAAATGGGAACCCACGGTGCGGAAAGCCCTATCTAAGAACTTCTATACCAGGAAGACGCTAGCACTCTAAGGTTTAAAACAAACTTATTGCCTAGGGATGTATGTAGCTTAGCGGTAGGGTGCTTGAACAAGGCCTTAGGCTTGATCCCCAGCACTGCAATGTTTTTTTTAGTTTTTTTAAATTGAAATTTAATTTGCATACCATAAAATTCATCATTTGAAAATAGAACCGGGGCTTTTGAAGAGACTCAACTGGTACAGCACCTGCCTAGCAAGTGTGAGGCCCTGAGTTCAAGCCCTAGTGCTGCCAAAAAAAAAAGAGAAAATAGAACCAATTACTAACAGTGTTGTCAGCCACTTGAAATTCTGAGACTTAAAGAATTTTTTCTTTTTCTTCCTCTTTCCTTTCCAGGCCATGAATGAGCTCAAAGGTGCTTCCTAAAAAATTATCAACACCTTCCTTATCTCTCAGAAAGTTAAATGCTAGAACAGGATTTTTTTTCTAACTACATTTTTACTTACTCATTTTACACGTTATGACACATGATCATTCTGCTTAAGAGAAAATATGATTTGTGGTGCATCTCCAGTGAGCACATCTTGTAGGACATAGCCTCAGTGGATCGGTGGCACTGACAAGCTGGGACCTAAGATGCTCTAGTTGCTTAATTTCACAGGAAAAAAAAAAAATGTGTTCTTAGCTGATGACCAAAGCAATCCTACCAGAGAGGCTCAAAGTAAAGAAGACATCCGAAGGGGAGTCTGTGTGCTGTACTTCCTTCCCAGGAGGGACTGTGGCACTAGACTGTTCCTCAAAATGGTCAAAGGGCATCTTGACTCCCTTACAATAAGATTATTCCAAGAATACAAACTTGTTTCATCATTCATCAGAGCCAAACAGAATCTCCATACTAAAATACAATACAGAGTCAAATAGAAATTAATTTTGGATTTCTTTTATTTTGGCAATGCTGGGGATTGAACCCAGGGCTTCTCATATGCAAGACAAGTGCTCTACCATGAAGTATACCCCTAACCCTGAGTTACCCTGTTCAGTGCAGAAAAAAATGAGACGTGGCTACACCTCACCTGCCCGGATCCTGGGCGTATTCACATGTCTCAGTCACATACCTGCTCCCGAGAAACCAGCCACAGGCAAGTTTTACATCTTGCTCTGTTAGAGCCTTCAATGCATCAAGTGAGCCAAGACTGAAGGCATAACAATGTGGATGGCTTACATTTAGTACCTCAGGAGAGTCAGCGGAGATAAGTTTATTGTCCTCTTCTTTGCCTTCCATCTTCCTTACCTCTCCAGGTGCTGAAGAAACCTGTAGATCAAGGTGAACAATGTAGGATAACACCTTCACAAGCTGGTTGCCACCCCTTGGTACTCTTTGTGCATGTCACTCCTCTTAGCAGATGGCTCAGAAGGTAGTCTGGTCAACCTTCAGTTAGGTATGGGCAATAGTAGGGTGGTGTGATCTGAGGGGTACCAGAAATCTCATTCTCTTCTTCCAGATAGCCACATGGTTCATGTCCTGGCCTTCCTTATTGCCCACTCTGTTTAAAACTGCAGTTCAGCCCCCACTCTTCATATCTGTTACTACCACTAGATTGTAATTTTATTTATGCTTTCTTATCTGTCTTCCCTCCCCTAGAATATAAGCTCCAGGAGGCTCATTGTCATAACCCTCGTCTGAAAAGTACCTGGCATAGAGCAGGGCTCACTCAGTGACTGCAATGAATGAGTGAATCTTAGTGCTATTTGGTCAGGCAATTTCCCTATGATCCTCTCCACCTGCACAGATCACATATCCTTAGCTTTTAATATCAAAGAACTATTTTTCAATGTGACCTATCCCATCCCATTGGTGGTAGGGAGGGGGGAGTCAGATCTTTGGATCCTCTTGTTGGGTCTGGGAACCTAAGGGACAGATGAGTGAGTCAGTAGCCCATCCCCCATGGAGAGCACTATGAGCCCTGCACCCTGAAGAGGAGTTATAAGTTTGCATTCCTGCACCCTGAGGAGGAGACACATGGTCTCATAAATCTGCCCCAGGGCTGACAGACAGGATGCTCTCAAGGTTGTTTACCCCCATAAGGGGCAAACAGATCAGCTCATCGAAGAGAGCCTGTGTGCACGAATCCACGACCAAGGGAAAGAACCCACCTAACCCTTACCGTAACCCAGAGTTAAAGTGTTCATAAAAAGCCCCAGCCTTCGCCTCAGCAGGGAGCCACCGGTTTCCGGGCTCTGCTGCACCCTATGTTTTTTTGGTATATTTATTCATTTATTCATATGTGCAGACATTGTTTGGGCCATTTCTCCCCCCTGCCCCCTGCCCCCTGCCCTCTCCACCCTTTTCTTTTTCTAATAAATCTACCTATGTTTGCACAATCTGTGTCTTGTGAGCTTATTCCTAAGCCTGGTGAAGATAAGAGCCCCTGGAGTGGCCCTCCTGGACCCCACAATACCCTCTCCCTTTCTCTCACATATGTTTTCCATTTTAAACAGAGATGCCTATTGAAAGTTCCTCTTTTACTGATTCAAAATGTATCTTTTAAAAAAATCTTTTTATCTTTTAAAATCTTTAGGGTCTGTCCTCTGGATTCTCAAAGAATAGGTCAGATCTCTCTTCTATGTGACAGCCTTTCCATATACTTTGAATTAGAACATGACATGATTTCCAGATCCTAATAGAACTAGTTGTTCTTCCGTGGGTTGATGTTTCATTTTTTTCTCATCTAAATTCTCACCTTTCAAAAGGCCATTCTTTTTGTTTCATGACCTCCATGAACTTATGCTTCTAGGTTCCTCTCATCAAAGATACACCCTGGAAATCCACTGCAATTTTTCTCAGAGTCTATTTACCATAGTCACAATATGATAAACTGAAGGAATACCCTCCCCCACCAACCATTAAAAAAAAAGAGAGAGAGAGAGAGAGAGCTGGACATGGTAGTGCTTGTCTGTAATCCCAGCACACAGTAGGCTGAGGCAGGAAGATCATGAGTTAGAGGCAAGCCTGGGCTACATTGCAAGACCCTGTCTCAAAAACAAAACAAAAAGAAAATGGAAAACTCTGATTTTTTTCTCCTTGTTTTTTTGGGTTTTTTTTGGCAGCACTGGGATTTGACCTCAGGGCTTCATGCTTGCTAGGCAGGTGCTTTTACCACTTGAGTCACTCTGCCAGCCCTGAGATGAGTTTTTTTTGAGATAGGGTCTAGAGAACTATTTGCCTCCTGCTCTCTGCCTCTTGAGTAGCTAGGATTACAGGTGTGAGCCACCAGTGCCCGGCTTAAAAGGGAAAACTCTGGTATCCAAAAGTCTTTGGTCTTTGGTTTCCAAAGACTGTACATTTGGGTATCCAAAAGTCTTTGGTATCCAAAGATGTACATTCTTTATATTGGGAACTCCCAGATCTTGAATCAAAAAACAGAAATGAGTAAGAATCTGCTCATAATAATATTAGAGACAAGCCCTTTATAGAAGCCAATTACCCAAATATTATATTATTATAATTAGTTGCTATGAAGACGTGAAACAATCCTCAGAGGCAAAAAAAAGGGTCCAGGAATTTTTTTTTTTTTTTTTTTTTGGTGGGACTGGACTTTAAACTCAGGGCTTCATTCTTGCTAGGCTGGTATTCTACCGTTTGAGCCCCGCCTCCAGCCCATTTTGCTCTGGTTATTTTGGAGATGGGGGTCTCATGAACTATTTACCCAGGCTGGCCTCAAACTACAATCCTCCCAGTCTCAGTCTCCCAAGTAGCAAGGATTACAGCTGTGAGTCACTGGCTTCAGGAGTATTTTTGAGACCGTAAAATAATGACATCAACTATGGGGTATCCTAATGATTCCCTACATGGAGGGTAAAAGAGAATAAAGGGTGCTGGGCATGGTGGTTCACATTTGTAATCCCAACTATGCAAGAGAGGAAGCAGGGCAAAAATCAAGACTCCATCTGAAAAATAAACTAAAACAAAAAAGGCTAGGAGCATGGCTCAAGTGGTAGAGTACCTGCCTAGCAAGCACAAGGCTCTGAGTTCAATCCCTAGTATTGCAAAAAAAAAATGTTGTGGGGAGGGGGAGGGTGGAAGTGGGTAATGAAAGACTCAAGCAGACCCTCTCTTACCTGGGAGATGCTCAAGGAGGGGGAAGGGCAAAGCTCTTCTGGGTTCGGATTGTGCCCGTTTTCCTTTTCTCTGGCCTCAGGAGTTCTCAGAGGCTTCTCTGGGGGTTCTGGATTAGGACAGGCCTCTAAGGAGGCCCTGGGACTTGGAGTCCCAGGGCTCAAGAGGGCCCTGGGGCTGGTGGGTGAGCTCCCTCCAGAGGCTGGAGGGCTGGAGGGCATACTCCCTGAAGAGGGCCTGGGACTTGGAGGGGCTTTGGGTGGAGGAGGCCTACTGGGGGGTGCTGAGGTTCTCTGGGTAGAGGTTTTCTTCTTTGGCTGTTCGGCACCTTCACTAGAAGTGCGGGTCCGGAGGATGACTTCTGGGAGAGATGGTGGCTCCTCTGAAGAGGTCAGGGTTTTGCCTGCTTGCGGGGCTGGAGAGCAAGGGAGAACTTCCTGATGGGACTTGTCACCCTGGCCAGCGTGAGGTGGCTGGGCCTGGTTTGGGCCATTGCAGGCTGGAAGAGGCTCTTCCTCCTCAGCTTCCTCCTCAGAGGAGCTTGCTTCGGACTCATCCTCCTCCATTTCCTCATCTTTTGAGGGCTCTTCTTTGGTCTCCAAATTGTCTTCTCCCTGTGCTGCCTCAGGGGCCAGCTCTTCTTCAGCTGCTGGGATGGATTCGCTCTCACTGATCAAGCAGCCTGCAGAGGGACTGGTAGGTGAAGTCAGAGGACTGGTCACAGTAGAATTTCGAACTGGGGAGGAGATGACTAAAGAGCGCCTGCTGCTGCTAAGAAAAGAAGGGCACTTGGATTCAGAAATCACCTGTGTCCTGAAGCAATAATGCATGCACACAATAATAAAACAGAATAAAGCAACTTGAAATGATGTTAGGGTAATTGGTAATTATGCTTATGTTATAAAATAATGTAAAAAAATACAAAATTATATCTGTATCATGATCTCAATTATCTAAAAATATGTAAAGAAAAGAGACTAAGAGAAACAGCAGGTTATTAACAAATATTTCCTCCGGGGAAGAGAACAATGATCCACAGATTTTCTATTTGTGAATTCACCTACTTATTTATTTCAGCCCCAAGTCAATACTTCAGGCGCTTTCCCAGTCATTCGTGGACATGTGTGAATGGTGAAAAATGGCTCACCTGATGCGCACTGTCTCAGCTGAGACTTAACAAGGCAACCATCTGTCTTTCTGTTTCAGCTCTCAGACTGTAAACAACTAGCTCTTTCATCATGGCTTTTTGCATTTTTGTGCTTCTTTGGGGTGACTGCTTTTAAAATGGGGCCAAGCTGAAGTGAGTGCCTTACAGAGGAAATGTGTGAGTTAGGCAAACTTCATTCAGGCATGAGTTATGGTGCTGTTGGCTGTAAGTTCAAATATTAAAGAAGCAATGGCTCTATGAAATAATGTCTTTAAGCACTCACATAAAACAAGGTTATGTACTGATTTGTTGATTAAAATGTGACTGGAGGCTTATAGAATCTTAGCACTGTTTTTTCTTTCTTTCTTTTTTTTTTTTTGTGTGGTACTGGGTTTTGAACTCAAGGCCTACACCTCGAGTCACTCCATCAGCCCTTTTTTGTGATAGGCTTTTTCGAGATCGGGTCTCTCAAATTATTTGCCTGGACTGGCTTTGAACCAGGATCCTCCTGATCTCTGCCTCCTAAGTAGCTAGGATTACAGGCATGAGCCACTGGCACCCAGCTAACGTGTTTTCTGAATGGCAATGGTTTAGTATTTATGTCTATGGCAACTCTATCGAACCTAATCACCATGAAAAACACAAATCAACTATGACATTTACCCAGTACCTACTGTGTGCTATGTACTGTGTTGAGTATTTCTCTAGCCAACATCAGCTTGATTCCTCCTTCACCTCCTTGTGTGCCTCCTTTGTACTGCCCACCAATGGATTAAGCAACCCACAAATATGTACTTGACAGGCTCCAACTATGTGCTGTTGTCTTGGGCATAAGGATGGAGATGGGAGCCAAGAAACTTAGGTCAAGCCCTGTGGGAGTTTCTGATGTGGGATATGAGGCATGACAGGTTCTTTCTAACACAAGCATTCCAAGAGTCCCTAAGTTTAGAAGGACATAAGCAAAAAATCCAATTTCTGGACATGTCAGTGTGATGGTAAGTTTGGAAAGAAAGGAAGTTACAGAGAACTCTGGCTTTCAGTGCTACAAGACAGGAGAAATGAAGCTTTTGGAATTGAACAAAAAGAAATTTCTTTAAGAAGTCTACATTGACTCTACAGCAAATTTTTTTTTTTAAGTCTGTAATTAGGGCTGGTGGAGTGGTTCAAGTGGTAGAGCACCTGCCTAGCAAGTGTGAGGCCCTCAGTTCAAACCCCAGTACTGCCAAAAAAAAAAAAAAGTTTGTAACTAATTGCTAAATGAGAAGTGCAAACAACAAATGAGTCCTAGTCTTCTTTCCAGTCCCAAGCTCAGGTTCACCACCTGCTGAAAGCCCTCCCTAACCATCCACATGTAGGCAGTTACTTACCTCTCTGGAATTCCTACTGGTCTCTGGCATTTAGCATGTGCAAGCTTATCTCCTTTCTTCCTTGTCTCCTTAAGCATATTTTCTAAACTTGAAACTTTTTGTAAGTCACATTAGGGAAAAGTCAAGTCTCCCTTGTTATTGGATCCCTAAGACCCATCATAAGACCTTGTACACAGAAGGAGCTTGAAGAAACTTCCTGAACAAAAGCTTCTGAATGACCAAAGCATCACATTCTGCAGGGCCACTGAACTGATGACACTTTCCAGTGTGAAGAATGTCCCAAAGCAAAAGACATCACACAAAAAAAGTAGAGAAAGCATGCCAGAACAGATTGGGGAAAGACATTTGCAATGCATACAAGTAAAGGATTAGTACCTAGAAATGCCAAAAAAAAACCCCTCATATAAGCCAATTTTTCCAAAAAAAAGCTCACAACCCGATTGAAAACTAGGAAAATTGCGGGGACCTTAAATCACCAATAACATGAAAAGATACGCAGGGAGGGTATTGAGCTGTGGCTTAAGACTGCAAAGAATTCCATTTCCTATCCATAGCTTGGAAGAATTAAGAAGTGTGACAATTTCACACACAGCAAGAAGGTGGAACCTTGTGGGCTTGTGTTCGTCACTGGAACGGTCACTTGGAAGAACAATTTGGCAATGTCTAGTAAGGCTGATGAAGCCGGCGACAGTCTGACAGCAGTTCCACTCCAGATCAAGACCTAAAGGAACTCAGGGTAATATTCACGAGGAGAAACGTACATGCTTCTTGCAACATATTTGAAATAGCAAAAAAACTGGAAAATAAGCTAAATGCCCAATAGCAGGAACAGGGATAAATAAATCATGACTTGGCACACAAGAGCATCAATAACACTTCAAGCAAAGCTAGCAACATGTAGCAACAAAGAGCAATTTCTCAAGAGATACTAAGAAAACAAAAGAAGTTACACTATAGTCCCAGCATTTGGGAGGCTGACAGGGGAGGATCACTTGAGCTCAGATCACTTGAACCCAGGAGTTCAAGACCAGTCTGGGCAACACAGTAAAACCCTATGGGGTGGGGGGGTCGGGAGTGTGGTACATGACTGTAATCCCAGACTCGGGAGGCTGATGTAGGACTGTGAATTCAAAGCCAACGTTTTGCTTACTGAAATAACCTAATGAGTCTCCTCTATTTTGGTCCTCTTTTGATCTCTTTTCCCTTGCTGCAACGCTAATGATCTTTCTGAAAGGCAAATCTCTTTATGCCATTCTCCTATGAAACCCTCTCAAGGCCCTAAGTTCAATCCCCAGCACAGTAAATAAATATAAATAAATAATAATAAAAACAATAAAACCTTCTCATGCTTCCCATTTTCCACAGCAAACAATAAAGCTCTCTCCATGACTTGTAAGGAGGTCATCAGTGACTTGGCTCCCCATTTCTGCCACTCCCCACTTTCCCAGCATTGCACTGCATCAGTGGCAGGTCTGTCTGTCTGCTCTCCTGGCCAGCTGCTGTGCATTTGTCAGGTTTCCAACTTGGCTTGTTCCAGCAAATCTTTCCTGATTCCACAAGACTGGATCAAGTGTTCCTTTTCTGTTTTTCCTGGGTTTATCCCAAGGAAAAAAGTACTTACCAATCGAAGTACTTTATCCTTCTTTTGTAATTGTCTTTTTTCCCCCCCAGTACTGAATAATGAACTCAGGGCCTCATGCTTTGCAAACACTACCACAACCCAAGTTGTAATTGCCTCTTTACTTTTTTGTCTCCTCCATTAAACTTTGATAACCTTGAAGAGAAAGAGAAGAGAGAGAGAGAGAGAAAGACAGAGAGAGAGAGAGAGAGAGAGAGAGAGACAGAGACAGCCAGCCTGGGCTACATAACAAGACCCTGTCTCAAAAAAAACCCCAAAAAGTTGCAGAAAAATACCTACAGTATAAGACAACTTATATAAAATGTAAAAACATGCAAAACAATGTTTAATGTGTAAAATAAAAGTAAAAATACATGCATGAAAATAATAAATACTAAATATAATATGTCAGTTACCTTTGGTAGGAACAGCAACAGAATGTAAGTGAAGGACACTGGGAGCTTCAACTACATTTACAGGAGTTAATTTCTTCAATTTGGTGGTGGGTATGTAGATAATTTTTGTATTATTCATTATACCTTTAGTTATGTCTGAAATACTTAATGAAATGAAAAATAACTGATAGGGGGCATATCACAAACAGCAAGCACAATGACCATGAACATAAAGGAAAGGCCTGGATTTTGAACTGGAGATGAGGATGTTGATATGCTCATACACAGGACAAGTGAACAAGGAAGTCACTCACCTTGACAGTCCCTTCACCACAAAGACCTTGTTGGAATGCTGCTTCTCCAGTTTGCTCATCACCTCATAGAGATTGTGGTTCAGCTAGAGCCAGCAAGAAAGAAGGGGTTGCTGGCTAAATGGAAACCCCAAACTGTCCTCCAGGCAGCTTTCCCAAATGGCACCTTCTCACCCTTCCACTCTGACCTGTAATTCCTTCTCATCTCCCTAAGCACTAGCCTCCAGGGGCCCATCCCACCACCCCTTCTTTGCTTCATGGTGCCCTGAAGTCTACCGCTTCTATCAGCCTGGCAGCTTTGTCCAAGCAGAGTCTATAACTGTTTGATTTGAGGTTCCACCTTCTCTTACGTGATCCAGGGAATGAAAACTCAGCTTAATATTAACTAGGCAAATCATTATTTAGCCAAAGAAACTGTGGAAGGAATATGTGTGGCTGTGTGTGAATATATTAGAGTAGCAAGAATCTCAGACTAGCAAAGACCTCATGAGATCATGTGACATGGCTGCCTGTCACTGGCAGAACTGGTGCTACTCAAGTTCAACCACCTGAGAAACTGACTTCTACTTAGACACTGCCCTCCCCACTCCCCAGAAAAAAACAGAGATTTTACAACCCCATTTCCATTTGTCTTCCAAAGGGCTTAACCTCTTTATTCATGTAGAAGCTTGAGTTCAGATGCTTTTAAGCAGTAGTTAGGGGAAATGGAGAGGCCCCTCTGATAATGTACATAGGCTCTTTAATATAGTTCAACCCAGTCAATCAAATGCTGTTATTTAATCATGACATAAAAGTCAATATCTGTATGGTCAATATGGATATTTAAAGAAATTATGTAAATTAGAGCTATCTTTACATTTACTAAAAAAATCCACTAAAGTGTTTCTCACCTTGCTCATCTCCCTGTAGAAGACATCCCTCAAGTTGGAAATGTTTTGGAAGATGGTCACATAACAGCCAATACGACTATCAGGAGGCAAAACAACAAACACAAACAGGTCAGGGATAGTAGAGGTCTTTGTTCAAAATACCAGTAGGTATTTTCTGTATGCATTAAAGCATATTCTGTACAATGAAAACAGAACTGTACAATGAAAATGGAATACAAATGGAGTTTCTGCTCAGATTTTCTCCCATGTGGAAAATGTAAATCTGGAACGTGTTCATCTAGTGTGAAGCAAGGCACTTTCAATAATGCAAATGACCAGCTAATCATCTATGTAAATCTGGATACTCATGAACAAAGCTCTTTGAAAAAACACACTTGAGCAGGACCACAGATCCTTGCAGTGTGCATGACAGGCCATTACTTGCCAAGATCTCTCCTACCCAAGAAGCATTTTGTCTTCAGACCCAGACAAGCTGGCAGGGCAAGCACGGTTATCTTTGTATTGGAGGTGAAGAAATCTGGGCCTAGGAGATAAGGTGGCTTGCTAGCAAGTTAGTGGCAGGGCTGAGGCTCCATCCCACTCTTGGATCAGGGCTCTTTACATCAGGTGCCCTAGGGTGAGCTGCCAGGCCGTCCTCTCTGAGTCTCAGCTGTTACCTATTATAAAGAATAGGCAGCTCCTCCAGTAGTTCCTGGTTCAGATCTTCAAACACAGTCTGGGCCTTGGTGAATTCCTCCTCCGCCTAAGTGGTAAGAGAGATACGACAATCCCCCTCCATCCTGAACTCAAGGTTAGAGGCTGCTCTGCATTTTTTTCTGGGAGGAGACTTATTTGGAACCATTCCCCCTCCTCTGCTTCCCCAGATCTGTGCCCTCCCAGCCTCAAGACTGACTGTCCTTACATCAGTGTCAGAAGAAACCAGATTTCCCTCAGTTCACTGGATGTTGAATTTATCATTTCCTGAACCCATCTTGGCCCAGTCACCTGCCATCACTCAGTAGGAGGGAGAACAGGAAGATTTTACCAGGTTTGTTTTGTTACCTTGGCAGTCTTGGCCTCATCTTTCTTCTTAGCATTCTGCACCGCCTCCAGGTGGTGTCGGGCACTGTCATAGTCCACAAGTTTCCGACCCCGTTTGGCAATTCTTTCCTAACCAGAGTGTGGTATTTTCTTGTCAGTGGCCAGGATGTGCGAAACAGAGTATCAAGCAGAGAAGCAAGGTTCTTGGGTCTTATTATACAATTTTACTTTCTATAGGGGTTTTATACCCCCAGGGATTTCCTTCACTATCTTAGAAGAATGGGGATTCTCAGGCGGAGCTAGAGCAAGAGGCAACGCTACAGAGCACGTGGGAATTTCACTATGTTTTAAGAGCCCGTTATAAACTGGTTCAGCCTCCAGGAGAAACAGTCTAAACTGAAGGGCGGGGGCTGAGGCCTTGACTTGGCTGATTCATTGATCCACGGGGCCCAAATGCAGCTCACTGAAACCTAAGTTTAAATGTAATCTCCACATTACCTCTAGTCTTCCTTCCTAACCTCTTATCTAACCCTCAACCCTAATCCTTCTGCTGATCTACCCAACTTTACTCTTTGCCTATATCTCGAGCCACTCCACCAGTCCTTTATTTTTTATTTTTTATTTTTGGTAAAGGGTCTTTTTGAGATAGGGTCTCGTGAACTATTTCCCTGGGCTGACTTTGAATCGAGATCCTCCTGATCTCTGCCTCCTGAGTAGCTAGGATTACAGGTGTGAGCCACTGGCTCCCAGCTTCCCAACTTCATTCCTAACCAAGTGCTCTACTTGTAATGTTTAACCTGATACATTTTCTAACTGGCATGGGCCATCTACCACCTAGCCTTGACTCTGTAGATCACATACCTTAACCTCACTGAACTGGGCCACATAGTTTTCCATGGTCCTCACGGCCTGGTCAGCCAGTTTCTCTTCATAGTCTTCCCAAAGGAGGTCATTGTTCTGTGGGATAGAGGCAGAGGCTTGGTGAGGGCCCCACTTCTCAACTACTGCCTACCAGGGGAAATACCCAAAGTCTCCCTGCAAAAGAAAAGAGAACATTTTTGTAGCATTGTATTTGGACTACAAAGTTATATGATATGCTTAAAATAGATTGTTAGATTCTGGGGAAGAGCCAGAAAAAGAAAAGAGGAACTACTCTACAGGAGACTGAACAGACTGAGAGGGGAGAATAGAAACACCCATTCTGCCAGGACTTAAGAGCCTAGAGCATAGGGGAGATTGGGAATACTTAGCTGCATAAGGTTAGTTTTCAGAAAGAACTCATTTTTAGGAGGTTAAGACTTCTATAATGTCTTCAAGATGGGAAAGAGGTTCAAAACCACAGAAATCAAGAGACTGGGGAAAATTTGTATGTCCTTAAGAGTTGCAATATTTTTACCTGCAGTCACTACCTTGTGACTGAGGCTGTGCCACTAGACAGTGTGAAGTGGCTTCTTTGTGTCCCTGTTTCCTTGGATGGGGAGGCCCAGTTGAGCTGAGCTGAGGACCACGTGTGTGTTGAAGAGTCATGAGGCCCAAGACATCCAAGTTGCCCTTACCCCTACGATGGCCTTCAGCTCCTCATGCCCATCCCACTCGCTGCTGTAGATCTCCTGCAGGGTTTCAGACACTCTCTTCGAACTTTCATGCATCACTGCAAGAAGAGAACTCAGTCCTACCATCAAATTTGATGTGATCTCTTGGGTGACATGTTGGTGGGTCCAAGTCAGAAGGCCAAACTCAGAAGGCTAGGTTATTAGTGAGGGATGGTTGATGGGGCTGGGATAGGAAAAAAATCACTCCTAGGCTCATCAAGTTCCCAGAATAAGGGGTAGGAAACACAGTCTGGTTGTTTTGTCCACCCCGAGCCTCTTCATAAATGCCCCCATGATTTTCTGTGCTGAATACCCACCTTTGACGGCACTAAGGAAATTCTTCAGGTCCTTGTATAGCTTGTGGCCTTCTGCCTGAAAAGGAAAAATAGCTTTGGTGACTAAAGAGATAGATTTTAAAAGATACTTCATGCTCCAGAAGCCAACATTGAAAAGTAGGTTAATGCCAGGCACCAGTGGCTCACGCCTATAAATCCTAGTTACTCAGGAGACAGATATCAAGAGGATCAGGGTTCAAAGCCAGCCTGGACAAAGACCCTTTCTTGAAAATAACCAACACACACACCAAAAAAAGATCTGGTGGAGTGACTTAAGTTGTAGTCCCTGAGTTCAAACCCCAGTTCTGAAAAAAAAAAAGAAAAGAAAAGTAGGTTAAACACAATTCACTCCTGGAATTTCTTCAAATGGTCAGGATTGTTATAAATTGCATTTACTGTCTTTAGCAACAGTTGTAGGCTGTCTCCTTGGGGTCAGTGTTTAAGTTGGGGGTTGCTAGAGCTCCCTGGCATGCCTTCTGTCTTCTGTCTGTTCTCCTTTCAGTAAATGAGAGCCTATACCCAAGCTCTTCTATTGAAATTTACATGTCCTCTGTGTGATAGTGTCTATGTGATGCTCTGGCTCACACCTTCTTCTGTGGGTAAAGTCTACCATTTTCTGCAGGAACCAGGCCTCTTCCTTTTCTGAATCATCAGACAGACATTCCTTTCATCCATGCCACCCTTCTTTACCTTGCCTCACTTGCCCTCCCATCGCTTACCTGCATTATACTTCTCCAAGGACCATGTAGCTAGACTCTCCTGTTCCTCCCCAACATCTTCACCTATAGTTCTATCTATTCTTTGTTCTATCTTTGCTCCTGTGTCTGAATTCTTATTTTTTTAGGCTACAACTCCTGAGTGCAGAGTAAGTCTCTCTTTTTTAAAAAAGAAGGAGGGGCTAGCGGAGTGGCTCAAGTGATACAGTACCTGCTTAGCAAGCATGAAGCCCTGAGTTCAAATCCTAGTCCCACCCCCCGAAAATAAAGAGGGGGAGCCAGACACAGTGGCAAGTACCTATAGTCCCAGCTACATGGGAGACTGAGGCAGGAGGATCACAGGAGCATAGGAGTTTGAAGCCAGCCTGGACAACATAGCAAGATCTTGTCGCAAAATAAATAAGTACATGAATAAATAAAAATTTTAAGAGGGGCAGAGAGACGAACTGCCTTTTTTTTTGGAGGGGCAGCACTGGGGTTTGAACTCAGGACCTCACTCTTACTAAGCAGGTGCTCTTACAGCTTGAATTACTCCAGCAGTTCACATGGTAGAGCACCTGCCTAGCAAGCATAAGGCCCTGAGTTTAAACCCCAGTATCACCTAAATAAACAAATAAATAAATAAGTAACATGGATGTGGGAGATAGTTATAAGTTTGCAAGTTTTGAGTATATGATTATCAAGGTTCTAAACAGCTTTGAAAGCATTTTGGGAATTGTAGTCATTAACAAGACTTTTACATTCCAGCTTTGTTTTGTTTTGTTTTGGTGGTGGTACTGGGGTTTCAACTCAGAGCCTCATGCTTACTAGGCAGTGCTTTACCACTTGAGCCACTCCACCAGTCCTGTTTTGTGTTGAGTATTTTCTAGATAGGGTCTCATGAACTATTTGCCTAAGTTGGCCTTGAACCTCTATCCTCCTGATCTCTGCTTCCTGAGTAGTAGGATTACAGGCGTAAGCCACCAGCGCCCAGCTCAAATTCTTTTTTTTCTTGAAAGAAGGCAATGTGGACATAACTTTTTATTTCACTATGAAAACTTGATTAAAAAAAAAATAAAACAAAACAGGTGGGCACCAGTGGCTCACGCCTGTAATCCTAGCTACCCAGGAGGCAGAGATCAGGAGGATCATGGTTCAAAGCCAGCTCAGGCAAATAGTTTGGGAGACTGTATCTTAAAAATACCTAACACACGCAAAAAAAAAGCTGGTGGAGTAGCTCAATGTGGAGGACCTGAGTTCAAGCCCCAGTACTACAAAAAAAAAAATTGAGTAATAAAAACTGCTAAACTATCTTACATAATTTCCTTCCTTCCTCCTTCCTTCTTCCTTCCTTCCTTCCTGCTTTTTTTTGAACGGGGTCTTCCTTGAAGCCCAGGCTGGCCTCAAACTCATGTTCCTCAGTTCTGGGATTACAGGTGTACACCACTACACTCAGTTCATTTCACGTAATTTCTATAAATGAAAGTCTTAGTTTTTCAGATATCATATTGAGAGTGGATCTGGAGGTGGTTATGGTTGCAGAGGGTGGTGAGATCAGCCCTGGGTGTCATTTTATTTCTCTGACCTGTCCATCCTTCCCTGAAAAATGTCTCCAGGCTGATTAATTCCAGCATCTTCTCCTTTCCTGACACGTGACTCAGTGTTTAAGTCCTCTCTTGTCTGGGAGTCAAGTATTTGGCTCTGCTCCCCACTAGCAAGTTATTCTACTTCTCCAGCTTCAGTTTTCTCATCTATAAATGCAGGGTAAGGCCATGTCTACTCTAGATCTGATGATTTTATCACTTCCGCTCTCTGAAACCTTGCCAAATGCTTGGCATTGCTATAAAGGGTCTGAGTCAGTCCTTCCCACCCTTCAGATACACAGTCCCGGCCCTCAGTTAATGAGCCACTCATTGTGGAGGCTTGTCCTATGCAGTCGGGTAAGCTGGGGATATAGCTCAGTGGCAGGGTGCTTGCCTAAGCAGTCAGCTAGACAGGGCTAGGTCCTAAGAGAATGGAGGACTGAGGCTGGAGAAGAAGGTTGTCTGGGGTTCCCTATGTGCTATGGATAAATGGATTCTGAGAAACCCAACACTCAGTCAGACAAGGGTGAACAGCATGAACAAACCCCGAGCAAGTACTCTAGGGCTGGGGCATGGCTCAAGGAGTAGAGTACCTGTCTAGCAAGTGCTAGGCCCTGAGTTCAATCCCCAGTACCACAGGAAAAAAATGTTTGATTGGCGGGGGAGGGGGGAGAAGAGGGGGAGGGGTGCAGGGTAGAGAAATGACCCAAACCATGTATGCACATGTGAATAAAAAAATAAAAATAAAAAAAGCTTGATTTAATGGAGGTTCATCCAGGAAGAAAGGATGAAGCTAGATTGTTAGATGTGGCTTTTAAAAAGAATGAATCGGAAGTAAATGTCAGTAGTAGAAGTAAGAGATTAAAGAACATTACATATTCCTCCTATGTAATATTTTTTGAGCTGGGGACTGAGCAGAGCAGAGCTCAGAATTACCTATGGAAAGTTAATCAGGCAAGTGGCAAGACCTTGAAACCAAACTGGGGAGTTGGGAGTAATAGAAACTACTAATAAAAAGTTGAACTGGGTGCAGTGGCTCACACCTGTAATCCTAGCTACTCAAGAGATAGAGATTGGGAGGATTGTGGTTCTAGGCCAGCCTGGGCAAAGTTTGTGAGACCCATCTCAACCAATAAAAGCCGGGTGTGGTGACTCATACCTGTTAGCCTAGCTATTCAGGAGGCACAAAGAGAAGGATCCTGGTCCAAGCCAGCCTGGACATAAAGTGAGACCCTCTTAGAAAAATACCTAAAAAGCAAAAAGGGCTGGGGCACGACTCAAATGGTAAAGCTTCTGCCTAACAAGTACAAGGCCTGAGTTCAAACCCCAGTACCATAAAAAAACATGGATCCCATAGTTAATGATCTCCAGTGGCTGTTAACATCACAAGAAAAAAGAGACCTTGACATTGTGTGCCTTCTGATGGAGGAATAGAATAACATCTGGGAAGTATTCTTGCCACCCAAACAAACAAAAACAAAAACCTAAATCTCATCCAGATGCTAAATCTACCGATTTACAGAAGATACAGGAGACAGGAACACGTGAACCAATGCCATGGGCATTCAGTCAGCGAAATATGAACTGCAGGACAAGCGGGGTTATCAGCGTGTAGGCTGCAGGGGGGAAGGACTGGAAGTGTAGAGACTGAGGGACTTGCCTTCAGATCAAGGACGTGTAAACATGTCAGTGAAGAGCTGACTTAAACTGTAAGAACAAAAGTGGTGATTCAGTGAGGAGAATTTGGACATTGAATGATTTTTGTTGTTGTTGCTGGTTTGTTTTGTGGTTCAGGGATGGAACCAAGGACTTTGCACATGCTAGGTAAACATGCTACTACTAAGCTAAATCCCCTAGACTGGATTTTTTTTCTTTTCTTTTTTTGGTCAGGGGTTGAGGGAATGGGGCCCAGAACCTTGCACATGCTAGGGGAGTAGTCCACCACTGACCTATATCACCAGCCCTTGACTGACATTTTGTTTTGTTTTGGCAGTACTGGGGTTTGAATTCAGGGCCTCACACTTGCTAGGCAGATGCTGCACCATTTGAACCACTTCACCAGCCCTTTTTTGTGATGGGTTTTTGTGAGATAGGGTCTCCTCAAACTGTTTGCCTGGGCTGACTTTGAACTGGGATCTTCCTATCTCTGCTTCCTGAGTAGCTAGGATTACATGGGTGCCTGGTGACTGGACATTTTGATATAAAGGAGTGATGCTAATTTTTTTAGATAGTACTAAAACTTACATTTCTTTGTGGTACTATTGATTAAACTCTGGGCCTCATGTACACTAGACAAGCACTTACCACTGATCTACATCTCCAGTGGGTTTCTTTTTTTTTTTTTTTTGGTGACACTGGAGTTTGAACTCCAGGCCTCACACTTGCTAGGCAGGCACTCTTCCACTTGAACTACTCCAATAGGCCTAAAATTTACATTTTGGTAGAATATTTAATCTGAATTATCTGCAAAGATAGTATGTTATTAAGGGAAAAAAGCAAGTTGCAAAACTATATGGATGTAGGCAGGTATGGTGGTGCATTTCTGTAATCTCAGCACTCAGGAAGCTGAGGCAGGATGATCCTGAGTTTGAGGCCAGCTTGGGCTACATAGTGAGACCCTGCCTCCTCCCCCACCCCCAAAAATTCACACGCACATGCACACACACAGACATACACAAACCCAAACACAGCAGCAACAACAAAACTGAAATACCTTCACATTTACTTATTATGGATTTTTATATCACTATGGATATATTTATATACCATACACATACATAGCAAAATAATTTTAAGGATATAAAACAACAGTGGATGTGGCTTAGGAAGTGTAAAGTCGTTATTGTTTTTAAGTTGATTTTCTTTCTTTTTTTTGGTTTTTGGTACTGAGGTTTGTACTCAGGGCCTACACCTGAGCCACTCCACCAGGCCTATTTTTTGTGAAGGTTTTTTTGAGGTAGGGTCTTATGAACTGTTTGCCCGGGCTGGCTTTGAATCATGATCCTCCTGATCTCTGCCTCCTGAGTAGCTAGGATTACAGGCATGAGCTACTGGCACCCAGCTCTTTCTTTTTTTCTTGATGTACTTTCTGATTTGCTGTAATAAGTAAATGTTTTATAGAAAACCATTTTTAGGTATAATAATGATATTGTGACTACATTTGAAACAGTCCTGTTCAGAGACAGGAAATGAAATGTTTATGGATGAAATGATACCTGGAATTCGCTTCATAAAAATCAAGAATAGAAGAAAAGTAAATAGACACATAGATGAAACAGAATTGCCCAGGAGTTGATAAATTGTTGAGGCTAGGTGATGGGTACATGAGGATTAATTATACAAATCTCTCTTGTCAGATATGTATCTGATATTTTCCACTGAAAAAGTTAAAGCCAGGTGTGGTAATGTATACCTATAATTCCAGCACTTAGGAGGATCAAGAGTTTGAGGCGGCCAGATGCCATTGGCTCGCACCTGTAATCCTAGCTACTTGGGAGGCTGAGATCAGGAGACCTGTCATTCAAGACCAGCCCAGGCAAATAATTCATGAGACCCCATCTTCAAAATAACCAAAGCAAAATGGACTCAAGAGCACCTGCTTTGTAAGTGCATAGTCCTGAGTTCTACCGAAAAAAAAAAAAAAATTTGAAGTGGCTGGGGACATGGCTCAAGAAGTAGAGTGCCTGCCTAGCAAATACAAGGCTCTCAGTTCACTAATGCAAAAATAAGTAAACAAGACAGAAAAAAAAAAGTTCAATGCTGTCCTAGGCTACACAGCAAAACCCTGCCTCAGAAACAAACCAAACAATAAAGTTTAATAGATTCCCAGACCCTACTCCCAGAGAATTTGCATTTTCAAATATTTCTGGATGATTCTGCTACATCGTCAACTCTTCTACTCCCTCTCCTTTTTCTTCTTCCCCTTCCTGCTCCTCCTCCTCCATCTTCTTTTCTCTCACTCTTTTTTAGATAGGGTCTTGCTGTGTAACCCAGGCTGGCTTCAAACTCAGGATCCTTCTGCTTCAGTCTCCTGAGTGCTGGGATTATAGATATGAGCCACCATGTCCAACTGTAATCCACATCTTAACTCTAAAATGTAAATATTCTACATGAAAGTACCTATAATTCTCTGTTGAGATAAAAGAGTGATGAGAATAGAAGATCTGCTGGTAGAAATGACAAACGTAAGAGCGAAGGATTATTCTGGAATAAAGGGTTTAGGTGGAGCAGACACAGTAGACAAAGAGGCATCAGAAAAACATGGGGCTGTTGAAATGAGAGGAGACCGGGCTAGGAAGGGCACCCTGGGAAGGTGAAGCCAAAAACTAAGTTGCCAGGGGCTCACTTTGATGTCTAAAGACTGTACTTTGGGAGTCCTCAGGGAAACCACTAAGAAAAAAAGAACAGCCCTCTGTCCCCCAAATCCTAGGGGAAGGATAAGCAACAGGTCACCCTGCGGTCCTGTGCCCTGGGGGGAGGGTGAGCTGCTAAGGATGCTTGTTGGTTTGCAGAACCTGTATTCCTCTGCCACTCAATCCTCATGTCTTCTTTCTCAAGCTCTCTCCTTCCCCGCCCTCCCAATTACCTGTTGTTGGTAGAAGTTGCTGGCACTTTGTTCAAATCGCTCATCTTTGGTTTCCACAGTTTTTCCCAGCTTTTGGAGTACCTGGGGATGTAAGACAGAAGGCCATAAGGTCAAAGTCAAGTCTCTCTTAGTCGTACAGCCTCACTCAGAGTCTCAGGTACAACTATTCACCCAGTAGAACTAGGAATGTAATATGTTGCTTTGAAAACAAAAACAATCATGTTTGGTGGTTCTTCTCAAATTGGAGTAACCGGGTATGCAGCAGGGCGCTCAAGGATCAATCTGTCTGTCTCTCAGAATAAATACGATGTCTCCTTCTGGAATCTCATCGTTATTTAAAGCATGTGTTTTATTCAGTTGTTGTTTGCTTTGGGTACAGGGATTGAATCCAGAGCCTTGAACAAGTTAGGTTTAAATTGATTTTTTATTTTTGGTACTAAGGCTTGAACTCAGGGCCTATACCTCGAGTCACTCCACCAGTCCCTTTTTTTGTGATGGGTTTTTTTTAGACAGGGTCTTTCAAACTATTTGCCCAGGCTGGCTTCAAACTGTGATCCTCCTGATCTCTGTTTCCTGAGTAGGTAGGGTTTTATAGGCGTGAGCTACCAGCACCAGGCTTAAAGTGATTTTTTTAAGGGAGAAGAGAGGAAGTGTTACATTAAAACAAGAATTAATGAGAACAATGTAAAATGCATAGCTTTTAAATATAAAACGAGAACCTTCCAGACATTTTTCACTTAAGAGATTCATTCAGCTGGAGTCACAATTCTTCGCCATAGAGAGGTGGGCAAGAGACTCTCCTGTCGTGAGGGCCCTTGTGGAAAACTTTGAGAAGCCTGGATATAATATTTTTGAAACTCAGCTAGAAATAAATGTTGTCCATGTCTGTCTCCTCTCAATGACAAAACATGAGAGCCAACCATTGTACTGGTCTCAGTGTTAATGCGAAGATAGGAGAATGCTGAAGACACAGTCTCTGTCCTCACAGGGGACACTCATAAACAAGTAATTACATGTGGCAAGAAAGACCTGAGTCTTCTACTGTAACCCCTAGTTTGGAAAGAGGCACCATCACGCCCCAGGCCCAAGGTGGTTCAACTTCTCCCTTGCCTTCCGCATTGAATCCCGCACCACATCCATCTCTGGAACCATCCTATGTCTGGTCTCACTGCCATACCTTAGTCCAGGTGTTCATACTTTCTTCCCTGGCCTTCGGCAATAGGTCTTCCACTTAAAACCTTCTAATGGTTCCTCAGTCATGGGCTCCATTTTTATTAAAAGCCCATTATGGACCCATTATTAGGTCATACTCAAACACTAGCATGCATACTAGTCCTAATGGTCCCAAGGAGGGGACCCTTTGTTAAGTTTAGTTTTCATTATTCCTCCTCCTCAGGTCTCCCTACATGACAGGTTTTTTTGTTTGTTGGTTTTGTTTCCTTTCCTGAATAAGCCACACAGTTATTTGTCATAGATGTTGTTCCCTCTGTCTGTTGTTTTCTAGGTGTTTTTTTGGTTGGACTGAGATTTGCACTCAGAGCTTTGCGCTTTCAAAGCAGGCACTCTACCACTTGAACCACACCTCTGTTGCCTCTTTCTGGAATGCCCTTTCCAGGGCTGGTGGAGTGGCTCAAGTGGTAGAGTGTCTGTCTGTTTGCCTAGCAAGCATGAGGCCCTGAGTTCAAACCACAGTGCCACCAAAAAAAAAAAAAAAAGATGGAATGCCTTTTCCTACTTCGTCTGCCAGGCAAATATCAAAAAAAAAAAAAAAAATCCAGTTCATACTCCTTTATAACATTTCTCCATATTTACTTCATTCCATTAAAGTTAATCACGCCTAAATGCTTGCAAGTTTGGTACTTTACATCTAATTCTTTTTTTTCAGTACTGGGATTTGAACTCAGGGCCTTCACCTTGAGCCACTCCACCAGCCTTTTTTTTTCTTTTTTTTCTTGTTGGGTATTTTCAAGATAGGGTCTAGAGAACTATTTGCCCAGGCTGGCTTTGAACCAGGATCTTTCTGATCTCTTCCTCCTAAGTAGCTAAGATTACAGATGGAGCCACAGGCACCCAGCTGTTTTTAGTGGCAGTAGTATCCATTTGCCTATGTTTCCCAAACTGTTACTCTTTAGGGATTTGATACTTGCTTCCTTTTTTTTTTTTTTCACTTTGGTCTCACTTTAATGTTATGAAATGAAAGTGTACAAAACTGATCAGAATAGGGAGGGGGAATAAAGGAGAATGATGAGGGAGGTAAATTCAACTATGATATATTGTAAGAACTTTTGTAAATGTCACAATGTGCCCCCAGTACAACAATAATAAAAAAAAAATTTAAAGAAAATACACATCATCATAGTTTTACTGTCATGAGATATACTGATATTTATAACTCCCTTCTTCCACTAAGCATTTCATGTTTTCTTTTTTTATTATTATTATAAATTATGCTTCCTTATTTAGATCTCTCAGTTATTCAGCACATTGATACTTAGTAATTTTAAAACAAGGGAGAGTGAGACTGATACAAAAGAGGACTAGCCGCTAGGATTTTGAAGTAGGATTTTGCTAGACTGGAATAGAGTTTAAAGAGTGAGAGTGGAGCAGAGTGCAATGGCTCGCTCCTACAATTCCAGCTACTTGGGAAGTAGAGATCAGGAAGATCTTGGTTGGAAACCAGCCCCAGGAAAAAGCTAGCAAAACCCTATCTCAACCAATAAAAGCTTGGTATGGTAGTGGACACCTGTCATCCCAGATGTGTGAGAGGCATAAATCAGAGGATCATGGTAAAGCCTGGCCCGGGCAAAAATTTGGAGACCCTATTCAAAAAATAACTAAAGCAAAAAGGGTTATGGGTGTGGCTCAGGTAGTAGAGTGCCTGCCTAGCAAATGCAAGGCCCTGAATTTAAACCCAAGTACCTCCCATTCACCCCTCCCCCTCAAAAAAAAGTGAACGTGAAAAGAGCATTCCGGCAAGTCCTGGGAGTGTGTATCTTCCCACAGCTTCCTGGGAGGGTTTGGCGAGGCTCATTTAGGGTGTGTTATGGGGAGTGGTGCAAATGTAGTTAGAGAGGGAGACTGGAGTCTCATGAAAGGGTTTAAATTACATGCAAGAGTGCCCAGGCTTGGGCAGTGAGGAAGGCTCTGGGTAGACTCTGACCCAAGTGTCTCCAATCTTACTGGTGGGTGGGGTCAGGCCTGTGACTTCAGATGCTCTCTCTGCAGTGGTTAAGAGCCAGGGCTTTTGGGATCAGATATTAACTCCATCTTGGCCTTTCCACTTAGTGGCTATAAGCTTTTGGGCAAGTCACTTAAAATTGAGCCTCAGTTTCCAGAGCTTTCTTTCCTTCATTAAGACAATATTTATCTCCTGGAATTTTTGGGAAGGTTAAATGAGATTATGCACTAAATTTTTCTTAATGCTGCCTTACAGTGAGCAATCAGTACATAGCCATTATTCTTAATCTACTTTTGCTCCCTTGAGTATAAATGCTCCTTTTCCTTTTCAGTTTAGCCATGTCTGTTTGTCTCTAACTCCACCTCCCTCACCACCCCCTCCCTGGATGTGCAGACTCTGTCATCCCTTCCTCCTTATACACCCCAAGAAAACATGGTTCTTTACCAGAAAGTTGCAAAACCACCTTGTTAGTGGTAAGTACAACTCTTGCTTCCTTTTTGCAACTCCTCCCTTCCTTTGCCTAGGGCTTGGTTCTTCTTAGGTAGAAGAGGTAGAAAAGAGAGAAGATTCTTTTAGAGTCAGTGGAGAGTGACTGGGCAGGACAATCTCCCCAGTCCCCAAAAGGCTCCAGGCTTGGAGGGAGTGAGGGGTGTTAGGCAGAGGGAACTTTCCGACCTTCAAATCTGAACGTGAAAAGGTGACTGTCATCACCCTGAAACATTTCTCCTCTCGCTGCATCCAAAGTCATTTGTTGTCATAAACAATAGGTCTGTGTGTTGAGGTCCTTATACTACATATAGGTGTTATACTACATATATAGAGACCCTTGAGGAGACAGTATGTATACATGTTCAACAGATATTTCTTGAGAAAAAAATTAATTCTGCTTTTGGATTTCCTAATGAAAGTCCATGTAATGCCAATCCTTAAAGTCCTGCTCTGAGAGTTCTGTCCCAGAAGTTAGAATTCAGATACTCAGATTGCAAGAGCAAGGGCTAGTAAGTAGATGTGACAAAATGTTAACACTTGGTGAATGGGTGAAAAATATTCCAGTGTTCACTGGCCTATTCTTTTTTAACTTTGTAAATTGGGGTGGGAGGGAATAAAACTTTTAAAAAGTCACTGCCTACATCTTTGGTGGCTATAATTTCTCCCCCTCCCCCCCATGATTATGTATTACATTTTAGCAAATTCTTGTCAGTCAGAGTAATTTGAATAGGGCCATGGATGTCAGATGATATTATGTAATATTGGTCGTTTTTTTCCTTAGATGCAGTAATTTTTTGTGTGGTTATGTAAGTCTTTAGGATGTGTGCTAAAGTAAGCTTTCCTTAATATGGTCTCAATATCCTTTTTCCAGCCTTTTCACCACCCATGCCCAGGCTCCAGCTCAGCTGCATTTGTCACTATTCTGCCTAAAAGGATTTTCAGACTCTGCCTGGCTCCTGCTGGCACTCCTCAGCGGGGATGCTGTCTCACACCTGCCTGAGGAACTCCTCAGCATCCATGATTCCCAAGTACAGCCTCCACCATCCTTCTGTCCTCAGTTCCCACAGACAGCCTATCTCTCAGGTCACTTATTTTTACTTTATTTTTACTAGATTGTAAGCTTCCGGCAGGCTAGACGCCCTCTTATTCATCTCTAAAGTCCCTGCAGAACCCAGCCCAGCCTCCTGAACAAAGGAATCTTCTGTAAATATTTGATGAATTAAACCCTCCGGGGATATAAGTTGAGTAAAAGTCAACAGAGGAAAAGACCAACAAAGGAGTGGTTAAAAAAAAAATGCCCTTGCTCAGGGGAGATCTGAGAGGTCTGTCACAGAGAAATCACAGATGGTGGGAGCAGCAGTTTGAAATGTGAGGATGTGTCACACTGTAAAAATACAAGGAAGCCTCGTCTCGTGCTGGGTTTGGGTGGGAAATGGAAAAATAGAAGAATGCTTCATCTCTATTAACAGTCACCAGATCTTCACCCCCAGCTTTTCAGAGGGTGATGAGCCAGTGCAAAAAGAGTGCACTGCTTACTTGCAACTTCTGAGAAAGAATTAGCAGGAAGTGTGTATGTGGGAGGGGAGACACAGATGTCTGAGTGGCTTATCAGGAAGGTTGCGAAGGGAGCATGAGGTTAAGATTGAAAGGCAGGACACCTGGGTTTCAGTAATAGTTCTGTCATTTGAAATTTCTTTTGAAATTTCTTTCCTTATTTCTAAAATTGGAATACTAGGGCTCAGGGATGTGGTTCAGTAGCAGAGCACTTGCTTGGCATACATAATGCCCTGGGCTTAATGCCAGCACCAAAAAATAAAATAAAATAAAATGAGGATACTATAACAGAACTTAGACTGTTTTTGTTGAAAAGCACTGGTTCCTTACTTGGGCTTATGAAAAACCAGGAGAAAAATTTGGCATCCCTGCCTCCATTTTGTATCTGCCTTTGCTCTAAGCCATTCTCTCTGCAGTCACTTTGCAATCACCTTGGGTTCCAGGAAGGCCAGGACTGATTGATAACATCTTTATGAAAGGGACAGAAACTATCCCTAAGGAACAGCGAGCCTTGCAGGACAGACCACCCCCACTCACCAAATAAGGACAATTACCAATAATGATGAGGCTGCACCCTGGAGCAGGAGTGATCATCTCATGGGAATCAGATGCTCCCCTCAAGTGAGGACAGCGATCACATCTTCTCCAGAAGAGAAGGAGATCTAAGATAATGATCAACCAGGCCACTCTGTTACCAGGACTGTTAAATTATGCATACCTCTCTCCCCCTGCCCCAAGTCTTCCTCTGTTTAAACTAAAGTTCATGTCTGTACCCCAAAGATGGTCTGAAGTGCTTACTTTGCCTCTTCCCATGGTCCCAGGTTTCTCTGCCCTTCACCATGTCTCTTTATTTATCTAATAGGGGCAAGTGACTGGACCTGACATATGGAATCCCAGGAGTTTGAGCCTGGGGCCTAAAACTTGGGTTTCAATACTAACAACTTGGGCTGGCAGAGTGGCTCAGGCAGTAACAGTGCCTGCCTACCAAGCATGAGGTCATGAGTTCAAACCCCAGTGCCACCAAAAAACCAAAAAATAATGTCAATATTAACAACTTGCTCAACGTGTTGAAGAGATGAAGTGATACCTCTAGAGGCTCTGTGAGAGAAAGGCCATGTCTTACAGTCCTGTATCTGGACCAGCGTGGCACTTGGCCTCTATCACATTTGAGCATTTGCCACATCAGCTCTTATGTATTACTCAGAAGATTACGTGCCAGTTGCTTTCATAAAATTTGGAAAGTGTTCCAGGGAGTTCTTTCTTCTTCTGTAACTTTCTCCCTCTTTACCTTGCCACAATAACTCTTCAAGACTCAAGGATTCTAAGCTAAGCTAGCCTCCTCATTCCAGGTCAATCTTCCCCACATCCAGACACCTCTAGGTACTGCTTCAAGTTCAATGAATGCCTGCCTGTTCCTGTGTCAGAATACTCACGTTTTTTTTTTGTTTTTGTTTTTGTTTTTTTTCAAACCTCGGAGTTCCACAAGGCAGGCTTTCATTTGTTGCTCTCACCCTACCTTGTCAGGGTTCAGGGCAGGAAGGACAGGGTGCTACCCTCCTGGCTAGTTTTCCCTTGGGAATATTTGACTCCAAAGTTCAAGGGGTTCTCTCCCCTTTTCAACTTGGTCTTGCTGTACTGGGTTTCATAGAACGCATCAACCCTCTTATTTTACACGTGCAGGATCTTATTTACCTAAGGCTTTGGAGTCCAGGCTTACCAAGGAGAAAGCCCAAAGTAAGACATGGTGTGATGACAGGCTAGATGAAGTTAGGGAGTGAAAGAGGCAAGCAAAAATCAATTGGTATGCCTTTTGATTTTTATTATTTTACTTTAACTTTTGCAGTGCGAGGATTAAAACCTTGTGCATGCTAGGTAAGTGCTCTACCACTGAGGTACATTCCCAGCTCTCAGTATAGCTTTTAAAAATTGCTGATTGGCCAGGCACTGGTGGCACGCCTATAATCCTAGCTACTTGAGAGGCTGAGATGAGGAGATCCCCATTCAAGGCCAGCCTGGGCAAATATTTCACAAATATGCATCTCCAAAATAACCAGATCAAAATGGATTGGAGGTGTGGCTCAAGCAATCAAGCACCTGCTTTGCTAGCATTAAGCCCTGAGTTCAAATACCAGTCCCAGCCAAAAAACAAAACAAAACAAAATTGCTATTATTGGGCCGGGGTCCTGGCTCAAGTGGTAGAGCATCTTCCTGGCAAGCACAAGGCCCTGAGTTCACACTCCCAATAAGGACCCCTCCCCCCCAAATTTCTATTATTCATGAATTTTTTTCTTTGTCTTTTGGGAGTCTTGCTCTACTTTTCTCAACCCCAGTGTAGCTTTCTCTAGGGACTTCCTGTTCTCCCACGCTATTTCTAAGTAGAACTTCTCATAGGTACTGCTCCCAGTCTCTAGATTTCTAACTAGACATCACAGAGGCTGAAACAATGACCACTGTGAAGTTAGGGTAAGTGAAGTAACAAAGCCTGGTCACACAAAGTCTCTCCCTTTTTCTCCTCTTTTTCATATGACCTCAAAAGATAGAAGGAAGCTGGGCACCGGTGGCTCACGCCTGTAATCCTAGCTACTCAGGAGGCAGAGATCAGGAGGATCGCGGTTCGAAGTTCGAAGCCAACCCAGGCAAATAGTTCGCAAGACCCTCTCCTGAAAATACCCAACACCAAAAAGGGCTGGTGAAGTGGCTCAAGGTGTAAGCCCTGAGTTCAATCCCCAGTACCACAAACAAACAAACAAACATAGAGTATGTGGAGCCCCTCCCATCTATGTGGCCTCTTAACATTGGGAAGTACCCCTCCATTCCACTGACTTCCCTCCGTAATCCCACTTTCAAGAATTGGTGGCCCCTAATCCTTTCCAGGGCCCAAGTCAGTGCTCCACCTTCAGACGATAATACAAATATTTTCATTGTTACCAATTCCATTTCTGAAATCCTTCTTCTTTCCTCCTCTCCTTCTCCCCTTTTCTTTGCTTTAGTTTCCAGATAGGGTCTTTCATTTTTGCCTGGGACCATGATCCTCCTACCTATGCATACCACCTAGCTGGGATTACAGGTGTGAATCACCACACCCAGATTTTTTGTTGAAATGAGATCTCCCTAACTTTTTGCTTTGACTGGACTTCAACTTGATCCTCCCAACCTCTACCTCCAGAGTATCTGGGATTGTAGGAGTCCAGCCCAAACCTGTGGCCCTTTCCTCCCTCCCTTCTTTTCTTCTGGTTTATGCCTCTTTCCATGCCACCTTATTTACTAAGGTATTGGTGGGCGGAGGTTAAAAGCGAAGAAAACACTCTGGACAGGTAAAAACAAAAATGCCATTAAAATGTGTAGAGAGTGACTGCATGACCTAGATAGGCAGGCCAGGTAATGATGCTGAATAGTACTACCCAGCACTAATGCAGGGCACAAACTGAAGAGAGATGCTCTTTCGTCATCCTGGCTGTGTACTCGCCAATGTCAAAGGGAAAGTCCAGGAAGCAGATAGGGCCCATTGCTTATATCAGCTTTAAACCACACCCAGCGGCTAGGCAGGGGTAGGTACCGAGGGAACCACATAGAGTTATTCTAGTTCTCAGTGGATTCCCAGCCCAAGCTAAGTGGCAGTACTCAATGGCATCACAGCTGGTTGTCACTGACTTTGACTTTGGGTAAATTACCCTCCAGTTTCATCATCTGTGAGACGTGATGTGACTGTATTGCTAGGACAGCCTGCTACATAGTTGTCTGCCAGTGTTAGTACCTTTCTTCTACCTTTTCTGGGTCAGCCTAAGGGCTGTTCCTGAGAGATCGTTGTCTCTTCAACTGCTTCTCGGTTCTTCCTTAAATCCACCAGTTTTCATGGAGACCTACTCCTCCCTTTGGACTCCTGGGGCAGCCAAGACCTCCCGTCTTCAGCCCAGGCCCCCCCAGCTGCCTACCTTCTCCTGGGCCCGGCTGAACTTCTTCTGCACCTGTTTGGCAAAGAGGCCGGCAGCACCGCCTGCCTTGCCCTCTGCCATCCTGCCGCCTCCCCAGGGACGGCTGGCCTGGGCTGTGCTCTGTGGTTTCTAAGAGTCCCCTGAGGAGGAAGTGCAGCTCCCAGCATGCCTAGCATCCGGCCTGGGGGGCGGGCCACGCCTCCCTCGCCCTACAGGCCTCTCTGACCACCCAAGGACCACCCAGAGGACTGCCTTGATACCCACTGCGAGCTCAGGTCTACATGGGCCACCCCACCAGGCCCAGAGAGCAGTACCGCCTCCTTCCTCCTCCAGGCCCACCTCAGGCTCCAGGTGCAGCCCAGAGCAGCAGGTTGGGCTCATGAGCACATCTGGAGCTGGTGGGGGGAGGGCTGGGCTATTCCCGGGAGGCCAGTGGGAGGGTCAGGACTTGGACCTGCCTTCACTCTAAGTTGGCCTCACTCTAAGCCAACTTCCCAGTTCCACCCAGTGGTAGGGTAACAGCAACCCCATTGAACAGGCTCTTCAAATGTGAGCCAAGACTCATTAGTACCAGATGGTGATGACCTGGGAGAGGCAGAGTAAAGGACTTCATGTTGGAAGGAGAGGAGTGGGAGAAACAAAGATGGTGGTACTATTGGACACAGAGAAGATGGTGATGACAACTGGTGTGTCACTAGCAGGAGGCTGGCACCTGAGTCACTCCCAGGGCTCTCCAGCACCCTCAGCAATGCATCCCACCACCATGTCCAAAGAAACTCTCTTTAATACCACTATGCTGGGAATTGAAATTCTATCTTACTGAACCAGCACTGGAAATAACTGAAATGACACAGAGGACAGAGTTGGGTCCCACTTACTGAGAATGTTTATTGAATCAGAACACAACTTTTAATTCTAGGGGTATTGATGTTGAGTGGCCAAAGAAACTTTTTTTTTTTTCTTCGCCAGGTTGTAGCTTAGCCACAGTCAGAGAGACTGACTCTCAACCTGGTAGGGGAACTGGTAGGGGTAGAGTGCAGAAAGAGAGCAGACCTCTCCACCTGGATTTGAAAGGGAGGAGTAACAGCTGGAGAGAGAAGCAGGGGTCTTCAGCAAGATAAGCTCATTGAAAAGGCACTGAAGAGAGCAGGAAAGCCTGTGGGGGTGGGGAGCATGCTTTCTAGTGGGAGGACAGTGCTCTAGATAAGTAGAATGTGAACTCAGACATAGATTGTGCAAATTGGGGCGGGGCTACTGAGATTACAACTATTGTTTCTCTAGGGAAAAGGTCTCCAAATGGAAGTTTCATCCTGACCTGTTAGAAGGGATAGCTGGAGCTGCCTTCAAGGGTTTTACAGTGCAGGTAAAATTCCTTCAATAAGGAAAGATACTTCCTATGGCTTGCAGAGGGAAACTAGAGACCTGCCACAAAATTACCTACCATTGTTTTCTGCTTCTTTTCCCAAAATAGATGGATGCACTCAAGGTGAAGTGTGTGCCAGGCACTGCAAAGTCTTAGGATGTCAAGAATGAATAAAATGCAATCCCTGACCTCAACATGCAAAAGGCAGAGCTAGGCTGCTAACCAGATGGTTATACTGTAATATTCTTAATTCATTTATAGCAACAAATGCAAATTTTTCAGGCAACAGGTAGTTGGGATTTATTCTGAATATTAACTTTAGTGATGGTCTGGAAGAGGCAGAGTAGAAAAAAAATGGAAGGACTTCATGTTGGATGGAAAGGAGTGGAAGAAACCCAGAGGACAGTGGTACTGTTGGACACTGAGAGAAGATGGCAATGACAACTGGTGTGTCACTGGCAGGAGGCTGGTACCTGTGTCACTCCCAGGGCTCCACAGCACCCTCAGCAATGCATCTTAGTCACTACCTCCTAAGAAACCTTCTTTAGTATAATACCTTGGGAATTGAAATTGATGGACACCAGGTTATGTAGTATTAGAACAGGAACAACCCTTAAAAGTTAACTAGATAGGGAAATCGAGTCACAGAAAAGGCTGATAATTTGCCCAAGGTAACCCCGCCCCTCACTGGTGGACTCGGGACAGGAATGCAGTTGTCTTAACTCGAGCCCCAGCCGCTTTATTATATCCCATGTTTGAGGACTCTGCTATGCAGTAGGATCAATTCTAGGGCCTGTCTCAGCCAATTTCTCCTGCTGTGATGTTTCAGACCCTAGCCCCTCCTGTCTGGTCTTTAGCTTTTGCTATGAAAAGCTGCTTCTCATCTGCTTAGACTTCTTCTTTCAGTTCCCCTTCATTTTCTCCTAGGCCACTATTAACAAATGGAACTCTGGTCAGGATAGAGCGGAATTATCAGCCTCCCAGTTCCCTGTGGTGTATAAACTCTGGATCCGGTTGCCTATTTTAGTCACAGCCTTACAGTGCTGATTCACACTAGTTTGAGGCTTGTATCTATTGCTGTCTCTTCCTTTCTGTTCTGTCTCTTCCTCTCAACCCTTTCCTTTCTTTGTCTAGTATCTTCTTTTCTCCTTTTTTCTATTGCTCCCCCCCCCTTTCTAATTTGTCACTTCCTTAGTTTGCTGGCATCTGACCTACTTTGCAATCCTACACTCCTATCTCTAAGGTATCCTAGAAGCACCTATCTCCCAGGAGTTTGGAGTGAGCCCTTGTTCTAGGCACTGAAGGGGAGAAACAAAAGAAGAATAAGCTCACTGTCTACCTTGGAAAGTTAGGACACATTTAGTCACAGAGGAAGTTTTTAAAGCACTCTCTGTGCCTTTGACTACAGCAGATATACACAGGAGAGGGTGGGCAGATGGACAAATTAATGGATAAGTAGATCCTAAAATAACTCAGAATGGATAATGTAAAACCACTCCACTGAGCCTAGTTTGTGGACTGGTAAAGATAGCAGTAAAGGGAAGAACCAGACTAAGATGCAGTGAAATCTAGCTTGGGTCCTATAACTGCATTTCCTCTAGAGGGCTTGATTTTAAATAGAAACAGTATGATAATATACATTTAGTTTTATTTGTTTTTCTATATCTGGTTCAGTAGTTTTTTCTTTCTTTCTCCCCCCACTCTCTGCCCCATCTCAGGGCTTTTTGCATACTAGGCAAACACTCTACCATTGAGCTACCCTCAGCCCTGTTTTTTTTCTTATTGACCTCAAGTCCTACTGCAGGTTCAAGAGCCATCTTGAGAAGGCCATTAAACTCAGGCAAATGTTCAGTTGGAGGCAATGACCTAAAAGAAAAGATAGTTATATTCACAGTCAGTAACTTTTTTTTTTTAAAGCTCCTCTTTCTTTCATTTTTGGGCAGTTCTGGGGATTGAACTCAGGGCTTCCTGTTTGCTTGGTAAGTGCTCTACCACTTGAGCTATGCCCTGGTCCACAGTCAGTAACCTCTGTCCATCTCCTTATTTCCTCAGGGTTCCCAGTTAAGTACAACCACATACTGAGTTTATGGGAAGGGGGGCAGAAAGTAGGTCTCTGATGTGTCTCAATATTATAGGCGCATACCCAGGACACAGGGACAAGGACAGACCTTGAGATGGCTGTGAACCAAAATTCATGCAACGAGGCTCCAGAATGTGTCTGGAGGGCTCTTCAGTAGTGAGGCTCTACTGCTAGGTCAGTATAGGCAGAGTCTCACCTAACTCTCAAGCATTGTTTGTTTTTTTGGCAGCACTGAGGTTTGAACTCAGGGCCTTATGCTTACAAGGCAGGTGTTCTTACTTTCTTGACCCACTCTGCCAGCCTCTCAAGTATTGTTTAGGTGATAAAACTTCTTTCAAAAGTTAAAGCAAATTCTCACGGTGTCTTAGACCTTGAGGGAGAGGAGAATGCTCAGGAAACAGAACTTTCTGAAGTTATTTTTTCCCTTGGCTTTCACTTAGGACAGCACTAGTTCAGATCTGCAGCTGCTATTTAGCAGTAGGTAACATGGTGAGATCTGCTCAGTGGGTATTCGAAGGGCAGGTTATTGAGGGCACGTACACTGAGAGGGAAGGGAAGGAATAAACCCATGAACAGAGAAGGAGGACAGTTGTTTTCCCAGCCCAACTCTATTTGTCTAACCCATCCTGCCTCACCTATCCTTTGAGAAGACTCACATTATTGATCCAAGAGATGTAAGCAGAGACCCGAGTGAACACGGTGGGCTTCTTAGAGACATTACAGCCCAGGCTAGACACAAAGCTGGTCACTCCATGGACAGAATATTGGCCATTCACCAAGCAGTGGAGAGGGCCTCCAGAATCACCCTGCAGGAAGAGAAGCAGTCTTAAAACCCCAGCCCACCCCCATCTCTACTTGTGAAATCCTGTTGTTTTAAAGGTCTAATGCAAATCTGCACTTCCTTCATGTCACCATAATCAAAACGAATCTCTTCTTCCTTTCTAAATAACCACAGTTCTTCCTCCTCTCTGTTGCAGTGCTGTTGTGTTCTGCCTTGTATTTTGGTTTCATAATTTGTTTTTGCCTCCCACACATCTCTCTGAGCTTCTATGATGTCTTGCTAATATCTTTCCTCTCCACAATGCTAGCATAGAACCTTTTTGCTGTTGTTTGTTTTTGTGGTGCTGGGGACTGAACCAGGGCTTTTTGTGCGTTAAGCATACACTTCTGCCACCGAGGTGCAGCCTAGTCCAAGCATAGAACTTTGAGTTTTGAAACAGGGTCGTGCTATGTAACCCAGGCTGGCTTCAAACACATCATCAAGCTGCCTCAGCCTCCTCGAGTCCCAGGGTTACAGATGTGCACTACCATACCTGCTAAGCACAGAACTTTAACATCTTAAATTCAACACTTCTTACGGACCTAAGAGTATAGAGTTCTAATAATTCCTTTATCCCAGCATTGACACCAGTGAGTCTAATTAGATCAAGTATTTAGAGTCAGAGTAGGTAGTCAACACATGTTAAAGTAATTGGAGTGACAAGAGCGAAAGTGATGTGGGTAGTGGTTATGTACTCAGGCTTAGTACCAGCTAAAGTGGGCTTTATTGAATATGAGCTCAACACCATTCTTATTCAGCTCTCAGAATGACAGGTCTATGAGGTCAGTCATAAGACTGGAAGATACTTCTCTAGAAAATCTGACCAGCCAAGTGGAAAGATGCAAAGATACTGACACTGGCCTAGCCAGCCACCTGACAAAAACATCCATAATGATGAACTCCACCTAAGGTTCAGCACTACCAAACAGCATTTTACCACCCACACTGAAATAAGAGCAGATGGCCAAGGGTCACCAAACATCCAACATAAGGTTCTAATATAAAAACTAAGATCATGGCTGGGCTATAGCCCAGTGGTAGAGCACTTGCTTAGCATGCATGAGTACCTGAGTTCAATCCCCAGCACTACAAAAAATAAATAAAGATCAAAACAAAGAGACCAAGTAATAAGAAAAAAAAAATGAGGGCAACAAAGTCTACGCAGGAAGAGGAAATAAAACTATAATTAAGAGCTGAGTGTGACAGTGCACACCTGTAATCCCAGCATTGGGGAGGAAGATCTTGAGTTTGAGATGATGATTAATATTATATCCACAATACAAGAACAGCATTAATATTATAAAATCCATGTTACAAGAACACGAAGAGAACAGAAAGAGTCTTTGGAAATTATAAATTTGACAGCAGAAATAAAGAGTTGGAAGAATTAGAACACAAAGTAGAACAGAATATAGAAAAGAGGACCAGGAGGCGAGAGAAAGTCTAGAAAGAGGGCTGGTACCAGCATTTGCCTAGCATGCACACAGCCCCCGGGGTCAACACCCAGCACTGAAAAAAATTCTAGAAAGAGAAAGCTAAAAATGACAGGGAGAAAATAATCAACAAATAACATTTTCAGAACTAAGTGTCTGGAGTTTCCAGACAGAAAATAACCCACTAAGTGTCCTCACGATGAATGCAAATTGACCCCACCAAGACAGACCACAAGGGACAAAGGAAGATGAAGCAAGTCACTTACAAGTTAGTGGAGAATGTGGAGCTGAATTAGTTATGAACTGACTATGTAATAAGCTAATGAAAAATGTAATTATTAATTCCAGGGAAAACAGAATAAGCAGGCAAGGAAAAGTAATACTAAGATACTACATGAGTTAGTTGTGAATAGTATTTTATGCAATCATAATCAACACTGAGTGTTAGTGGAAACAAAATTATCTGAGGAGATGATGGGAAAAGTGCATGCTGGGCTTGGGTGGGTTCAGACATGTATGCACAGAGAGGTCCATATCTCCCATAACACCTGGACTAGAAAAGAAGCAGCAATGCTAAATATATATATTTTAAGGTATGGAGACAGACCTGGAAACGTAGCTGAGCAGGCACTGGTGGCTCACACCTGTAATCCTAGCTACCACAGAGGCTGATGTCAGGATCGCAGCTGTAGGCCAGCCTAGGCAAAAAGTTCATGAGACCCCATTTCAATGGAAAGAAAGCTGGGTAGGGTGGCACATGCCTGTCAGCCCAGCTCTGGTAGAACGTATAAAATAGGACTGCAGTCTACACCAATCCACTCAAAAAGTGAAACCCTATCTCCAAATAAGCAAAGACAGAAAAAAAAAGGACTGGAGGTATGAGGTGTGGCTCAAACAATAGAGTGGCTGCCTAGAAAGCACAGAACCTTGAGTTTAAACCCCAGTACTGCCAAGAAAAAAAAAGAAGAAGAAAAAGATCAACTGAGTGTAAACTGAGTATAGTGGCTCACACACTCAGAAAGCTAAGGTAGTAGGATGGTGAGTTTAAGACCAGCCTGAGCTACACAGAGACCCTGTCTCAAAAAAAAAAAAAACCCGTATGGTGGCTCATGCCTATAATTCCAGCTACTTGGGAGACAGAGATAGGAGGATCATAGTTTGAGGAGATCCTAGACAAAAAGTTGATGAGACTCTAAAAAACAGGTATGGTGTGGTGACACACTCCTGGAATGCCAGTTGCTTAGGAGGTGGAGGTAGGAGGATTGCAGTCTGAAGCTGGAGCCTGAACAAAATCACAAGATCCTACCAAAAACAAACTAAACCAGCCAGGCACTGGTGACTCATGCCTGTAATCCTAGCTACTTGGAAGGCTGGGATCTGAAGAATCAAAGTTTGGGGCAAATAGTTCTCGAGACACCATCTTCAAAATAATCAGAGCAAAATGGACTGGAGGTGTGGTTCAGGCAGTAGAGCACTTGCTATGCAAGCTGGGAGCCCTGAGTTCAAGCCCCAGTCCCACCTAAATAAATGAATGAATGAATGAATAAATAAATCTAAAGAAAAGGGCTGGGGAAGTGGCCCCAGTGGTAGAGTGCTTGCCTAACAAGTGCAAGGCCCTGAGTTCAAACCCTAGTACTTCTAGGAGAACCAGAGGAGTAGAGAGAATACAAAGACTGCTCCACTGTTGAGCCCCATAGTCAGATTTGCTAATTTCAGCAAGTTAATAAGTATAGCTTCAATAAAAATAAAACCTAAAAAAGAAGAACTAGGGAAAAAGACCAAAAGTTCAAATTGGAGGTAATTCTTTTAAAGAGGAACTGGTCATACCCCATCCCAAGTACTTCTGAAAAGGTTGTTTTTTAATTATTGTATTCAAAGCAAGACAACCTAAAACTTTTCTCCTCATATCCTGATGAGGATTTCAGAGCATCTCAGAGCTAGAGAGATGGAAGGTAACTGAGTTGTACATGATATTGTTGTCTCATGAGAATTGATCTAAAAAGAAACCATGACTAAAAGATGTAGAAGCATGAATGGGAATTTTAGGGCAGAGGAAGAGCTGGAAAAGAATTTAGTGGGAATGGGTTGATTGTACTGGGAGAGGCCCAGATAATTTACTCTGAGGAGAAAAGGGCTCAGACCTCTGAAAACCCCTAAGACCAGCTATTTTGGACACTGCAGCGGGAAGGGACCCAAGACAAATTTGTCTCAGAGTGTTATCAGTTTGAAGTGGCAGTTAGAAGAAAAGTGCTCTAGTTTTTCAGACCTGAAAGCTTTGAGAGAGCAGAGGGATGTGAATTAACTCAGAAAGGCTAAACCTTAGGAGGTTTTCAGTGATGCTGGCAGAGAAGGACCTGGAAGAGGTTGCACTATGCATTTGTCTGTCACTCTGTCAGTTTCCCCCTCTCACCCCTTTTTTTGTGGCTTGTTAAGGATTGAATCCAGGGACTCTCCATTGCTAGGCAGGTCCTCTACCACTTCAGTCACACATCCCAGCCCTTTTTGTTTTTATTCCATGTTTGAAATAGGGCTTTGCTAACTTTTCCCAGGTTGGCTTTGAACTCACGATCTCTTGCCTCTGCCTCCTGAATAGCTGAGGTTACAGGCAAATATCACCATATCCTACTTCTGTCTCTTGACTTTTAAGTTTTAACAAAGGAAAACTGGGAAGAGTTGGTCACCTCATTTCCATAGTTCTTTGGGTTCACAAAAATCCCTTTAATCCTTTCATTTTACTATTTTGGCCAACCTAGCAGCCTCCTGCAAAGAACTTCTCTTCTTTTCCACATGTCTTGGACCTGCAGTGGATCTGTAATCCTATCCTATTGCTGCAGGTGTGTAGGAAAATCCAGCGCTCAGTCAAACCATTCCCAACACCCTGGTCCTTGATGAATACACCCACATGGTTACGGCCTGGTCTCCCACCTCGGCACCTTGGAGGACCATCCTTCTCCCATTCACCTTAATTATTCCAGACACATGCAACCTTTGCACTTTCATTCTCTGCAGTCAAGTTGCTGCTTCCTAGTTCATGAGTAACCAGAAGCAGCAATTCAGAACTCTCGTCAACTTTCAGCTACTCAACCTGCAAACTCTTCCACATCCCTGTGCACACATGGTATCCCTCTTCCTGGTGAAACCCAGCTCTACCTGAGCTCTAGGTCCCACCTCTTCCATCTCTTCTGGGATCTGTACAATCCATTATTCCCTCTCTGTGGCTCCACAGGGTACTTTCCTTTCTGTCTATCGATGCACTCAACTTTCTTCACTTTAACCATGCAGCCATCTCCATGACTTACAGTCTTTAAAGCCACCAGACTTTTTTTGTCTCTGATTTCCAAGATTCTTGGAAAAGTAATCTACACTGTTTACTACATTTTTTACTGCTTCTGTATCTCTTACTCGTCCATTGAGCCTCTGCCCTCTCCACTCTACAGACATGGCTCTTGACATGACTAACAGCGATTCACCAGTTGCCAAAGTAGTCACTTTCAGTTTCTATCCACCGGGGTTCTGGGTATGCTATGTGATCACCTATTTTCTGAAATTTTGTAAATCCTTATGGCGCGTTTTTCCTCTTACCTCCAGCAGCCCTTTCTTAGATCCTAGGGGCTCTTTGTTCCCTACCTGAAGAACTCAAGCATTAATGTTCCCTCCCATAGCTCATCTCCAACCCACCACTCTCTTCTCGTTCTTCATCATTTCCCTGGAAAGGGGTGGGAAATCACATTGTTCTCAAGGGTATCTCTAGCCCAGCTTTCTCCCCTACAGCTCCTTTCTTATATTTAACTACTTACTGACTAGTTATACCTGAGAATCCAAATCCCACAAATCTTGTTTCATTGGAGGCAGAAACTCCTGACCCCAAATCACTTAAATCAGATGCCTGGAAATCATTCCAGATCTTCTTCCTTTTCTCCCTCCTCTCAATTCCTAATACCACTGCCTGAATTCAGGCTGTAAATTTCTTGCCTGATCAGTCTTCCTCCCTCTCTTGCCCTCCTCAAAAAGCCTAAATTGTGGGGCACTGAGGGCTCATACCTGTAATCCTAGCTACTTAGGAGACTGAGATTGGGAGGATTGTGATTTGAGGCCACCCCGGGCAAATAGCTCTTGAGATCCCATCTCCCAAATAACCAGAGTAAAATGGATTGGAAGTGTGGCTCAAGGGCTCCTGCTTTGCAAGTGTGAAGCCCTGAGTGCAAATCCCAGTTCCACCACAAAAAAAGCCTAACAGGTGAGTCTAATCTTACTGTTCTGCTTACAAGTCTTCAATGATTTCCATGCCTATGAGATGAAGATCATGTACATACATGACATTTGAAATTTGAAGCACCAAGTCATGTGGCTTCTGCTGCTCTTTCTCTCTCTCTCTCTCTCTCTCTCTCTCTCTCTCTCTCTATATATATATATATATATATATATATATTTTTTTTTTTTTTTTTTTTTTTGGTACTAGGGTTTGAACTAAGGGCTAGCACTTCACCACTTGAGCTACACCCCCAGCCCTCTTGACATTTCTTGACATTTTTCACATGTCATGAAAAAAATTTTTTGAGACATGGTCTTGCCCTATCTCTTGCCCAGGTTAGCCTTGAACTCACAATCCTCTTGCTACAATTACAAGCATGTGTCACATACTTGTCACTTTCAATGAGTGAAATACTGTCTTTTTTTTTTTTTTCCGGTACTGGGGGTTGAACTCAGGGTCTTGTGCTTGCTAGACAGGCACTCTACCACTTGAGCAATGCCCCCAGCCCAGAAATATTATTCTTTTAATTTTTTTCTTAATCATTTCAAAATGTAACCACCATTCTTAGTTTGTGGGCCATAGAAAAACAGCCGGCAGGCTGGATGTGGTGTGTAGGCCTCCAACCTCTGCTCTGCTCTAGCTGTAGGGAATGCCCACTATTTCTCTGTGTGTTCTAAGTGGTTTCTTGGCCTGATGCCTTTGCTCATGCTGTTCCCTGCCTCTTCCATCGCTGGTTTTTTATTTTATTTATTTTTTTGACTAGTTTACTTCTTATTTCACATTCAGGACTCACTGCAGATTCCTCTTTCTTGGGGGGAGACAAGGCTTTCCAACTCTAGCAGGTGGAAGTAGTGTGTATCCTTGGGCTCCTGTGTCGTTCTACGTACATCTTTATTGTAACAGCTAGCCAGGTGGTGTTAGAAGATCCTAATTATGTGTCTGCTCCTCTGTTCCTCCGCTTAGTGTTGGATCCATCTTTACCCAAGCACTAGCACAGTGCCTGGCAGACAGCAGACATGCAATGAGCATTCGTTGAACTGTGTTAAGCAATCTGTCTAATCAATCTTGTCTAAGTAGAGAAATCTCTCTATTATGTAAAGGCTGTTATAAAATTGCTTTGTGTGTCCCCCTACTGTACTCATCTGTACTTACTGCTGTAAATACTGTTGTAAAGGCACAGTAGTGGAATAAATCCAAGAAAAGTTGGGATTGATGGGATTGGAGCTACCTTACATACAATTAATTACAATGACCTTTACAGGCCCAGTCATGGCCTGGAAGGTTAAAAAAAAAAAAAGTAACTTCTAAAAAACACACCTATCTACACACAAATGTTGGGCTTTTGAGATGGGGCCATTGAACAAGACAAATTTTGAGGCTGTTTTCCATTTGAGATTCTGTGAGAATAGAATTACCAGCACAGAATCATTCTCATTCAGACGCCAAAGTAGAAAGTTGAGTCTGTACATGGGTGCCAGAGTAGGTGTACCACAGGTGCAGGGTCAAAAGGGAGAGACGGGGTGGGACTTCTAATACCTTCTGTGTGTGCTCACCTGGCATCCAGAGCGAACTCCATCTCCACCAGCACACACCATGGTCTGCTTCACTGTGGAGCCCCAGTAGGAAGACTTGGAGCAGGTGGCATAGTCCACGGTGGGTAGGTAAGCCTGCTGCAGGGTCTGGGACACCTGCCCATTGGCTGAACAGGACAGACAGCATTGGAAGTCAGCCCCAGATTTGTTCCAAGGAAAAGTCCTTCCCACCCTGCCAAACCTTTCCAAGCAGTGAAACCTGAACTCAGGGCAAGCTTCTCTCTGTGTGTTGGGTGTCAGCTACAGGCCTCTTCCTTACTGTTTCCAGGCCCTAAACCACCAGTCCTACTCCTTTTTTTTCCCCTCATGATAACTTAGTTAAGTAGTTAAAATGGTCTTGTATGTTGGTAACTTACCTGTTCTGTTCCTTACATTGTCAGCTCCACAAAGTAGAACTAGCATTGTAAACGTGTGTTTCCATTTCTTTCTTTTCCTTTTTTTAGGCAGAGTCTCACTGTGTAGACCAGATTGGCCTCAAACTCAAGATCCTCCTGCCTCAGCCTACTGAGTAGCTGTGATCCCATTTACGTTTCTTTCTTCTTCTTCATGTTTTTTTTTTTTTTTTTTTTTTTTTGTGGTACAGGGGTTTTAACTCAGGGCCTCATGCTTGCTAAGCAGGTGCTTTGCCACTTGAGCCATGTCTCCAGCCCCCGTTTCCATTTCTTGAGCCAGGTGTGGTGGCATGCAGCAGAAATCCCAGCACTCAGGAGGCTGAGGTAGGAGGATCATGAGTTTGAGGCTAGTCTGGCCTGTGTAGTAAGACCCTGTCTCAAAAAGATAATCTGTTCATTCCAAGTCAGCCCAGTGTTGGTCTATGGAGGTAACACAATGTTGTAATGACCACCAATGTGAGAGCCAGCGTGCCTGGGTTCTGGCCCATCTTTGCACTAACTAGTCATGTGATCAAGTTCTTTAATTTCTTTGGGCCTCAGTTTCTGCATGTATGAAATAAGGGACTGGTAAAACTCTCTCTTTGGTAAGTTTTTTCCTCTTTGTTAGTATTAAGACTCCATGAATCTCTGACTTGACTGTTCCACAGCCTACTCTTAGCTTGGTTTAATGTATCAGTTATTTTACCTGTGGTTCCTTAGTTTGTTGGTTGTCTGGCTGTACACATCTAGGACCACAGAAAAATAGGACCTAAAAGCTCAGCTACCCAATCAAGATCCCAGTGGTGGACAGTGTCAATTGTTCATGACTTACTCTTGGTTCTGCCCCAGCCAGTGATGTAGCAGGGAGTGTCGTTAGCTAGGATGGTGCCTTCCTGGGGCAGAACACCCAGCTGGACATAGCTATTGAGGGTGACACTCTGGGCCAGGTGCAGCAGGGCGATGTCATAGCTGCAGGAGGAAAGGAGACAGCTCACTGGGGAATCAGGCCTTCCCTCAGGTCAACACATGCAGGGCCCCTCCATGTCATGACTTTGAGGGAGGGGGCTAACTTGCTAAGCAGTTAACTGTAGGACATTCTGTGTTCAACAGCACCACCTGCTGGTAGAGTATTGGTATTGTAGCCTAGTGCCGCTCTCCAACTCAGGAAGTGGAGAATCCAGAATCAAAAAAGAGCAGACCCAGTGATCTTGGTGGCAGAATTCTTGAAGCAGAAAGATGCAAAAGATTGTGTGGCTCTGAACGCTCTGCACAAATACTCCAATTACCTGACGCCATCCCATCACACTACAGAATTGACAGCTATTTTTGTTTTGTCCAGTGCTGGGAATTGAACCCAAGGCTTTGCACAAGCTAGGCAAATGTTCTGCCATGGGCCTGACAACCATTTTAATGATTTCCTTTTCAAAGGCTGGTGGAGTGGCTCAAGTGGTATAGTGCCTGCCTAGTGAGCTTAGCAAGCATGACATCCTGAAGTCAAGCCCCAGTACCACCAAAACAAAAAAGTGTTTTATATATATATATATATATATAATTTCATTTCCAAAAGTTTACAACTTGGCCTTGTAGTAGTCATGTGTAGTTTTTTGTGTTTTTTTTTTTTCAGGGAGGGCAGTATTTCGGTTTGAAGTCAGGCCTTGCTCTTACTAGGCAGGTGTTCTACCGCTTAAACCATGCCCCCAGCCTTTTTTTGCTTTAGCTATTTTTCTGATAGGGTCTCATGGTTTGGCCCCCACCAGCCTCAAACTTTGATCTCCTACCTATGGCATCCAGCGTAGCTGGGATCACCATCACATGCCCAGCTGGGAATATAGGCATGCACACCATACCACGCTGTCCTGTGTAAGATTCACTTTAAGAAATTTTCTTTAGCCAGGTGCTGGTGGCTCATGCCTATAATCCTTGCTACTCAGGAGGCAGAGATCAGGAGGACTATGGTTCAAAGTCAGCCTAGGTAAATAGTTCGTGAGACCCTATCTCAAAAAAACTCTTCACAAAAAAGGGCTGGTGGAGTGGCTCTAGGTGTAGGCCCTGAGTTCAAGCCCCAGTATGGCAAAAAAAAAAAAATTCCTTTGGACTGGAGGTGTACTCAGTAGTAGGCCATTTGTCTAGATGTGTCTCCCCAGCACCGGAGAACAAAACAGGAAATTTCCTTTTACTAATGGAGTCTATTCCATAAAGTGTAAAATAAACAACAATAAAAACCAACCTCTTCTCCCAACTTCCCCCCACCCCCCCCAAAAAAAAAACAGAAAACATTAAGCTTTAGAGAAGAGGCTTCAGGTAATCCAGGCTTGCAAACCTGCCTACATCAAATAAATCCTAAACATCCTCAGAAGGTCTCAGATTCATTGCTCTCTGCAAGACAAGGTTCCCTCTGTCAGGCTAACCTGCTCCTCGGCCAAAGGCCAGGCCATGAACCACAGGCCAAGTTTAATGTGACACAGTCCCTGTAACGAACAGGAAGCACCCATGAAGGAAGCCAAGCCCCGTGCTGGCCAGGCAGCCCTCCACCTCCCCGCCCAGGCCAGCCCAGTCTTGTCCCTACCCGGCAGCCACATTGTTGCTGTTCCAGTTTGAATGCACCACGATCTTCTGCACACTCACATACTGCTCGGTGCCATCGTTCTGGTTCAGGTTGTGGTCTCCAACCACCACACGGAAGGTCAGTTGGCTACTGAAAGAAGGAAGCCCAGAGTGATCCAGGGACTCTCTTGTCCTTGGAAAGCCACTTTATAAGCTATCTTTAGACAAAAACCCATCTTATTTGACCCAGGCAGAGGAGGAAGAAAGACCCTCAAAAATAAGCAAGGAACAATTCTCTCATTCCCTAATTTACTAACTTGTGGGCATGGAAGAAACAACTATCAGCTTCATTTTCACAGTATATTAAGCTAACAATAACCTGGGTGAGGGGTGGTGAGTATTAGTGAAATGATGGCTCCCAACTAAGGGAAACCATATGCTTTTAGACTAGTCATTTAAAAAAAATTTCTTTTTTTTTTTGAGACAGGATCTTCCTATGTAGCCCAGCCAGGCTGGTCTGGAACTTGAGGTCCTCCTGCCTCGGTCTCAAGAGAGCCAACCACTATGCCTGGTTTAGACTAGTAATTCTTTAAGCATAGTCCTGGGACCAGCATCACCTGGAAACTTGTTAAGAATGCAAATCATTAGCCCGGGGCCAGTGGCTCACGTCTGTAATCCTAGCTACTCAGGAGACAGAGATCAGGAGCATCACAGTTCAAAGCCAGCCCAGGCAAATAGTTCTGAGAGACCCTATCTCGAAAAAAAAAAAACCTCATCACAAAAAAGGAGCCAGTAGAGTGGCTCAAGGTGTAGGCCCTGAGTTCAAGCCCTAGTCTGCAAAAAGAAAAAAAAAATTACAAATCATTTATGCTGGACCTGCCAAATCAGAAACTGCTGGGTGGGGCCCAGAGATCTGTACCTTTCATGTTTTTCCAATACACAGTCAAATTTGAGAACCACTTATTACAAATATGAAAATAATTAGCAGTCCTATATTGACTAGGCATTTAAATATTTACTCAGTCCTCACAACAACTCTACCAAGGAGGTATTACCACCTCATCGTAGAGTTAAGTGAGTGGGAGATAGAGAAGCTAAATTGACCAGGGTTACATAGCTAGACCATAGTGGAACAAGATTCTACCTTTTTTTTTTTTTTTGGCAGTACTGAGGTTTGAACTCAGAACTTCATGCTTAGCTGGGTGCCAGTGGCTCACGCCTATAATCCTAGCTACTCAGGAAGAATTTCATGCTTGCTAAGGCAGGTGCTTTACCGCTTGAGCCACTCTGCCAGCCCTTGTCCTTCTTTTTTTTTTTTTTCCAGCACTGGGGTTTGAACTCAGGGCCTCACGCTTACTAGGCAGGTGCTCTGCCACTTGAGCCACTCCACCAACCCATGGAACACATGGAATGAGATTTAAACCTGACTGCAGGTGCCTGACTGCAAAACTTGTACTTTTCTCTGTATTACCCCTTCACTGGCCCCCAAACACAAATGGGCTGGGTGATGTCTCACAACCATCGCCCCCCTTAAAGCCTGCCCTGAGAAGTCAAAATCACATATTCCTCTAGAAGGGCCAGCTTCTCCCTCTCCCAGGGGCTCAGATAGTCTGATCTTTGTTTTCCTTACTTGTCCACACAGTGAGCAGCTGTCAACACCCAGTTCCGTTTGATGAGGGTCCCTCCACAGGTGTGAGACCAGGACCCCCCAGAAGAGTACTGGAGGGAAATCTAGATGGGGAAGGAAGAAAGAAGGGACAGGTTGGCATTTCCCAAAAGGCTTTGCCCCAAACACATCTCCTTAAATTCCTGACATCCTTCAAAACATTCTCCAACTTTCTGGACTGGGAATAGCAAATCGGTCTCCTTTGACCTGCCACTTGCTAGGAACTGGTTGATAGTAGCTACTAGGAGTGGCTGCTGAGAAGAGGTGTGTAGATGCCTCTGGGGTCAGCTGGAAATTGTGCTCCTTTGTTTTGGGATATTTGGGGCAGTAAAGGCGTGGTGTCTTAGGCACCCTCACTCTGCTTTGTTGCAATGGGCCTAGAAGCCTGGTCTTTTTGCCTCTGCTCACTCTTGGAAAGGAAATGTAGACATCTGAACCCCACAAGCTTAGGTCTCCAGAGCTTTCCCTCCATGTTTTCTAGAACTATCCTGTCCCCCTGCTTCCAGGAATACCTAGAATGCCAATGGAATGTTGATCTGTATTAGTTTGTGTTTCCTCATATTGCACAGAAGCTCTGTTCCTGAAAGTTGGGGTCCAAACTGTTATAAATTGAATCTAATCGTGATTACAGGGATGCCTGTCAAAGTGGGACTAGTTAACTTGCCAGTTCTGAACATTCAAATTTACTTAAATTAGTGTCCAGCTGCCCTGTTAGGAATGTGGAAACTCTTTAGCCAAATAAGCGACATGCTGTGTGTGTGTGTGTGTGTGTGTGTGTGTGTGTGTGTAGGTACGCTTGTGTGACACAGAGTAGAGTGGTGAGAACACATGTGTTTCAGGTATGTAGAGCTTCATGTGGGGGCCACATCGTCTTGTGAGTGTTTACAAGAGGTAGAGCTGGGAGTATGAAAGTAGTTTGAAGGCTGGGGATGTAGCTCAGTGGTATAGCACTTGCCTAGCACAGGCAAGGCTCTGGGATCGATTCCCAGACCACATGAAAAAGCAGTTTGAGTTTGGGCGTCTGCCCGAGAGAGTGTGGTTGGTGTGTAAACTCTGCCCTCCAAGCCTTTTGCCTTTAGAGACCTATCTAGCCTTCCCCATCCAACTTGAAAATCCAGGACCTAGGCAGTTGGTGAGCTGCCTGTTGATAAGGACATACAAAATACCCGGGGTGCTTTTCATGGGCACACGGCAACTCCTGTACTGGTGAAAAAGCCTGGCTGTGAAGGAACACTCACCTGAGAGGGCCAGGAATTCCTCTGGGCCTCAGCCCCTCCAACTACCCGTGCATTCGTTTCTGGAAAGTCCTGCGTGCTGTGTCCTTTGTGGGGCAGAAGAGAAGTGAGTGATGACTAAGCATGGGGTCAGCCCAGGATGGGGGTGGGGAGTGGCAGTTGTCCTTTGAGGAATTTTGCAGCCTTGTCTGCAAATTCACAGTTCTCCCCTGACAAAGGAGGGGCCCGGCCATGAGTTCTCTGAGCCCCTCTGGAAAGCAGGGGTGTCTAAGAGCCATCTGCGTCCCCCAGGTGTCCTGGAGCTTTGGTATGCTGTGAAAGACGTAGCCAAAACCACCAGGCTAGTGTCCCAGAGGCACCTTGTGGTCTTAGCTTGTTTAAGGTCACCCCTTGACTTGAGGGAACACCCCAGGCTTCTGCAGAAGTCTCTCAGGGCAGGGACAGCAGTGCACATCTAGCCAGACACCTAAGGATAGCCTCCTTTTAAGGGGGGGTGATGGGGAAGCCCAGGTTCTCCTGGAGGGGGCTTTTTTCTGCTTCATGGCTCAAGAATCTGCCACCCAGAAGGGTCTTGCAAGGTTTGCCAGTGGCCCTGATTCTTTCCTGTCTTGCACTTCAGAAGAAAAAAGTTTTGGTTGGACTCCTACAGCAGAGCGTCCCACCCTCTTCTGGGATAGGAAGCTGGCCTGGTTAGGGGAGGCTTTCCGACCCTCCTGCTCCAACCCCCCTCCCTAGAGAGCTCTGCCAAATGAGCCACTTACCACAAATGACCAGTGTGGCGAACACCAGGAAGCACAGCATGCTGATGTCTGTAGAGTGCACCAATGCCCCCTTGCCATGAGCCGAGCCTCTTTATTCTCCTCTTATCAGCAGTGTTGCTGACCTTCTTCCTGCTGCTGCCAGGGCTGTGGGTGGAAGGCAGGGAAAATCGCAGGTGACATGGAAGTGTAAATGAAAAGACTTTTTTCAAGCCAACTCATTTATCTGTTGTTCAAAGACAGAACAAGGTCGGAGCTCAGTTAATCATCTGCTTTTAGTTGAAAAGCATCCAACAAACTTTTTTTTTTTTTTTCAGAAATAAAATGGAGAGCCAGGATGATCTTTCTCTTAGGGTGCAGCTCTCATCATCCCACCCTCATTGTCACTGTCTCACTGCCTTCAGTGGCACCATAAATGCAGAGACCAGTGCTGTGCACTAGGAGGTGAAGGCAAGAGGAGGGGTGAGAAGGGGAGAGTGGTTAGCAAGAGGAAGGAAGGCACATGGCTTCTCTCTCCCTGTCCAAAGAGGGAGATAGGGTCACGCCCAGCACGGACACACAGGTGTGAGAGCGGGAGACCAAAGCAAAGTGGGTGCTGTGAAGAGAATTCTGAGAACCAGGTTTGGGCTGATTCTCAAATGGAGCACTCCAAAGAGCAGGAAAATTTGGCGGGGGTGGGGGAGGGGGGTGGAGGGAAGGACAGGGTAGAAGAGGGAACCCTCAGGACAGGGAGGCAGGCTGAGCCCATAAGGCTGGAGGGCAAAGGGCACAGGAGGCAAGGAAAGACAGGCAGGTCCTGCAGGAGATGAAGAGCTGGACACTCAAGGTCAATAGAGGAAGGAGGAAAGTGCAGTGCACCTTGAGGTGATCAGAGCCATTGCAGGCCCCAGACCGTTGGTGGCAGCAAAGCACAGGACTTTTTTTTTTTTGCAGGACAGGGTTTGAACTCAGGGTCTCGAACTTGCTAAGTAGGTGTTCCATCATTTAAGCCATGACCTTAGCTCTTTTTGCATTAGTTGTTTTTCAAGTAGGGTTTCATGGTGTACCTGGATGATGATCCTCCTATTTATGCTTCCTGAGTACTAGGATTGCAAGCATGTACATAGTGCCCAGTTTTGAATCAGATGGAATCTCAAGAACTGTTTATAGACTTGAGACACCATGTTTACTTTTTTAACCTTACATTTTTCTGTATTATTTCACTTTTCTGTACCATATTTCTTTTTTAATTAAAAACAAGAATAAAATCTAGGATAGTTAGCTATTTTTGACAATGGTGCAATACTCTTCAAATGGGAAACAGATTCCCAAAAGGGATCAGTGCTTTCAGTGCTCAGGTGTCAGAAAATAGTTGCACAGGGCAACAGGTTTGAAGAGGTAGAGGCCCTTGGTTAGCTCTGAGAATGGTCAGGAGTAGGTTTTAAGAAAGAACTCAGGGGTGAGCTAAGAGGAAGGCCAAGGAGCTGGTTTCTTAGCCCTTCCATGACCTGGTTAGTGCCCTTTCCTTCTTGACCACCTCCCTTCCCTTCCTGCCACGTCTTTTGCTTGCTGTGAGTTACTCTTAGCTGGCTGCTCTAGGGAAATGCTCCGCTATTTTGGGCAGGCATGAGGAAGCTACTTGGCACCAGTCAGGGCACCTTGGTTGGGCACCAGATGATAAGGCTTGGGGAAATTTTAGTTGATGCTATAGACACCATGAGGGATTCTGGGATAAAAGATAAATAATCCATACCTGATAAGTGCTGCTTGGATGTTTAATGCAACCAGAAGTGGGTGCAGGATTAGTGATTCTGACTTCTCATGGCTAACTTCATTTATCAGCATGGCATTCAAAGCCTTTCTCAATTGGGCCCCAACCCATTCTTCTATAGGGCAGACATAGACAGCAAGCACAGTGCCTAGGGCACAGAATACTTTCAGGGTCCTACAGAAATGTTTTAGCTTCTTTTTTTTTGGGTGGTTCTGGGGTTTGAACTCAGGGCCTTGAGCCACTCCACCAGCCCTTTTCTGCGAAGGGTTTTTTCGGGATAGGGTCTCGCTTACTATTTGCTCAGGCTGGCTTCGAACCAAGATCCTCCTGATCTCTGCCTCCTGAGTAGGTAGGAAGCACCTGAGTAGGTAGGCATGAGGAACTGACACCCAGTTTTTAGTTTCTTATAAGATCAGGAGAAATAAAATAAATAGAATCTGGATATCTGCCTTTATACCAACGCAGTGATAAAATAATTATTTTTTAATGGAGCAAGGGTCCTATAAAGACAAAAGTGCTAGAGTCCAATAAAGTCAAAACACAGCCCTCAGAGCTGGGATGTAGTTCAGTAGTAGAGCTTGCCTAGCATGCTCTTAGGACCTTGTTTCCATCCCCAGACCGCAAGAAAAACACAAAAAACTTCTTGTGCCCAGCAGGTGTGGTAACACATGCCTGTGATCCCAGCACTGGGGAGGTAGAGGCAGGAGGACTGAGAACTTGAGAAAAAGTCTGGGCTACACAGTGAGAAACTATCTCAAAAAACCAAACCAAACCAAACCAACCCAACCAAAACCAATATGTGACCCTCATCCTCCAGCTTCTATACCCATCACTCCTTCACTCTGCTGCCCTCTGGATTTCCCAGACCCACTTCTGCCTTTGTCCCTCTGTGGTTTTGCTCATGCTAGATCATTGCTTGTGTGACATCCCTGCTTGAGTCCTTCCCACCTAAGGAGTCATCTTTTGATGAGGTCAAATGTTACTATCTTTGTGAGGCCTTTCCTGATCTCCCTGGGTGGGAGTTAGAGTTCCTTCTAACTCACCTAGCACATTTTTGGACATCTCCAAGCTTGTTGTGACTTGTTTGCATTTAGAGTGGGAGCTGTGTGGGAGAAGGGCCTCATCTTACCTGTTTGACACCCAATACTTGGGTTAGATTTGGGATGTATGAGGACAAGAGACATGGCTATAACTAAGCTTTTCAAATGAATGTGGTCCTTCCCAGCCTCAAATAACTGTTTCAGCTAAGGGACAATACAGGGAAAGAAGAGCCAACATAAAATTCCTCACCAATTCCATAAAACCTTTATTTCCACTGGGATTGATGCCATGTTCATGTCCAATTTTTTTCCCTTTCCCCACCCCACAGGAAAGCCTGGTCACCCTCTCCTTTCCCTTTGTCTGAGCACCCCAGAATGTCTTCTCTATGGCGTCCTGTGTAAGTTCCCAGGGACCTGGGTGGCCTCTAGCATTGTTGAGGTGCAGGAAACAGGAGGCAGCTGTGGTCCTGTGGCACCCTCGTGTGGTGGCAGCCTACTATTGAAGTCCAAAAAAGCTTTCCCAAACAGAGCTTGTTTTTCTCCAGGCAGGGGGTGCTTCCTACCTCGGGGAATATAGCCATGTGCAGTGGGGTCCAACTTGCTTGGAGAAGAGCTGATATGCACATCAGGTCTGTTCCACATGGGGACTTCATGCAAGCACAGCAGGTGGGTCAATCCTGCAGTCACGCTCCACAGCACCCTGTCCCTGCTTCTGACTCACATTTGCCAGGACTCTGGCTGGCTTTATCTGGGGTCTAGCCTCAGGGCTGCTGATACCTTGCTGAGTGACTCTGGACAAATTCACTTATCTAGCCTGTTTCCTAATATGAAATTAAAGGATTGGACCAAAATACCAGCTTTCAAATTATACTTACAGAAGAAAGATTGTGGGCTGGAGGCATGGCCTTCCCCTCCCTCAATTTCACCACGCTACTTTGCTTTTTATCTACCTTCTATAGAAGGCCTATTAAAAAAAGGGTGGGGGAGGGTCCTGGGACTTAAATTGAGAACCACTGCTTCCACAAGCTTCTTGCTTCTCAGGATTCCTAATGTGGTCTCTTCCTACCTGGCTCCCTGGCTTCATGGAGGCCAGGCAGCTAGAAATGATCAGAATGGGATGGAGAGGGAATGGCAAGGTGGCAGCTGGTTGTCTAGTATTCTTGTGGTGTGCAGAGGAGCCGTGGTTCAGCACTGAAGACTGAGTGAGCCTCAGTTCTGGCTCCAGCCACCCAGAGCTGTGCAGCTACAGACCAGCTCCTTTATATCTGTCTTTGCTTTCTTCCTCCTTTTCTTTCTTTCTTCCCCCTTTCCTTACTTCCTGCCTCTCTTTTTCTTTTTTTTTTTTGGAATCTTGGGAACACTGCCATTAGGAAAGTGCTCTACCAACAGAGCTATGTTCCAGCCGGCCTTAGCTGTCTTATCTGTAATACAGCATGGAGGTTCCTGTTCTCTTTCTCACAGGATTATTGTGCAAATGAAGTAAGATAGAGGACACCTGGCAGGGCACTTTCTGTAAATTACAAAATGGCCTTCTATTCGCTCAGGTAACACAGTAAGGGAGGCTTACTCTCTCAGAACACACAATTTTGCTAGATTTTGCAGATGCTTTGGATGCCTGGGGCTTTGGGACACAGCTGCCAAGGTCCTCCTTGCTGTCCTGGGTCTCCTCCAGCTGCCTTCTCTGCTTTGCAGGCCTCTGTTTCTAGGACAGAAGATAAACCCTAGGCCTGAATCATGTGTCCTCAGATTCTTCCATCAATGTGGAGGAAAGAAAATGGGCCCGATGTCGCGAGGAGCAAGAAGTTCCTGCTTTGACATCCTTTGAACTTAAAGATCCATCTTTAAGGCCTGCAGAGGAGCTGGTGATCAGATTTTCAGATGTCTGGTAATCCTGTTTCCTGAAAGGAGTGGCAGGGCTGGCCCTGGGGACAACTGGAGCCTAGACAAAGAGCCACAGTTGATGGGGGTCCCTGGGGTTACAGGGGGCCATGGCTGGCTTTTTGTCCTGGGATGTCAGGCAGGTACCAGATCCTAAGTTCCTGATGAGCTGATCCTAAAAAATGACACAGCAAAGGGTCAACGCGGGCACAGACCTTTAACTCATGGGGGAGGGGGGAAGGCGGCAATGGGACAGGGAACAACTGATAAACGGCAAAGGAAACCCAACAAGGCACAAAGAGGGTGTTTCCAATTCCTTCCCTGGGGTGTAAACGCTGATGAGATGCGTTCTCTTCCCCCTCTGTGTCTGGTGCCCATTCCCCATCCCTGGCTTTAGCCTGAGTGGCTGTAACAGAGGAAAGCAAGGCCATGGGCTAAAAGAAAAATACAATGCTTTCAAGGGCCTCCCCCTCCCCTAGTTAGTCAGGCTGAAGGACCGAGGCCCACTGCTGCCCAATCACCAATTTCCTGCCTTTGATTGTACTTTGACTCCTCCCTTCCCTGCATCCTCAAGGCTATGTTCCTCTTTTCCTGATTTTTTTGAGGGGGACTGCAGTGGGGTGGGGTTTGGACTTAGTGATGTGGAAGTTACATCATATATACTGGCGCAATGTGGTACAATGGAAAGAGCCAGGGCTTCCAATTCAGCCTTATCTAGGCCCAAATCCTAGTCTTATCATTTTCTAGTGATGGGTCTTGGGCCTGTGGCAAATTTCTTGAGCTTCATCTGGCTCATCTATTGAAATGGGGGCGGTGTCTACTGGGAAAGGGCCCCTGAAAGATTAACCAAGCCCTGTTTGTGAGTGCCTTGCTTTGCGCCTGGCACACAGAGGCAGACGGGAGCCATGAGTGACCCTTTCATCTACTTGGGTTCATCCTAAAAAGCTTAAATTATAGCAGAACTAGCCATGGACCATACTTTGGCCTCATTTTATATCAGCTAGAACCAGCTGTCACTGAACATTCCTCAAATCATGGAGAGCCCTGCTGTGACCAAGCCCCCACTCGCTTCCCTTTCTGTGAGGCTCTGATCTACCCATGGTGACTCAGGTGGAAGATGCAGATTCTCAATTCCCTCCCTTCTGGCTACTGACTCACCGGGGTCAATTCCCATTCCTCATCCTTGGGCACTGGGCTGTTTTTGCCAGTGAAGTGACAGCTCCTAAGGCCCAGTGTGCTGGTGCTGGCGTGTAGACACAGCTGCTTGGCAATGTTGTGTCGAAGGTCCCTCTGGGTTGTGTACTCAAAGTACTGCAAGTCAAGACAAGGACACCCTGAGGAGCAGGTTGGGCCTTTGCCCACCTCTTTCCAAAGCCACCCAATCAGATGGCCTCCTGGGGAGGACAAGGCTATGCCAAGACTTTTGGTAGTTTATGGATTGCCCTCATGACTTCTGCCAAATCTGGGTTATACTGGAGTAATAGTTCATACATGTAACCTTCAAACTAACTAAAAGTTTATTTTAGCCTCATTTTACGCACCGTCTGTGGAAACATGCATTACATATGCTAATTCTACTTTTTTTGTGACAGGTTCTCCCTATGTAGCCTGTGCTGGCCCTGAATTTGTAATCCTCCTGTTTCAGCCTCCTAAATTCTGGGTTTAAGGGGCATGCACTGCCACAATCAGCTGCTAGTTCTATTTTTGCTAGTAGATTACTATTTAAATTTTAAAAATGGGCTGCAGGTGTGGATCAAGTGGCAGCGTGCCTGCCTAACAAGTGTGAAGTCCTGAGTTCAAACCCCAATACCATCAAAAAAAATGTTGCCAGGTATGGTGGCTCACACTTGTAATCTCGGCTACGGATGAGGCAAAGATGGGAGAATCTCAGTCCAGGCTAGCCAAGGCAAAAAAGCAGACCCCCATCTCAAAAAACAATCCAGGTGTGGTGGTACAGTCTGTAATCCCATCTACTCAGGAGCTGGTGGTAGGAAGGTCAAGGTCTAAGGCCTGTCCTGGGCAAAAACAGGAGACCCTATCTGAAAAATAAGCTAAAACAAAAGGGATTTAGTTCAAACCCAAGTACCACCAAAAAAGTTAAAAATAAATAAAAAATGCTCACAGATATACCACCTAAAGTTAGCTTATAGGCCAGGAGTGAGAGACTGCTTTCGAATGGCTTTGTCTTCATTTGCATGTAACAGCAGCCTATTCAGTGTCCCAGACCCTCCTTTCTTTGTTTCAGTTCTGTTTAAAGTACCTCTTACACGCTGAGGATGTAACTCAGTGGTACAGTGCTCACCTGACATGCTTAAGGCCCTGGGTTCAATCCCCAGGTAGGCTGAGGGATGGCGGATGGGAGGCTACTAGTGATTCCTCAGGGATGTGCTGGGACATTGTAGGGTGTGGGATTAATTCCCAGGGTAACTGTGAGATGTCAGTAGGTGGTCGTATGAAAGATCACTGCTTGGGGGGCAGGGGTAGATAGAAGAAGAGTAGAGGTTTCTGGGCAGGGAAGACACAGAAGGTAAAAATTGAGTGTGGGCTAGGGAAAGTGCTCACCCAGGCCTTCTCTGATGGACAGTGTTCCCTCTCATCCCCTTCCAGCACCTGGCACGGATGCCAGTGCTCTCTCTCAGTCCCTAGTCCAGACATCAGACTGTCTTTTGCCTTCCACCTCAGACTGGGAGCTCCCTGAGCCAGAGGTGGTAGCCCCTCCTCCTTCCACACTTCCTCCATCCCAGGCCTCTGGGATGCCTGGAGCCTGGTTTCTCTTGGGCCTGCCTGGTGGGCTGTCTACCTGATTACCGCCAAGGCCGTGGCAGAAGTACATGATGAGGGGTTTCCCGCCATGGTTGTTCTCTCCCACATCCAGGCATTGATCCGTGCCGAAGTTCTTGATCTGCAGAATGGTGAGCAGAAAGGAAAACCAGGATGGCATTTCCTAGTGTGTGATATGGGGCCCAACTGGAATTTCCCCTCTGCTTATTTTCTCTGCTCATCAACCAAGACGTCTGGAGTTAATATCAAGGTGAGGTGCAGAACCCCTGACGCTGGGAAGAACAGGACTGGACACCTTCTGTGAGGCAGGATGGGGGCAACCTCTCAGGATGCCAGGTCCCTTGAGGAAGCCCCCAGCACAAGGGAGTTCTCTTAGGATCAGAGAGGAAGCTGCTGGGACATGTGAGCAATGTAGAGTTTCATTTTCCACCCTAGCTCTGGATGGGAACCTCTGGGGACAGAGCTCAGCAGTCTGTGTTTTAGCTCTTCTTCCTTGTGACTCAATGTATGTGAATATGTAAGAACCATTGCTTAAGGGTTTTTCCCCGTTATCAGGTTTTGAAGCCATCTCAGGAAGTCCAAAGTGGGCTCTCCATCCTCCTTCTGGATAAAGGAGGGTGGAGAGTAACAGTCATCCATTGGTGAGGTGGGTGACCTTTAACTTCTCTAGAAGGTACAGTGGATTCGTTCTCAAACTTACAGCTCCATAGAAGGTAGGATTCAGGTCAGGAACAAACATCTCTGGGTAGACGTTGTGCAGGAACCAGGAAAAGTTGTGGCAGTGTAGTTGTTCCCTTAGCTGCAATCTTTCCGAAATGTCACCAAAGGATTTCTGTCAACCAAACCAACCCCCTAAGGATCAGTTCCACACTCCTGACCTTCCTGTCTGGGTTGAAGCAGCTCAGACAGCATGGAGCTCCTGAGGCTACTTTGTCATCTGCTCATTCCTGCAGGTGGGCTATTGGCTCAGCCTCACACCCAATCCTAGACTCCCTGTCTTGACTTGAGGACTCCCTCATAATTCCCCCACTCCTCATGTCCTCTGACTCCCCAGTCAATCCTCAGGGTCCTCAATTCTAAACCTCTCAGAACCATTCCTCCTGTAAGAGGTTCCTCACCAAAACTTTTCCCTTCCCTCCCCTCCCCTCCTAAGTGATGCTGGGACTCTCCAAGTAGGGACAACAAAATCTTCTCTCCTCCTCCTCTAGCTTTCTGTGTGTCCTGGGGCATCCTCTGGGCTCTAGCTCACAGAGCTGAGGGATGAAGGGAAGCCCAAAGGTAGAGATGGGTGGCCCTGCCCTGGGGCTCCTGGCTAGGCATGAGATTCTGTGCTTCTCTCCCTCCAAACACCTTCTAAGTGCCACTTCCTCTCACCTCCTGAGCCATCTTTGCTGCCTGCAGATTTCTCCTATAGAAAATCTTCTTGTAGTTGTCCATCCAGACTTCAGCCAGGCGCACTTGGTTGCGAGCAATGACACTTGTGCCCTTGGGAAAGGTGTGGGGACTCTTGGTACGGAACACGTGGCCTACCACAGAGCAGGGAATGATCTCCAGCTGGCCCCCGCATTGCCACACCTGACACAAGAAGAGATAAGACGGAGACTTCAGGGTGTGGTGGTCTATCTACTCCCAAGCAGCTCTGTTCAGTTCTCAGGACACCAGACCCCAGGCCCAAGGACTTAGGTAAATGAGGCTCTTTTTCTCCCTGGAAAACAGGGCATTGACCCGGCTTCTTTCTAGGTCATGACCACACAATTCCAGGCTCTCTGATGTTAGTTCACTGTAGTTTAAACAAATGGAGGTTTGTAGAATCTCCTGGAAATGTGATTTTATCAGTTCACCCAGGGGTTACTGGAAACTCTAATTCACCCAGACTGGACAATCAATGCACTGGTTAATTGCAAGGACAACCAACTGTCAGGTGACCTGTGGTAGTCACCTGGGTCCTTAGCTTTCTTGGAAAGAGACTGCACAAGGGTCAGAGGCTCATGGAGAAGCATGAATCAGAATGTCGGGAGTTACGGTAACTGGCTGATGATGCTTTTCCACGCCAGGGAAGATGTTTCTAAGATATCCCTCCCACTGGTCTCTTCTTCTGGGTTTTATATTGGGAGACACATGTTACTCATTTTAGTGTGTCAGTAACAGAAGTACGCAATCATAGTTACAGTGACAGATGTCAGTCACACCCTTAGTATGTGCGAAACACTGTGAGGGGACATCGTGAACAAGCTGGTTTACTTTGTGATTACTTTCCCATAGAGGCGATCCTTTCTTCCTGACCTAATCTTGCTTTGCCTAATGCTTGGAACCCCTCAGAATTCTTCATCCACCAGAACTGGGGTCGAGCCCTTGTCCCACATTTATGAAGAGCTTGTTGATAGGGAAAACCCAAAAGCTGCTAGGGCGTGTGTCTTTTGACCTTGGAAGGGAGCCTGATTTTTCCAAAAAAAAAAAAATAAATGATGGTGACTCAGGGCTGGAGGAATGGCTCAAGCAGTAGAATACCTGCCTAAGCCAGTGAAATGCCATGAGTTCAAACCCTGGTATCACAAAAAAAAAAGCACCCAAAAATGACTGTGGCCCAGCTGAAGGTATCGCTTAGCTCACCTGAGCACCTGCAAGCACAAAGCCCTGAATTCAAACCCCAGAACTGCCAATAAAAAAAAAAAAAGAAAAAAGAAAGGATGGTGACTGGTTACTAATCTGTTTCCACTTTTACCCTGACCCTTTCCCACAGATTTCACAGAAGTCCAGCCCTGATCACCCCTGGTAACCCTTCCCTCTGAGAAGTTCTGCCCAGTTATTTGTCTCAAGTGGTGTGACTGCTAGAGCCCACTGCTGTGGACAGGGAAAGGAGCAGAAGGGTGGAGCCAAGGCAGAAAATAGCCACCCTTTCAAGTTTGGGTCCAGATGTGACATTACTGTGGCTGTCACTATTCAAGAGAGAGTTCCTCATGCTATCCCCTAGGATGTGGTGATTCCCCCAAGCCAGCGTCACTCTCACCCGGAAGGACATTTCCACGTTCTCCCCTCCCCAGATCTCCATCTGATTATCATAGGTACCGATGTGCTCAAAGTAGGACTTGGAGATGGAGAAGAGGCCACCAGCAAACGTCGGGGATCTGGAGAGACAGAGGGAGAAGTATGTGCATCTTCTGCATGGGGAGGAGCGGGTGCCTGGTGAGGAAAGCTGCTTGCAGACTCGGCTTGAATCCTCCTAGCCTACCCCCGTCTCTTTCCTCCTTCTCAGGTCATGCAGCCTCTTCTGCTAAGCCACTTGCTTACTGAGATTTGACTATGGCCTCTTCCCCTTTTAGAACAGGTTATTGAGCACCTCTAAAAGGCATTCACTCATTCATTCACTCAACCAAGATGTCCGCAACCCCAGCACCAGGGCCTGTACTGCCCGGTGGGCATTGGAGCTGACAAAGACAACCCATTCTTGAGCTCGTGGTCTGGCAGCAGGGGGAAGAGCTTCATGGCTCACCTTTTGACAGCAATGTGACTAGAGCAGAGCAGATGCGTAATTTGCAGGAGCCATGTGAAACTGCTTTTGAAAACAGGCAAGATTCAAACCATGAATGAGTGAATGCAGATTATCGGCTGGCCTAACCCCATTCTGTGTCAGGGTCCTTCACCCTTCAGGACTCTTAAGGCCCCAGTATTAGGAGCCTAGCCGTGGCATTTTATACTGACTGCCTGAGAAACTTAAATTTTGGGTTAAAGTGGGCAGTTGCCTTGAACAGGGGACACTGATAAGAGGGCCTTCCTGGAAGCAGGGTGGGAGGACATTGAGATTAAGCTCAATGTTTGGACTACAGGGAGAATTTAGAAGACTATAAAAAGATCTGGCTTTCAGACAAAGGCAAGGAGGCACAGACTTAAGTTAACATAAATTGACAAAAACATTTCCTCCTAGAAGTTAGGGACCAGATTGCTTATAAGAGGGGCTAGGCTAAGGCGTATGGTACCCAAGTGGACAAAGGGAAGGAGAAGCAAAATAGAAGGCAGGGGTCAAGGTCAGTGGAGGCAGGAGCAGGAACAAGTAACCATTAGCTGTCAGCTTCTGTGCCTGGACCAGACTGGCTTGGATGGGGCTTTGCTGCCCTCAGGGGGTGGCTTCGTACAGTACAACCAAGCCGAAACCTCTGTAATCCCAGAATTTATAAAGTGCCTTAAACACAGTGAGGGCCCAGCCAGTGTTCACCAGACTTATCTATCAAGGAACTTCATAGGAGACTGACCTTGATGCTATCCTGTGACTGCTCTTGTTTCCCTGACATTGGCTCCTGCCACCTCTTTCTGGAAGGAATTTCAGTTGGGAAGCCCTCTTGCTAATGCTGGCTTCCTGTTATTGGTTCTGTCCTCTCCCAGGCATCCAAAAGCCAGCCCAAGAAGGACCAGAGAGGCTCAGAGAGTCCTGGAGCTACAGATGAGCACTTTGAAGCTAACCTGCTCACACTGGGGCCTGTCTCTATGCTGACAGGCCTCTCAGTCTGAGAAGTCACTGACAAGTTAGCTATGAGGATAAAACCCTCCATGGGGAACTTCACCGTAGATCTGCCATCAATAGGCAGCCTCTAGTCAACACTGTATATTTCTGGCCTACTTCCTGGAACCCCGTGGGTTCTCTACTTCATCTCTTAGCCTCCCACCAGGCTTGAAAGGGAGAGTGCAAAGTCTTGCTCGTGGTCCTCCTGGTAGACCACCATATGAAGTGCCTCAGGCAAAGCAGGCACGCTACCCGGACACTTGGACCAAGGAGCAAATTCGCTCCTCAAACACTGGAGCTTTGTTCTCTAGTACGGTCTTTGGGCACTGGAGCCGACGTCAGTGATGGGTGGGGGCCAGGTGCCCTGCCCCTGACCGTGCCTCTGGGTGCCTGGCCCCAATCTGAGGGCGGGATTTATTGCTGTCCACACCAAACAAAAGGCATCTATATGAAACAAGCAAAGGATTAGTAGAGAGTTGTGATTTCTTTTCTCTCCTGCCTTCTCTTTTCTCTCTTTCTAATGGAGACAGAGCAGTTGGCTGGGATTTCTCCATATGGCGGCCACTTAAGCCCTCTCAGCTGAGACTCTGAGCAGCATTTCTTAGGATTCTGAGCATGTGGAGAGGGCAGAAGCTCAACTTTTTCCTTTCAAACCCTCCCCCCTCATCTCTGGCTACTGCATCCCCAGCCTCCCCATTCTTCCAGCCCTGATGTGTGTTTAGTTGAGCCTTAAGTCCCCTGGCCAGAACAGAAAAACAATGGCACTCATAATCCAAAAGCAAGGGATGCTCTGAAAGTTACTCCCAACTCATTTGTTTTGAGACAATGGTTAAAATATACTCTGGTCCCCCAAAAACTCCAGCAGGTGATCTGCAGAGGTCAGGGCAGGCAGCACGTGAGGGAGGCAAGCCCAACTGGGCTTTAAAGAGTAGATTAACTTCCAGTTCTCTATCCTATAGCACAGGAACTGGCAAACTAGAGCCTCTGAGGCTGGGAGTGTAGAGTACTTGCCTAGCATGTGCAAGGCCCTGGGTTCAACCTCCAGCACTGCAAAACAAAAAACTAGAGCCCGTGGACAAGAGGTGGTGGCTATTTGTTTTCATAAGGCTCTGTGGCAAAGATTGGTTTTTACTTTTTTTTTGTTTTTGGTGGTACTGGGGTTTGCTAGACAGGTGCTCTACTGCTTGAGCCATGCCCCCACCTGGTTTTTATATTTTTAAAGGGTGTAAGAAATCAAAAACCAAAGAACATGCAACACACTAAATGTGGCTGGCAAAGCCTAAGAGCTTTACTATCTGGTCCTTTATTGAAAAAGGACAGGGCAACTGCAGCAAAATTACTTCTTCTTTCTTTTTTTTAAATATGTTCTCAGTCACCACTACTACTTATTACAAGCCTATTCAACAATGGCCTCCACCCACCATCTCTCTGCTGTGTAAGCACCAATCATGACCTTTTAGGGATAGGGAGTAATAAATAAGGCGAAGTATGTCACAGTCAAGGGTGAATAAGAGCAAGCTGTTACAATGTGAGGCAGTGTGGCACCCTGTTAAGGCCTTGGTCACACAGGGAGGGGTGTCCTTGCTCATCCATTTTCTAGCTGCATGATCTGAGGTCACCTGTTTATCACTACAGGTCTCAGTGTTCTCACCTGTCAAATGGGCTAATCACAGCAACTACATCATAAGGACAGAGGATGAAATAAAACATGTCAAGTGTTTGATACAGCACCTATAGGAACTGAGTGGGTGGAGGCTAGGTTGGGGCTCACCAGGCTGTGGTTCTTACTTGATTGGGTAGGTCTCATCCTTGCGTCTCTGCTTCTCATGTGCAGGTAGAACCTCCCAGCCAAAGGTCAGGCTCCAGTCAAAGTTGCCACGGCTATGGACTCTGCCCATCTGCACGGGCTTAGAGAACTTGAAAGTGTTAAGGTCGATGGTGACAATGTCTGGGCTCACCACTGCTGTCTTGTCCTCAGCAATTCGAGCCAGGAGGGGCTCTAGCCAGCCATGGAAGCACTCACCTGCACACCCAGACCAGGAGGTAGCTATTAGTGGTTTTTCTACACCTTTCCCCCCCAACACTTCTAGGAGACACAGGAGAATCAGAAGACCTCCCCCATTCCCTTATTACTTGTAGTGAAACACCAGTAAGCTCCACAGCTGAAGGGAGCACGGAACAATCTCCTGAAAAAGCTACCTCAATCCCTGAAAGATGGAGGTAGCTTTGGAAGGGAGAACAGAGGTCTCAGGGGAGTAACATACTCAACTCAAAAGATGCAAGAACCTGGATGGAGCTCTTCAGGGTTTCCAGCCTTACCCATGGAACCAGCTCCTCATCCGAGTATGGATTTCGGAAGGGAGTGTCCCTTCCCCCAGGGTATCAGCACATCAAGCTTTTGTTCCAATTGTACAAGAATCTCTCTTACTTTTCTAGCCTTTTGAACTTTTCAATGAACTTCTGTATACACATTACTTCATTTGGCCCTCAGAGTACTAATTTTGTTAGGTGAGTAGGCGGTCTCCTCATTCCCATTTCACAAATGAGGAAACTGGGCTCAGTTAGTGACAGAGTCATAATAGGAACTAGGGTTTCTGACTCTACGTCTGCTGCTTTCCCCAGTGTTTATCACAGCTCTCAGGGAACAATTCTACCACGCCTCCTCCCCCAACATACACAACAGTGGGGAGGTATTTTGTCTTTCTGGCTCCATAAAACCCTACAGAAAAGTTCTTCCCAAGCCTATTCCCAGTGGTAAAAGGAGGCCTCTCTGAGGGGCAGCGCTCAGAATCAGGTATAGATGGGGGAATGGGAGAGAGATGCAGAAATAGGGCTCCAGGGCACACTCCCAGGATTTGGGGTCACCAATTGTTTTAAGCTGTTTGTGCCTCCTGATAACATCCCTGGGATTGCGGTAAGGAATAAAATAGAAGGTGGTCACAAGCCTCTTCATGCCTAGAACAATAGAAGAGGACAGTTCCAACCCTTCATTTCTACCAGGGGAAGAAGAAGTAGGTGGCCCACGCTTCCTGTGTCTACTCACAGTGGGCATCCAGGAAGGTGAGCACCTCTGCCTGTGCCACACTGGCCCCCAGCAGCCGTGCAGTGATCAGCCCCTTCCGCTCCTTCTGCCGCACCACCTTCACAATCTGGAGCTGCTGCACATACTGCTCCAGCTTCTCCTTTAAGTACTCTGCAAGGAATAAGGCCATTGTTGCCAGCTTGGCCACTTTGTTGCAAACCTAATCCCCTGTGGGCACCAAGCCCTGGTGTTCCCAGGGTTCCAACAGGCCTGAATGTCAACCCTCCCACAAGCCTGCAGGGAGCCATTCATTGTACACAAGGGGGGAGGGAAGAGAGCAGGAGAAAGAAGGAAGCCCTGTTTCTGGCCAGGCCCCCAGTAGGCCATGGCTCTGCCCTGCTGTGTCTGCTGTATTCTCTAATGTCTTCTCTGTCAACCAAGATAGCACCTCAGAGCTGGGTTTCTTTGATCTCAAATTGAGCCCACACTTCTGACAAGGGCTCTCAGAGGCCTCACTCAGTCTCTCCTCTGTCAGAGCTGAATCCAGGCCTCTTTGCTCTTCCACATGGTGGGTGCTGTCAGCATCTTTCTGTGTCTGTGACTTCTTGTCACCCAGACTTTTCACAGTTAACTCAACTGGCAGAATACATGCACACATAGATGTTGACTTCTCGTTTGCTAGATCAGCAGCAAGAAATCTTACTCTGATTTTTTTTTTTTTCAGTGTTGGGGATGGAACCCAGGGCCTTGTGCATGCCAGGTAAGCTCTCTATCACTGAGCTACGCCCCCAGCCCTAATCCTCTTGATTTCTTCCTCTGCATATGGAACTATTTAAGGAGATGAAAACATGCCAAGCAGTTTTTAAATTATATTTTAAAAAGAGCTGGGGGTGGGGCTAGAGGTGTGGCTCAAGTGGTAGAGCACCTGCTTGATAAGCACAAAGCCTTGAGTTCAAACCCCAGTACCCCCCAAAGGGGGGGGCTAGGGATGTAGCTCAGTGGTAGGACACTTGCTTTCATGCATATACATATATATATATATACACATATGTACACACAACACATATACATATATATTATATATATGTTAGAAAGAAAGAAAAAGAAAAAAGCAAGCAAGCAAGCAGGGAGGGAGGAAAAAAGGAAGAAAGAAACTGTGCATGAATGCCCTGGGGATCAGGGGCCTCACACGTGCACACATCCATGCGCTATCCCTGAACACTTGAACACTGCTCTGTGCCAGTCCCTGAACTAGTGCTACAGCGGAAGTATGATGGCAGAAGCAAGGCCAACTATCAAACAGGTGGTTATGGGGCAGGTGATCACTGATCTGCAGAGTAGCGCGGACTGGAAAGAGCCAACCATTCCAGATTTGAGGACAGATTTTGAGGAAAAGCCTCTTGAAGGGAGATCTCAGCTGGCCGCTGGCTCTTTCCCAGGAGATGTTCTGCTTCTCTCGTGTGGTCTTCCCTTCAGCCATGCTGGCCTTCTTTCTGTCCCAAGTACACGCCAGGCCTCGGGGCCTTTGCTAGGACTGTTCCCTTTATGGCCTTTCCTGGCTACTGTGACTAAAAGAGCTCTAATGTCTCTGGCATTTCACCTGAAATCCTCAGGGCATTAATAATAGCTCTGTTCTGAAGGAATCCATCTTGAAATACACTCCGAATCTTATGTGTTACTAAGTGCTACTTTGTTTTATCTATGCCTCTGCTCCGTTCTTGGCTGTGCAGAGTGGAGTCACCTGTAGTGTCAGAGGTGAGGAAGCTGAAACAAATGTGTGCATCCTTTGTCTTTCAGATGGTGGTTCTTAGGCCTTGCTCTGAACAGTGTTTTACAAACTGTGGGTCCTAAAACCAATTTAATGGGTTGCTACTCCTCTCTCTCTCTCTCTCTCTCTCTCTCTCTCTCTCTGTCACATACTCACACACATGCACTATATCCAAACATTTGAGCACCTACTCTGTGCCAGTCACTGACCAGGTGTTTTCATGTTGACTTCCTTCCTGAATCTTCTCTATGAAGGTTACAACTCTGTGGATTAGGAAGCAAGCACTGACCCCATAGTTACTAGAAGGAAAACTAGGACTGGAAGCAATGATCCCAGGGTTACAGCATGTGCGAAGGACAGCAGTGGGGTCCTAACCAGTCTATATCTGAACACTTCTCACCTCCCCCTCCAGGAGCAGCAAGGCCACTCATCCAGGACTTAATGTGACTGGTTTTTAAGGTGGTCTCTGCAGCCTCCAGTCATGTAAGACCTTGCCACTTTCCCATGTGAGACTCCAGGAGAGAAAGAACTTGGTCGAGCTGCTCTTTTGGTCACTTTCCAAGACATCTACATGGAACCCAGGGGAAGAAAACTATAATTTGGAACTTCAACTCTTCTCTTTTCTTCAGTTCTTCTGGATAGACAGGTGTTCCTGACATGGTACCCTTGTGAATGAAATTGTGCAGGCAGTCACCTGAGAAGGGGGCTGAATCTTATTCTAAGAAAAGTAAATAAGGGTTGGAGGTATGGCTCAAGGGGTAGAGCACCTGCTTTGCAAGTGGGAAGCCCTGAGTTTAAACCCCAGTTCAACCAAAAAAAAAATGCTATTAAGGGCTGGGTGTGTGGCTCAAATGGGAGGACGCCTGCCTAGCAATTGTGAGGCCCTGAGTTCAAACTCTACTACTACAAAAATAAATGAATACTTCTAAAAAGAGTAAGTAAAGCTGTTTGCTTCTGGTGTCAGGACCTCATGAGTCAAAATGAGCTTCATGTGGCAGCTTTAGCCCAACAGTCACTTAGCAAACACCTTCTAACACACTGCTTAAAGGCCAGACACTGACCTGTACAGGGAGGGCCTGCCATGAAAGAGCTCACAGACTCACAACTCAACCACAGCCCCAAGTGCTGCTCTGACAGGAAGGAGGGAGGAACTCCAACCAGGAGCCTCACCCTCTCAGTGTGACTGACGTATCCCCTGAGAACTTTCTTAACTCTGCTCACAGGAGTGGTAGTGGAGATAACCCAGAGACAAAACATCACAGGAAGTGGGTTTTGTGGTAAGAGACTGAGAAGCACTGAGCTGTGACCGTCAGGGAGGTCTGAGCTCTACAAAGTTCTTCTCCCACGCCTTCCTTCCAGGCTCAGGTGGCCAGGTTGAATATGGGGATTCTGAGCCTAAGAGGCTCCCAGCTCTGGGCCTCAGGCCCTACTAGAGGAGTTAGACAACTCCCCTAAGAAATGTCTCCCAATAGTCCTTCACCTGTCCTACCTCTGAGTGCACTGCATATGTGCACAGAAGGGATACCACAACTAAGCATGGAGACAGGCAAGCCCATCCATTTCTTCTCATGTCCCTCAGATGAGACATCATTCCTTTTAATTTAGGTTCAGCAGTCTGACTTCATTCCTTAGCACTGGAGTCCACAAGACCATGGTGACCCCCAACATACATGCCTCATTCAGTCCAGTTGTTTGAAATACCATTTGTAGCTGGGCATGGTGGCATGCATTTATAATCCCAGCATTTGAGAGGCTGAGGCAGAAAGAGCGTGAGTTTAATGCCAGCCTGGGCTACGTAGCAAGATGCTATTGAAAGGAAGGAGGACTGGGTGCTGGTGGCTCACACCTGTAATCCTAGCTACACAGGAGGCAGAGATCAGGAGGATCGTGGTTCCAAGCCAGTCTGGGTCAATAGTTCTCAAAACCCTATCTCAAAAAACCCTTCACAAAAAAGGACTGGTGGAATGACTCAAGGTGAAGGCCCTGAGTTCAAGCCCCAGTGCCACAAAAAAAAAAAAAAGAAAGAAAGAAAGGAAGGAAGGAAGGAGGAAGGAAGGAAGGAAGTTAAGAAAAGGAAAGGGGAGGGGATGGAAGGTTATGTGCAGATGCTCCCAGGTCTTTTCCTTTTCTCTCACTCCACCATCCTTTTGTCACTCCACCATCAGCCCATCAGCAAGCACTGCCAGTTCCCTCTCCATCCCGACTGTTACTTCAGCAACAAAGTCCAACAGGACTTTGGATGAGTCTTGAAGATATGGTATGTGAAAGAAGCCAGTCACAAAAGGACAAATACATTATTCCACCATGTGAGGTAACTAAAGGAATCTCATTCATAGGACAGAAGGTAGAATGGTGGTTGCCAGGGGTGAGGGATAGGAAGGATCCAGAGCTGGGGTTTAGTGGGTGCTTTACCTCTTGAGCCACTCTGCCAGCTCTTTTTTTGTGTGTTGGGCATTTTCAAGACAGGGTCTCTTGAAATATCTGCCCTGGGCTAGCTTCGAACTGATCCTCCTGATCTCTGCCTCTTGAGTAGCTATGATTACAGGCATGAGCCACCAGCACTTGGCAAAGATGGTAAATTTTATGTTATGTATATCTTACTCACTCAGCACACAAAAAATCCAAACACCTTTGTAATCCATCATTTACAAAGGTTTCAGTGTACTCTCACTTCTCCAAACTCGTTTTGTATCAGTGTTCTTTCTGCTTCTTTGCCCACTTCCTTTCAGCTGTGCAGGACTGCTTTCTGGTCCTTTATAATGCCCTACCTCAGGGCCTTTGCACCAGCTGTTCTTTGTATGGGGAACACTCAGAGTGGCCTGTCCAACCTCTGCTAAAGCAGATTCCTAATTGGTCACTAGTCCGTTACCTTGCATTCTGTTCTTTTTTCCCTGTATGTAATTTCTTCACAGCACTTACTATCTGAAACTTTTTTTTTTTTTAGCTCTTCACCTAAAAAAAGAAGCTTCAAGACTCCACTCAGAAGTGAAGTCTGGGCCCTTGTTTTGACTTGTGGTGGGGAAGAAAAAGTCTCCCAGCCTGGCTCTGGGTCTATCAAGGTCACAGGGCTGCTGCTGGGAGGACAGAGAGTGCGAACATTGTCTTTCAGAGACACAGCCCTTGTTTGTGTATGTGTAACAGGAGCCAGTTAATCTGATCAAACAACCAAATGTGTAGGAAATTTTATCCCGCTGTGGATTTCTGATCATGGATCTGAGGGTTTTTTCCTTTCCCCACTGAACTGAACAGAGCTCAAAGTATCTATAGAGTCTGAAAGCCCTCAGGTTGGGGGTGTTTATTCTAGTGTGCCCAAATTCCCTGGAATTACATGTAGAAATGTGCTGGTGTAATTGCTACGGGCAATTGAGGCCCTACTCAGGGAGAGGAGGATAGCTTATTTTTGAGACAGGGTGTTGCCTTGTAGCCCAGGCTGGTCTCAAACTTGTGATTCTCCTGCCTCAGCCTCCTGAGTGCTGAGATTACAGGCGTATGCCACCACAGCTTGCATCAGAGGATAGTTTTCAACAGACTTTCAAAGCAGGCCAGGACTCAGAAAAATAAGAAGGTTCAGGTTTTTCAGGCAGGTGACTTAAGATGCTAGATGTGGCATTAAGAGTGAGTCCAATGGGCTGATGGAGTGGCTCAAGTGGTAGAGTACATGCCTAGCAAAAGTGAAGCTCTGAATTCAACCCCAGTACAGAGGAGGAGTGAGTACAGGACAACAAAGGGAAGCAAAACATGACACACCTGCTGGCTTTTAGGAGCAGGTGCTTTGAAGGGGCACCTGAGGCTACTGTAAGGTCCATCCTACCAGGCATAGGCTGCTCTGCCCTTCAGATGCTGCCTGTGCCAGGCAGGCATTGTGTCACTTGTTCAGCTTAGTCAGAGCTGCTGCCCAACTGAGCACTTGTACCTCACAGAGTTTGGGGCAGTGGTGAAAGCAGTTTAGAACTCCCCTCACATGTGGCTCAAGGGAGGAGCCTCTCAGGGCTGGGTAGCAGAGGGCTGGAAAACAGAGTAATGAAAGGGAGGGCCCAGTTTTATTTTGGTTTTTTGCAGTACTGGGGCTTGAACTGAAAGCCTCATGCTTGCTAAGCTCTACCACTTGTGCCACTCCGCCAGCCCTGAAGGGCCTACTTTGAGAGGAAGGCAACAATAACACTTGCTATCATTCCATTGCTACTAAGAGTCCTTGGAGGCCACGCCCAAGCCTTCCCATCTCTGCCAAACCTTTTGTCTCTCCTTCTCACAAGCCTAGTCTATACAGTCCTTGTCCACCAGGCCCTCTCTCTGCATCCCTGATGCTTGCTTGTCTTTGTTTTCTAAGTGCTGCCACGTGTCTGTCTTCTCTGGGAAAACGTGAACTCCCTGAAGCACACTCAGGGAGCGTGCCCCTCCTTCCATTGCCCTCATCCTCTTCTAGCATCACCCCTAAGCCAGTGGGCAGGAGAAGGCTGGGGAAGGTAAGAAGAGGCAACAGATGTACCAGAGTGGCCCATGGCAGACACTGGGAGGTGAGGAGTTGGTTACTGCCCTTGATACGGGAGCATAGGAAACCAGTTCGGGAGAGCCCACAGATACCACGTGCCACCTGGGAGGAGGGCCTGGCTCTGGACATTCTCCAGCCTATCCATGTCAGCCCCATAGCCCCTTTCCTAGTTCTGGCCCCATCATCTCACTCTCAATGGTTCTAACAACTTGCTCTCCAGACTCAGTCCTCTGCCTCTCTTCCTGTCAGTTCCCCTCCTCCAAAGGTGTCTCCTTCTGAAATAAGCCCACTCAGCTTAGACACCTTTAAGGACTCCTCATTTCCTCCTAAGCAAATGCACTTGGCTTGGCATGAATGTCAATTCAACATCCTTTCAGTCTCATTTCCCACAATAAATCTAAGCTTAATCACACCACATCTCCCCACCAAGCACATTCATATCTCTTGGAGTCTGCTAGGGATACCCAGTGTTCACACTTGCCTCCCTGCACCCTCATCCTTTCTAGCCTAACCCTAATCTGGCCTTCACTGTGGACCAACCCCAGCCATGTCAAGAAGAAATAAAGCTTCCTGGGTACATATGCCCCTAGTGCACTGTTCCCATACGATGAACAAAACTAAGCTCGTGCTCATGTAGTTCTTATGTGATACCAAATACTCTGTGCCACGTGAATTACCACATTTGTCACCTAACTCAGATCCCTTACTTGTCACATGAAGGAGTCCACTGTCCTTGTTTTTAGAAAAGGAAACTGAAGTTCAGAGAGGCTAAGTGCTTGCCCAAGGTCACAAAGCTTGGAAGAATCAGAGCTAGGATTTGAATTTTTGGTGATGCCCTTTCCAGCTCATGTCCTTTCACATCTGTTAGAGGAGTGTTATGGCCGTATAGCTGTCTGACCTATGAGTCATTAACCTTTTCAGGGTAGGTCTATTTGTCATGGTGCCCACTATGCTTGGGTCAGTGCCAGGTACAGAATCCTCAGTGGATGTTTGTGGAACTGATTGGAGGGTGGGTTTAGTGAGCAATTTTGCTTTACCTATTAACTATTACCATTAAGAGCAAAATGGCTCTGAGGTGGAACAGCAGAAGAGTGGTCTAGCAGGCAAGGCATGAGGGAAGACCTCCCCCTGCCCTTGGTCCTGACCTTTCCCAGTATTTCAGAATGGACTTCGGCTTGGGAGCATTCAGAGACTCTTTTTGTGTGTGACGCTGAAGATTGAAGCCAGAGCACATGCTAGGCAAGTGCTCTACTACTGAGCTACACTCACAGCCCTCTCAGGGAATCTTGGAGGCCAAAGCTTCAAACCTCTTGGAACTCTCCAGGTGAAGTGTTAATAAAGTCCAGGCTCTAAGAATATGGTCTACCTGTCCCCTGCCCCCACCTGCCTTCCTCCTGTTCCCCCTTGATGCTGAGGCAACAGGCCCAATGCCCTGACAGAACCTGCCCTCCTTCTCAGAGTGCCCCACCCCTCCTTAGGGCCCCTCCGGCCTCACCCTCTGTGCTAGCATCATCCACCAGGATGATCTCCCTCAGCAGGATGGAAGGGCTGGTGTGCAGGACGCTGTACACCGTTCGCAGCAGCGTGGACCAGGCTTCATTGTGGAACACAATGATGACGCTGGTGGTGGGCAGAGGGGGGCAGCGCCGGAACTTCTGATCAACACACCTGGAAGGATGAAAGTATGGGTACAGCTCTCAAAGTCACCAGGAGTTCCAGGAGTGGGGAGGGGGTCTGTCTAAAGCCCCCCTAAACCATTCCACATACCTCTGAACCATCAGCTGACATTCCCTATTGTAGTTGGGAACAGCTGCTCCCTGCCATCTACTCTGAGCCTCTGCACAGGTTCTAGTCAGCCACTCCAAAACCCACCCCCTAGAGCTGGCTTGGGGCCCCAGTTGTGATGCTCAGGATCCCCTATCCCTTCCCTCATCTGTTCACTACCATCAGGCTAGGAGTTCCCAGGACTCTCCCTCTGTAATAAAGTGTAATCCAATCTGAGATCCCAGAGGGCTAAGTAATAAAGGGCAAATCTGACACCTGAGAAAATTGACTACAATTTCCATTCAACATGAGGAAAATGCTCTTCCCTTCACGGTTCCAATTTACAGTTCCTCTCCAAGCCATTACCTCACTAACTTTCTGCAATATGACTCTACTCTCACAGTCAACTTCCTGTGACCTTGTCTCTACCCTCATCCACTCCTGCAGGCTTTCTGCAGCACTTAGCCACACTACCGCCTAGACCCTGTGACCATGTGGCTTAGCACCTTTCCAGCCTCTTAGTTGGTGAGAGTGATTTCTCATGGGCCCTTCAGGGAGGTTCTGCACCTTCCTCCAATGGCTACCCCCAGGCCAATGCCCTCCTCGGCTGGAGTTCCTGATAACCTCAAGTGGCTCCTTGTTCTAGGACTGTAATACTTGGTTCAAACCTGAGTAATCCCAGGCTCACAATCCTAAAAAAAAAAAAAAAACCATGAATTTTAATTAGGTGTGGTGGTGCACACCTATAATCCCAGCACTCAGGAGGCTGAGGCAGGAAGATGGTGAGTTCAAGGGCAGCCTGAGCTACCTAGTAAGGCCCTGTCTCAAAAAAAAAAGAAAAAGAAAATCATGAATTGAGGAAGGGAGGGCAGGCTGCCATAAGAAAAAAGGCCAAGAAGTGTCTATCCTGAGTTGAAAAAGACAAAGGCTAAATGGGAAGACACAAAAACTTTAACTTGGGGATGGGGTGAACACAGCCATGGCCACATTAGAGTGAGGTGGCGGCAGCTCAAAGAGCTAAGTGCTGCTTTCCCTGTCTAAGACTGAGAAATGGGCAGCTTCAAATCAAGGTTGGAATGACTTCTTGGTCTTGTGGCCTTCAATGGAGGAAACCAGCTGGGGTGTGGATATTCCTGACTGGGTGATTTGCAGACAGGAAATGTCCCCTTTCCCAGAAGCTCAGCATCACAGCCCAACAGTCTCTGCAGTGGACCTCTGCAGAGGGCAAGGCTGCTGAAACCATGGCCAGGTGCTCCTGTGTAGGATTCTGGTCCCAAGCTCTGACTTCCTTCTGTATCCTGTCCCTCCATAGCTGTGTTTCACTCTCACAGGTCTCTGTGGGCCTCTAACCTGACCACAATATTCCTCAATTTCAGCCCCTGGTATCATGGCAATTGGTCAGCAAAAGAAAAGGAGGCTTAAAGGAAATCCTTGCCTACATTCTCAAATATCCTTCAACTTTGACCCTGGCACTTGGTCTGTGGTCATAGCTCTTCTAGTCACACCTCTGGGAAAGCCCTGGTCTCCCTTTCAGGGAGGGATGCTGGGTGGTACTTACTCAGGAGGCCGGGTGTCTGGCCCCAGGGCCCTCTGCAAGGAGATATGGTCACTGGCAAAGGCATTGAAGCAGTGCTTCTTATAGCCCTCTTCTTTTTCCTGAATCTCCTGAGGGGTCCACTCACTCTTCTTAAATGCATTCCCATCTGCTCCGGGACTGTTGGGGTCCTGTGGCGGCCTTTCCCAGAAGGGCTTCAGCTCAGCTGGGGTATAGAACCCGGGGAGGCAGGTCTGGTTTACAAAGACCAGTGTCTGCTGGGGCTCTGGAGCCCTGATCTGCAGCTTGGGCACTGAGTCTCGAAGGTTGTTCACCGCCCCTAGCATGAGGTCCAAAACGTGGTCCTTCTGGCCCACCAGGGACTGCAACCATGGTTTCTCCATGGTCTGATCGCTGCTGCTTACGTCCTTATGCCAAATGAAGAGGAAGAGCATGAAGACACTGCCCACCATGGCCAGCCGCAGAGGCATGTGGCGTCTTCGGAGGAGCCTCATCCTCCACCCACCAACGGAGACCTCAGCAGGGTCAGCTCCAAGTCCCGGGCCTGACTGTGAAATCAGCTGGCTATATCGTGGGGCCCACACCTTGGAGCCTCAGCCTGAGAAGGAAAGGGATGGGAGAGAAATGAGCCAAGCCAGAGCAGGCAGGAAATCAGGGGTTTAGGGGTGCATTCAGGTTCTGGTCTGAATGGTGACATCACCGTCACACAGTGACAATGTTTCAGGGCTTGAATTTCCTTCATTTGTAAACTGAGGAAACTGGATTCAGTGTTCCGCTCCTGCCCTAGGGTTCTGACACTAGTGGACTAGGGTAAGGATCTCTGAGACTCTGTATGAAGAGAGTTAAATGACATAACCACTGTGGGAAACAGCTTGGCACTAACAAGTAAAATTTAAAACAAACACACTGCAGGAACCAGAACTACTACTCCTAGTTTTCTTTTTCTTTATTTTTTTTAACACAAAGTCTAGGTGTGTAGCTCTTGTTGGCATTGAACTTTTGATTCCCAGTGCTGGATTACAGGCACCACCACACTCAATGTTTGTTGTTTCTTTTTCATTTTGTTTTTCTTTTTGTTTTTGTAGTACTGGAGATTGAAACTCAGGGCTTCAGTTGCTAGGCAAGTGCTCTACCACTTAAGCCACACCCCCAGGCCTCTTTTTTGTTTTATTTTTTTAAGACAGGATCTCATTATGTAGCCCAGGCTGGCCTCAAACTCATGCTCTTCCTGCCTTAGCCTCCCATGTTCTGGGATTACGGATGTTGGACACCATGCCTGGCCCACTCCTACTTCTATATTCCAGTATAAACTCGGTACATGCAAACCAGGAAGACCGGATAAGAATGTTTATAGCAGCACTGACTAAAACGCCAAAAACTGCTGGTGGAATGGCTCAAGTGGTAGAGTGCCTGCCTACCAAGTGTGAGTCCCTGAGTTCAAACCCCAGTGCCACCAAAATAAATAAGTAAATAAATAAATAAATAAAATAAAATGCCCCAAACTGGTAACAACCTACAGGTCCATCAGCTGTAGAATGAATAATAACACATGAAGTTACTGAGAGGGTATGGACCATGGCGCTCTCTGTGGCAACACAAAGAGTGGACCACCTGCCCATGCAACACTGCTGACATGATATTGTGAGGAGAACAGAGAGACACATGTGATTCCAATGACAGAAAAGTTTAAGACCTGCTGAAACTAAACATGCTGTTTGTGGCTACAAACATGGGTAAAGCTACAAAGAAGCCAAAGGAACACGCTGGGTTTGGTGGCACATGCCTGTAATCCTAGCACTGGGGCAGCAGATACAAGATGATTGCAAGCTGGAGGTGAGCCTGATGAGCCTGCGCTACAGAGGGAGACTTGATTTCAAAACAAAGAAAACAAAAAACCTAAAGGAACAATAAAAACTGAAGTTTCCAAAGAGGGAGGAAAAGGTACAGATTACAGATGGACAATAGTGGTCTTAGAAATAAAGTGTTTTTCTACCTCAAGCCATACCTCTCACCCTTTCAGGTTGCTCCCTATTTTGTTTCTGAGATAGGGTCTCACTAAGTTTGCTGGAGGTCACATTGAACTTTGACCCTCCTTTTGCCACCTCCTGAGTAGCCGGCATTCCGAGCATGGGCCACCCCACCCTACACACATTTTATAAATACAGTTGACCCTTGAACAAAGCAGGGTTTAGAGGTGCCAACTTCCTACAGAACTGAAAATACAACTTCGACTCCTCTAAAACTTAACTACTCCTAGCCTGCTGTTAACTGGTGAGTTTGCCAACCTCTGTACTCACTGATAATAATCAATTCGTGGGGGAGGGGGGAGAAATGACCCAAGCATTGTATGCACATATGAATTAAAAAAAAAAGTCTTAACCAAGTACAGGATCAAGATAAAATAAAAATGCATTTTTATTGAAAAAAAATAAAGTTAACTCCTTGATAAATGAAAAAAAACAATTAGTACACATTTAGTATGCTGTATGCATTATACACGGTGAAAAACTCGCAAAGCACAGAAGGGCATTTTTTACTGGGATACTTGCATTTTTGGAAAGGTGAACTCATATGGAGATGGTTAGCATTGCACAGTGTTTTAAGGTGATGCTCCCAACACTTGGGTTCACCATGACAGAAACAGGAGATGGCTATGAAGTAATTATAGTTGGATACTATGTATTACAGTTAATTTGATGCAGTTATGATTTATTTCCTTTTATATTTTGGTGCTAGGAATTGAAAACGGGGCCTAGTACACACTAACCAGATACTTTATCATTGTGCTTCCCTCAGCCCTCAGTTATGACTGACTACTTCATCCACCACATTCCTCTCAACTTCAAGTGGTACTACAGGTGGTCTTTGTGTGCATGAATTCTGATAAATTTTAGCTTTTACTAACAGCTTTGTATATATTTATGCTAGCGATAAAGTTATCTACATATATTTTATGTATTCATGACATACCTAATTTTTTTCAATATTTCAGGTTTATCTTTCAGTTTTTTTCAAATTGTTGAATATCTACCCCCTCCCAAATCCACTTATGAGTGGACCCTCACAGTAGAAACTCATGTCCAGGGATCAACTATATTTTTCTGAAACTACTTATTCATAATTTTTTTTGAATGGGATTGGAATTTGAACTCAGGGCTTCGTACTTGTAAAGCAAGTATTCTCTAATAAATTTGGTAAATCTAAGATTCTATGACACCTTCCAGGCAGAACAGGCCTGGGGACCCACCAGCCTCTACCCCCAGGCTTGTGGTACCAGCTTGGAGGATGAATGTGTGCAAAGCTTTCTGTGGGAGCTGTAGAAGGGTAAGTCTCAATGACTGAGTACTAGACGTTGGTGGTGATAGACCTGGGCACTTGTCCCAGTTCTGTCCCTTCCAGTGATAGCGCCTACCTCCTAGGGTTTGTTATAGGATTAAGTATGAAAAAATATTCATGGAGAAAGTTTGGCAACCTCTGTATGCAGTAAGTTCTCAAAAAGCATTAGCTTTTATCATTAGTCATGTATGAGCCTTGGGTGATTTACTTAATCCCTCTAAGCCTCAATTTCCTCAACTATAAAGTGGGGGTAACTTATACCTAACTTGCAGGGTTGTGCTGAAGATTAAGTCAGATAATGTATGAGAAACACTCGGCAGAGTGCCTGCCATTCACTAAGCCTCAATGAATAGTATCAAGTATTTCATTATCATAATTAATAAATGCCTGTTCAGCCTCCCAGCAATTATCCTGAAGCATCTCGTTGGCCAAAGCCAACCTCATCACCCCTTGGGTTGCTTATAGTGACTCTGGTTGAGCTAGTTAACGCTGTTACATTAACCCACAATCTCCTGTCTGTGGGGAGCCTGGTGTCAGGAGTGGCTTACATTTGGGGAGTATGTAGCCATCTTGATCTCAGTGGGGGGCAGGGTACACTATAGACTGGGGAGGGCAGGTAATTTCTTTTATAACATCAGATTTATTTCATCAAAAATGAAATAAATTTCTTTGAGCATCTACTTTGTATTAATCATTGTCTAGGAGATGAGAGATTTGTTCACTTTGCAGATATCTATGGAATACCTGCTGTCTGCCAGGGGCTCTGCAAGATGTGGCGAGGTCAAAGGTGAGCAAGCCCTCAAGGGATGCCCAGTTGGGGGAGGCAGCTTCTAAACAGAGAATACTCAGCAAGAAGACGGCATTAGAATGGTTCCCTTGAGTGCTGAAGGAGGAAGGGTACAAGAAACTCAGCAACCTAGAGAGGGCAAAGAAGTCCCACAGGAGAAAAAGTTGGGGCTGGTCACAATGTGAGAGCAGGAGTCAACTGGGTGAGGTGAGCACATTTCAGGCAGAGAGAGGAGCACAAGCCAGGGCCCAGGGGTTGGAGATGGCATGGCCAATCAGAGAACTTCGAGCAGGAGGAAAGTGGGAATATGAAATCTGACAGGAGCAGCAGAAGATGACCCTGGAGTAGCGCATGAAGCCAAGTCATCAGGTCCATGTTCACCATGCTGTGGAGTTTGCTGTTGTCCTGAGGTATAAGGAATGCTGGGCTTCAGGATTAGCCAGAAGCCCAGCACTGCAGGAACGAACAGCACGAGGACAACTGGTGGAGGATGTGGAGCACATGGACCTGCTTGGTAGCTGGATGGCCAGTTAGAAAGGGCCTTGGGGATCTGACTCAAGACCCTAGCAGTACTGATGGCAGAGGGGGCATGTAGTGCTTTGGCAAAGCTCCTTTGGGTGATAGGGTGGGACACAGAGGGACACAAAGGGGTGTGAGACTCCATTCCTTTCCCCAAGGGATTTGAACGTCTCACTGGAGAACATAAAGTAGGAGCACTGGGTTCGGGTTGCACCTGTTCCGGGAGGAGGAAGGAACAGGAAAAAGGCCTTTCACTGAATACCCTTTTGTACTTTGGACCGTGGCTGCCTTACCTATTCGACAGTTAATAAATGAAAACGGAACAATAGCACAGACTGGTGAGTGTCAAGCTGAGAAAGGAGGCGTTCCTTATAGGTCTGATGATGGTCTCAAGGGAGAAATGGGGTTCCATGTGGAGGTGGTTTCCTGTCCTAGGGGCTGAGCTATGCTGGGCCAGCACAAGGGACTCTCTCGAGCTAGAATCTCAATTTGAAACAGCCAAGCCCAGACAGAAGGCTGCAGAATGGTGGGTGGGGGCTGGGGGGTGGTGTTGAACTACCTGCAGGCTGCTTTTTTTTTTGGTTATTTTCTGTCTACCTTCCCACTCCAGCAAGAGAGCCCAGCTAGAAACAGGCATGGTAACACCATAGCTACTAGCAAGAGCCAGTGCTCAGGACTCACCTCTTTATGGGAATCACTCAAGTCACTCCAACTCTCTTTGTCTGGGCTCTGCCTGTGGTCCCTCGAAGAAGGGGTGGTCCTTTTCCTTTTATTTCCCCTGGAGAAAGAGATGTGGAGTTAAACGGTTCCTTCCAGGCATCTGCTCTCTCAATCCAACCTGGCTGTTTAATGCTTTCTCTCTGGACCCTGCAGTTCCTCAAGGTGCTAACCACATCCTGAAATGAAACGAGACACCTGTGATTAGGCTTGGCAGTAAAGGACTGGTTCTGTAGTGTGTTTGCTCCGTCCACATACAGGCAATAGGGAAGTGTCCCTCAGAAGAGAGGCACAGTCCAATGGAGCCACAGGGCTGTGGCATCAAGGACTCCTGCTCTCTACTTAGCAGACAGTTCCCAGAAGTGTGGTTAGCAAGGGCTGGGAGGTCACCCTGTCCCTCCACCCACCATGGAGAAGAAATAGTCCCTAATGTAGTACTTGGTGCAGGGCTTGGTAGAATCCTCCCTGCTTTGTTCCCCAGCAAGTCCTGAAGATCTCCTTTTTGGGGACCCCCAGCCTGGCATCCAGGCATCCTCCTCCTGCTGCTTCGAGCTTTGGTTCCCAAGTCCTCTTTCTCAGCCACCCCTGGACTTGCAACTTATCAGACGCCAGGGCTGAGATGATGCCAGAGATCCTCTTTTCCTAGACAGATCAAATGGGTCGAGCTTCATAGCCCCCACCAGCCAAAGCATGACTTAACTTGTCTTACTGATGTAAGGAACAGAGACCAGGCCCTGTTCAAGCACGGATTACAACCCATTATTGCAAAATAACCTTACAGTGTGGCAAACCAGCATGAAAAAAATTCTTCAAAAGACTAGAGTAGGGTGAAAAACGAAATATCCAATTCCATCACATGTAATGTAATACTGTTTTATTAAATTTTCATTTCAGTTGTTTATAAATAGAAAGTACCAAAAGTCTTAGTGCAGTTGTCAGTTTTAATAACTTTACAAGTATAAGTACTACATTTTAATACAGAACAATGTTGGAAAGCTTTTTACTTTTTTTCTCTTTTTTTTTTTTTGAGAGACAGGGTTGTGGTATTAGCCCAGACTGACCTGGAACTCTCAGTCCTCCGGCCTCAGCCTCCCAAATGCTGGGATTACAGATATATCCCACTGCACATGATTTACCTTGACTTTTACAAATTTTGAATAACCAAATTTTATTTTAATATTTATTGAAGATGACAAATACTGCCTGATACAAAATTAAACTTAAAAATTTAGGGCTGCAGATATAGTTCAGTGGTAGAACATTTGCCTAGAATGTACTAGGCCCTGGTTTTGATCCCCAGCACCACAAAAAACAAATCCAAAAAAACCTAAAAATGTGTTATTCAAAATTTATAAACTAAATAAAGATAAAAGTTTAACTGATTAAATTTTCAAGTGATTTTTAAAGTTATTTTATATAATTTATACGTCTGCTGTTACTAAAGTATAAAACTACTCTTAGACTCTTGGACTATCCTGTCTAACATATGTGAGTACTAGGTCTTGTCACATGTCTTTCTTCACAAATCACAAATTTAAAAGTCAGTGATACAGTCTAATCTCTCCATTTTATACCCTCACCTCCTACAGGGAGCATTCTCAGATCTCCCCCACCTTACTCCCTTAGCTACCTGTTTCTTTGTTTTGTTTTAGGGTTTCTGTTGTTGTTGTTAGTGGTGGAGGTGTTTGTTTTTACAGTGCTGGGGATCAAACCCAGGGCTTGAGCCTGCTAAGCAAGTGCTCTATCACCAGGTCACATTCCCCACCCTGGCCTCCCGTTTTCTTTCACTTGTACTTAAGCCTCATCACAGCCTATCTTATATCAAAGGCAGCTCTTCTCCCTCCTGGGACCTGAACTTCTGGACCTGAAAGGTGACATTGTTTCCTCCTTTTTATCACTTGCAAAGTCTAAGGTATATTTTGTACGCAGCAGGTGTCTAGAAACTCTTATTAAGTGAAATGATGCTCTGAATGCACTTACTACATATATTTGAGTTAGTGATATTCTGCTGTTACAATTAGCTTGCCGTCTTGCCTCCTCATTTTAAGGGTAAGGATAACTTAATTAGGTGATTTCGCTGGAAACACAGCTAGTGGCTCTCAAGAGAACCTGCCAGACTACCACTCAGTTCACCAGACTCTCACCTCCCCCTTGGAGGTCACATGCGGACTGGCTTTCCTGAATCTGCTCTCCTGACATCCCACTCTTCTCTTAGAGTCTTCATTGGTCTTCACCTAGCTCCCACCCAAGGGACTGAAATGCTAAAAGATGCTGAAACTGGCAAGTCCTAGGCAAAGTTTCAGCTTATGAGAAAGCCAGGGTCAGCCACCCAGAACACACCCTCACTGGCCAGGTGGCCTCTTTGTAACAAAGTTTCTTCCTGTTTATCAAATGAGCTGCTCACCTCCCACCTCCGGGAGAAACGTGGCAGCCAGGAAGCTTGCTGTCACCACCATCACACAGGGACGTTTGCTCAAGTTAATTAGACTATTGCTCAACTACGGGTCTCTTCCAAAAGGGAAAAGTGATGACTATCAGTACTCTCACTGAGGCACAGGTGTGTGGAGCTGGACATCACGTTGCGAAGGGGACAGGTCAATTTCAAGCTCCGACTGGGGGAGCAAGGCTGTTTGGCTCAATGGGTGTCCTTTCTTTTCATTCCCTTTTTTTTTTTTTTTGCAGTCCTGGGGCTTGAACTCAGGGCCTACACCATGAGTCACTCCATCAGCCTTTTTTGTGTGATGAGCTTTTTGCAGATAGGGTCTTGTAAACTATTTGCCCCGGCTGCCTTCGAACCAAGATCCTCCTGAGTAGCTAGGAATACAGGTGTGAGCCACCATCATTGGCTGGGTGTCCTTTCTAATACTTTCTCCATACCAAGCACAGCACTTGTCTAACATCCTCAGCAGTCCTGCTGTGAACTGAGGAGCAAATTATCTCCTCCAAAGCTCTCCTCCGACCTCTGACCCTTTTGATCACAGAAATGCTGGGAGGTTTTCACTTCCCCCATAATTACATTGGCAAGACACTTCTTCAGCTTTTCCCTAAGACCGGAGCTGCTGTTACTGTGGTTTGTTTTCCCAGAAAGATGTGTTGAAAGTTATTTCTGTAGCCAGTCTATCAAATTTCCTCCCAGCATATCTAGGTTCATTTTATGTTTACCTAAGATAGCAAGCTGGTGTTATCCAAATATGGATTTTTCAACTTAAAAACGCAACCCCAATTTTGCTCACCCCTGTACACCCAGATCAGTGTTTGGCAACTAGCAGGCACTCACTAAGTCTTTTTTGATCTATTCCAAGAGTAAATCACTGAAAATCAAAATAATAGGTGGTCAAGTAGGAAGCTCAACAGCTCACAAGCTTTTCTCTGGAGGACCTCTAGGCTCTGCCAGGTGAGGCAGAGGTGTGCCACTATTTATCCCTAGGACCGCAGGAATGAAGGACGGCCCCAGGTAGGGATGAGGGGTCTCTAATCACTCAGGAATGATTTTCTTAGCCTGGGATTGAGAAAAGCCCCTCTATCCCCCTCCCCCCCAAAAAAAGGAATGTGAATTGAGTTTTACCATCTGTTGGTTACAGCAAGGGCGGGGGAGTTCAAGATCTGAGGATAGCAGGAGGGGTGTTTCCGAAGGATGGGGCCAATCTTCTGATGAGAAGCACCTAGAAGCACGGAAATCCAGACTCTCCAACTTCTTCCCCAGCCCTGGCCCATTTTCAACTGTGTAGGGTTTAATCCCTTCTCAATGTGGGGTTCACCCCACACTCACTCTCAAGTCCTGCTGATTTACTCCCTGCCTCTTGGATCCTCCTCTCCCTCCCCACTCTCAAAACCATCATCTGAAACTGTGCCCTATCACCCAGCCCAGCACCTGTAGGATGAGCAGCCACCTACAGTAGCTGCCAGCCAGCCTCCTTTGCCTAGGTTTCTCTTCCTTTACACAATTACAACAGCCGCCTTCATGTTCCTTTAGCGCTATTTGATTATGTCAGAAATGCGAAGGAACTGTCTGCTTCCTGTCTGCCTTCACCCTCTAGCCTGACCAGATGCTTAGCACTGGCTGTTTCTCCCTCCTCAAAGCTTTGCCCTTATGTTCCTGCTAAGTAGACCATGTTTCTGTCCTTTCAAATTCCTACTTATAACCCTTCTTCCAAGAAGCCTTCCTAGACTACGTAGGGCATGTAGTCTCACTGCCTTTAGTATCTAGGTGTGTTTATTTGTTCCAAGTTTCCCTCACTACTCATGCTTGCCTTGTGTGGGACTTCCCACTAGATTTCATAGAAGGGGTGAGCCAACAGGCCCAGACAGCTCAATCCTGTTTTCCTTCACCTTCTCAATCTTTAAATCTTGGTCCCCAAACTTCAGCATCCAGAATGTTTGTTGTGATTGATCCCCCAAGGCACTCCTCTGTCCTGAGGTAAGTGGCTAGGCCACTTCCTGGATGTCTGTCCTTTGTTCTCTATCATATGCAGAGCTGAGAGTGAGGTCTGGGTTTCTTCTCTCCTTCAAATCTCTACTTAGGACTCAGGACCAGGGTGAGCAGTGTATTAGACAATAACCGGACCCCACAGGGCTCTCAGGTGCCAGGAAAGAATCTTCTAAAAGCCCTTTTTCTCCCTGACTGAACACATCCTTGTTCACCACACAAGCCTTTTACACAGCACAATTACTGCATTGAGCTGACACAGAGACAGGCACTGCCCTGCACTTGACCTCCTGCTTATTCCAATCCTCACCCTCATCCCCATCAAGTGAGAATGGACATTTTGGGCCTTCCCAGAAGAGGGGCAGAGGCTATATGAAGAGTCAAGTTCATCAAGCTCTGACATGGCCATTCACTGGGTCCCTCTGGCAAGTAGATGTCCACTCTTACCTTCATCTTCACTTCTAAGCTAGAGATGTTGAAATATGTTCATGGAAGCCAGAGGATGTTTAGGACAATACTATCCCCATTTTTTTTTTTGTTTTTTTTTTTTTGAGATGGGGTCTTGCTATGTTGTCCAGGTTGGTTTCAGACTCCTGAGCTTGTGATCCTCCTGCTTCAGCCTGTAGCTGGGACTACAGGTATGTACCACTGTGCCTGACTACCATCATTTTTAAAATTTC